AAATACAAAACACATTTTTAAACAATCCAAGACTCAAATCAGTTTAAGACCTTAGACCTGTTCAAGTGTCAGTTTACAATAAGTCATTTCAGTTTCACCCAACCATAACATGTTTTACCAGCCTGTTTGGCCATATTTAGACCAGTCGAGGCACACACCAAAAAACACACAAGGGTCCAAGCCCAAGTGCAACCTGTGGAAATTACTGTTTAAACATTTAATCTGGCCCACATTTAGACCAGATCAGACCAAAAGAGACCAGCAGTCTCCTTAAAAGTGAGTCAACATTTAAATATGGCCCACTTTTGGACCAGTTTACGCCCAAAACTAAAACCTTAGAGTGTAACATAAAATCCTCAGCATTTTCAGGCCTCGTTTTGAGATGATGATTCACACAGAAACGTCACCTACCTGAGTTAAAGTCACCTACCTGAGTCTGCATGAACATACCAATGAATCCAGTGAAACCTGCAGCAGGGAAAGATCCCTGTAAGATTATGTGGGTCACAAACCCAAGGGTCAAAGGGTCAGAACTATTACATTCAGACCACTAAAAAGTGACAGAACACAAGGGCCTCAACCCTTGGACCAAAACCCAAGTCAAGATGAGTGGCTGAGCACTCACTCACAGCAAGAAGGTTCCTTTGTGTGCAGAATCTACACAGGTGTATGGCAGCAGCTCACTGCTCCTGACAGGCTGTCCCAGCAGCACTTTGCATTTGGCCCATTCATCATCAACAGAGGGAGAATTTCCCTCAAAAGGATTACCAAAATATACTGTACCTTAAGATTATTCCAGATGATCGGGGTTTTAAAAGATGTGGGTTTCTCCAACCTGAAAACTGAAGAGTTAGTAACATGACAGTCATCACATTTTAGCTTTAGCTGTTTTAAAATAAAATAAACTAACATCTGCTGCATTTGCGGCAGATGATTTTCATGTCTCACAATTGCAAGACACGAAGTCAATTTAGCTTACTTTAACTATGAACTAATTAACAATGATGATAATAATAAAACTGATACCTGTAGAAGAGTTAGAGGACACCACCCAAACCTGCAAACACAAAGGAAACAGTCAGTAACAAAATGCAAGAAGTGTTTTATCTTGGGAGTACACAACTAAAACTATCTTAGCAGTATTCAACAAAGCATGGCTTCACTTAAAGGTTGTATGGAGGATTTTTTTTGTTTCAAATTGTCAATGATAGCATTATAGAGGTGCAGTAGCCTTGTAATTATGATGACCAAAAAAAAGAGAATAAAAATTCATCAACTCTGGACGTGGTGGGGCCAGCTAAACATTTGCCAATAGATAACGACACTGCCTCGTTATCTGTTAGCTGACAGGCTGTCAATCAAACTCCCTACGTTTCTAGCGTAACTGACTTGCCTGCGCGCAGCCATTACGTGGTTTGCGTACGCCTGTCACGCAGTCCACAGACGCAAGACGCACAGACGCTGTTTACTCCACCAACACAACAGTTCTTAGCGGCTTTTTTGACCTATATCTTCCTCGCAGTTAGCACAAAGTTTGTTGCAATGGCAGACAAGAATCCAGGAGCAGTTAGCCACAAAAGAAAGTCCGTTTTTGAGATTGCTGAAAGAAGACGACAAGGGGAAAAGCAGCAAAGCCAAACTAAGGTGATTCTTGAAGATTCATTCCAGCGATGGCGCAACTGAAGCAGACGCAGGGTCTAAAGACTGACGCATTGGTCGCCAAATTACTCCTGGACAGGTCACTTCTGCTTATTATGAAAACGTACTTTATTTCCAAGAGCTAGACAAACATTTTTCAGGACACGAAAGCGATATCCTATGTCTGAAAAAGTAATTTTCAAGGCAAAGAAAGAGTCCGCTTGCTGCTGCGTGTTGTTGCTAGTTCATTCGCACTGAATCTCCGCGCAACCTTCTCTCTGCACCCCTTTCCTGCTCCTGTCCCCGCTGCCCGTTCCGCTCTTCCCCCTGCTCCTCACTTCTCCGGGCACGGAATCTCCGCGCACCGCTCCCCTCTCCTCTCTCTTCTCCCTGCTCCTTGCTTCTCGTCCGCGCACAAAATGTCTGCGCACCCGCTCCCCCCGCTCCTCACTTCTCCACCTTGCCTAACCAACACTGTAGTTAGTTGTTTACAAGTCATGTGCAGCGCACCGGCTGTAAACAAACCTGTTTCTGGCGTAAGGAGGAGGAGGCATTTCTACGTAGGGAGCTGTAGGGGAGGGGGGGTGGTTTCACGCATGTGCAACATTTGAAAAAGGACAAACAGTCGCTGGATTTCTCGTTCCTTGGAAAATCCTCTATACAACCTTTAAATGTTTCTGAAAGACTAGTTTATTTCAGTAAAACTGTTTTATACTCACCTTTGGGTCTTTGGGGGAAAGCTGGCTGAAGCCCAACCCAACCCAAAACACAGAGTTTTCCTTCCAGCAAGGTGGTCTGGATCAATTCTTTCATTCATTCCATATTTTGGAACATGGCCTCTGATATAAGATTTTCCATTCTTCTTCTTAGTTCTTGAGTCCTTTTTGACTTCCGATGGAGGCAAAGGTTCATTTTTCACTGGTTTGAAGCACTCTTAAGGTTATATAGCAGTAGTAGATGTCACAGAGCGGCTGTAAAAGGGTTAGACACCAACCTAAAACCTGAAAACTAAAGGGTTAGTCAGTGACAAATGGCAGACATGTTTTAGCTTTAGCTGTTTTCAAATAAAATAAACTAACATCTGCTACAGCTGTCGCAGATGATTTTCATGTCTCACAGTTGCAAGACATGAAGTAGATTTATCGTAAATTAACTATGAACTAATTCATGATAATAATAAAACTGACACCTGTAGAAGAGTTAGAGGACACCACCCAAACCTGCAAACACAAGGGAAAGTTAGAAACAACATTACAAAATACTAGTGTATTTCAGAAAACTGTTTTATATTCACCTTTGGGTCTTTGAGGGAAAGCTGACGGACGCTCAACCCAAAACACAGAGTTCAGGTAAACTCTTCCGGCAAGGGGCTCTGAGTGCATAACAAGTTTCCTTCACTATGCACTTGTATTGCGTTTGGTGTGGTTGGTAATAATAAAACTGAAACAAGGACCCAAAACCAAGTGCTACCTGTGGAAATTAAACATTAAAATCCAGTCCACATTTAGACCAGATCAACCCACAAGAGACCACACAGTAAAACTGTTAAGAATATGACACATTTGGACCAGTTTAGGCCCAATCTGGGTCATTAAAATCCTCAGCATTCAGATCTTGTTTTGAGAGGACACAAGGTAAAGAATAAAAAAGAAAGAATAGATGTTTTATGATTTGAGGGTTACATCATGGCCATTGTACAGTTTTAAATTTACAGGATAAATGAGATTTTTATTTTCCAAGTCGGTTTTCATCCCATTTCAAACCTTTGATAACACCTTTCCACTTTTTGTATTGCACTTTTTTAAAATTTGCATGTTTGAGAATTTTATGGCAGGTCCTGTACCATCCTTGTTTCATTCATGTTTGGAAAGTGATCATTTAATTCCCACAAATGTACCGTTCATTTCATATAATTCAGAGTTATTGCTTTCCAGTTCATTGACCCAAGCTTGGTGTACATTTGTAAACCTTTTCATTGCAATTTGTTATGTCTGAAAAACACATTTTCCCCCGTGGTTTGACACCTTGTGATAAATTACACAAATGTACCGTTCATTTCATACAATTCTGAGTCATTGTTTTCCAGTTCATTGACCCAAGCTTGGTGTACATTTGTAAACCTTTTCATTGCAGTTTGTTACATTTGAAAAACACATTTTCCCCCGCAGTTTCACACCTTGTGATAAATGACATTTTCACACATCGAAATACCGGGAGATTTTATTTGAGACACGGTTTGGTTTTGTTTCATGAATTTCGTTTGTGGTATAATTTCCTTCATTATACGGACAAAACCTTTTGCATTTGTTTTGAAAAAAGGCCTTTCTGTACGTTCCCTTTTACCAGAGTTTCCTTTTATAATCCACCTTTTTCAGTGAGCCATCATTTAAAACACATCCACAGCGTGAAATAAATTTCCTTTCAACAAAAGCATCATTATCATTTGAAATTCATCACATTATTGATTTATTTCTTTCAATCCACATTGCACATTGAATACACGTTAATCGGAGCGCGGAGTAAATACGCACCAGCAGCAGCTTCATTCATCCAACATTTACAAACAAACAGTGATTTTTTATTGCAATAATGATTCCGTATCCACAAACAAGACTTACCTGAACTCGTGAGACTCACCTTGACTCCTCCGTGCTGTTTGTCGTGCTGATGGTGATCCGGGCCCCGCTGCAGTTTTGGCGCGTTTTTCAGAATTGCGCGGGACCTGCGCCGATCGCTCCACACCGCCTTTAATTTCTTTGTTGCTAAAAACGTTGCGCTGCCGTGAGTGGAGCTTCCTCTGACATAAAGCAACGTTTGAAGTGGCTTTAGTGAAGCTGTCAGCAAAGAAAACGAGTTGGCTCAACTCCCCGGGGCCAGGTCCTCTGGTGAGGTGCCTTACCTGTGCAGGTGAGCGCCATTTTTAAAAGAACCCAGCATACCTCTGTGCTCACGTGACCACGCCCACCTGGCGAGAATTACCATGACAACTATCCCAAGGTATCTCCTCCATGGATTGACCGATTATCCATCCATCCGTCTATCTATCTATCTATCTATCTATCTATCTATCTATGTAGTGTGTTTCCCGTAGCACTTTATAGTTAAAGCGACAAGTATCTCGTAATTACGAGATAATCCCCCCTCCCCTCCCCCCTCCAGATTTTTTTTTTTCACTGACTACAATGCGCTTTCGTAATTTATTTATTTATTTATGTATTATTATTATTATTATTATTATTATTATTATTATTATTATTGTTTTATTTTATTTTATTTATTTATTTTTTTTCATTTATTTATTTATTTATTTATTTAGACTCTCGTCGGGAAGCGCCTTGAAAACAAAACAAGCGCTCCTCGGCCTGTGCGTACTGCGCCTGCGCCGTCTTCCCGTAGGCCCGTGACTAACCATAGTGCTATTCGAACATTCAGGCATTTGAAACATTTGATATTTAAGTTTTTCTAGCGAATTTTGTCCCTTCAAACATATCCTGGGACTGGGTGAGCCATTTTCTCCTCATGTGACTTACTTCAGGAGACCAGAACAGAGCGTGTGGTTAGTTTTCGTGCGTTAGTTAGCCACCAACAGCCTGAGCTAGTTAGCCTAACCGCGTTTAGCCGTGCCGGGTGACAGTAGCGTGCTTTGTTATGTCACTTTAGGCATTATTTCTGCTTTATGTTAATTGTACGTTTATTTTAATGCACTGTAAACGGTGTCTCTTGGTCTTAAAATTGCATATGAACCCACAGAAACACGTCAGCCCGCCAATAATTAAGCTTGGATTAGAAAAGATTGCTTACTTGTAGTTGAATAAGCGACTGTTTTAGTTTGAGGAAGTTTATCAGTGAATTAAATGTACACTGCTTTTATGCATATGTGTTTGTAGTACAGTGGAGCATCTGTAAACTAACTCTGTTTTGTGATCCATCCTCAGTGTCGGACCCAGCATGTCTTTCCCCCCTCATCTGAACCGGCCGCTCCTGCCGCCTCCCGGGATGCCCCCTCAGTACGCCGGCTTCCCCTCAGGTAACACTCTTATCAGCATGACTCATTCATACCAGCTCCTGTGCCGTGTATATATCTTGAAAACCTCCCGTTGTTTTTCTGTTAGGAGCTCCAATGATCCCCGTTCACATGGGCATCATGACCTCCACCCCAGTGATGGTGTCTTCCGTTCCGGTGGTCAGTAAACCTCCCATGCCCAAGAAGGATATCCAAGCTGTGAGAGCCAAAGATGAAGACAGCGGCCCCACCACCACAGTGTTTGTGGGCAACATCTCAGAGAAGGCCTCAGACATGCTCATCAGGCAGCTACTCGCAGTAAGACATGGGAGACGGGGGACCTTGTAAAATGTTAATTTTTATTTACACGGTCTTCCTTTTTTTTTTTTTTTTAAGAAATGTGGGATTGTCCTGAGCTGGAAAAGAGTACAGGGGGCTTCTGGCAAACTTCAAGGTCAGTATAATCTTGTTGTGTGTTATTACTGAAAACCCCCTAAAATGGTGACATAACCAGCATATGTGTTATTTATTTTCAGACATTTGATGCAATAATATTAATCCTTGATCCTGTTTTCTTTCAGCCTTTGGTTTCTGCGAATACAAGGAGCCAGAGTCCACACTCCGAGCGCTGCGGCTGTTACACGATCTCCAGGTTGGAGACAAAAATCTGCTGGTCAAAGTGGATGCGAAGACAAAAGCTCAGCTTGATGAGTGGAAGGCAAAAAAGAAAATGAAGAATGGGGTATGATCATAAAAAGGTTTTTGTATTTATTTATACAATTCAAGCTTCTTGGCAAATGACTAAATGTATTGTGTTCCCACAGAGTATAGGTATATTGTTAAAGCATGAGACCACTGCAAAGAAAGCAGCGCTCTAAAAATAATATTTATATTACTGATGAGATATATAGTCAGCATTTAAAAGCATTAAAAACGCTGTCAATGGAAATGTTTTTAGTTGTTGCTAATGATTGAAATTGATGGCATAACTTTGTGTAGAAAGAGAAGCCGGAAGGGGGAGGCGATGAAGAAGAGGAGATCGATGATGAAACTAAACAGAAAGACCAAATAGTGAAAGGTGCCATTGACGGCCTCATGCGAGAATACGCCGCTGAGCTCAATGCACGATCACTGGACGATGACTCACAGCGGCGAAAACGCAAAAAGGAGAAAAAAGAAGAGGTATGGGACTTCAACTTGTACTTCCTAATGTGTTGGGCCCAATCCCTGTGTCTTTCTGAATTTAAAAGGCCTCAGAGGGGGCCACAGTTTAACCACAGTTTAACACGCTCCAGATTAAAGAGTGTGCAGAGTTTGCAGCTGTTACCAAATATGCTGATACAGCATATACATTGTAGACTGACCTTGATTTATTTGTTTTTTTGTTCAGGATGACATCACCACAATCGATATGGAGGAAGACAAGAGAGACCTCATTTCCAGAGAAATTAGTAAATTTCGTGACACGCACAAGGTAAATGGGCCTATTTGATCCTATTGTTACAGGTATTTTGGAAAGCAGCTCCTCACATAGTTCAGTTTTTAGAGTTACATTATATATTTAGCATAAGCTACCACCTTATTTGCCAAATGAACGGCTATGAAGCTCATAAATAAACCAAATAGTAAACATTAATACATGTTTGTTGAGTGTTTAGGCGTTACAAATAGCCGAGTTGTAGCTAGTTGTGACACATTGAATAAATCAAATAAACTTAGTATTCAAGCATTTTAGTGTGACTATTGTAAATGCATTCTTCATTCATCTCACACAAATGCATGGAGACAATGTTAAGTTACTTAAAGCTAATCTATTCATTAAACCCCACCATTATGATAGTGATCATATGGTGACTAAAGCAAGATGAATCTCAGAGCTTTGGAAAAAGTTGCCAGGATAGGATGTAAGTATCAGACTTTATTTTCTCTACATATTTGGGGCGCCCCCCTCTGGAGGACTTGCACAGGGGCAGCTGCAGAGCACAATTTTCATTGCTCCAAAAATATACAAGATTTATATTCCAGTGTACCATTTTGAATTGAATGTCACAGTGTTAATCATCTTTTTCTTTTTACGTGTTGAAAGCAGAAGACGGCCAACCTGTGTTAGTCCTCTGTAAGAGAATGGTTTGTCTTTAGTGCTCAAACACTTGTCAATAACCACTGCAGTGACTTGGCTGCAGTTCTGATGTTTAGAGTCGGGGGGGCGCTCTTTCCACAGCAGTCTGTGATCTGAAGACTGTGAGGTGAGTGTTCTGTCTCTGCTGCTGTGCTCTGTCTCTGTCTGTTTGTTCGTTCTCACTGGAGGCTCCATCACAGGCACATTAAACCATCACACGACTTTGATAAGTTGCCCATTTAGTTTGGTTTTGCATCTTTAAACATGTTTCTTTTACATTTCCACCACAGACAAAGTATAAATGGAACATTGGACAAGGCTTTGGGATGGTCTCAGAGTAAGGCTCATTCTCATGATGTAATCCATCAACAAAATTAATCAGCATAGTGTTGTAAAGTAAATGTGCACAACCATCTGAGCTGTGGCAAATTAAACAAAAAATAAAACAATTTTTTTCTGAACTGGAAAAGGAAAAAACAAAACAAAACAATCACGTTGAGCCATAACAGAACTTAGCAGACAGTTTAGTCTAAATAATTCTTGTAGGAAGTAGAACAGTCAGTAAGCAGAAGGCGTGTGCAGTTGCCGGTAAGTAAAGATCAGCAAACTGTTTTTACAACACTTTTTTTTTTCAAATGCAAATCACACCATTTCAACTTGTCATTGTCTCTGTTCATTCTCCTTCATCCTTTTCTCTTGTCATCACAAGGCTTTTATGTTGTAGTCCTTGTACTAAAATGTATTTACTTTTGTGAACCACACATTTGACTTTTGAAGTCTACAGTATATGAGCCTTGTGTCTGAGTTTTGGTGTGTGTGTGTGAACATAAAGCCATGATGATCCTGAAGACGCCAGTGTGTGGGTAAGACAGTTTCTCCCATTTCAATTACCTTTGCAGAAATAATGTGACATTATTTCCTGTTTCTATAGCTGTGTATCCAATGCTTGTCAAATGAACCAAGGCTGTAATCTGATTTCCACTGTAATGCTTTGTTGATATGATGAGTAAGTCAGACTCCCATAACGTTTCTCCCTTGTATACCATGTGACCTGCTTTCCTCCCAGGCCTAACTAAAAAGGCTTGTAGGGGCAGCGAAGGCCTGAGTCCGTAGTTCAACACCTGTAAGTCTCAACCAGTTCAACCAAGACTGACGCCTGTGTTTGATTGTTTTTGTTCTTGTACTCAAAGGAGCAAAGAAAATGCAATGTGTTTCACAACACAATTTTTTCTTAAACAACATGTTTCACAGATTCATTAAGTGGTTTCCAGTTGAACATTTGCTAAATGCATACACTTTTACATTTAGAAACCTAAAATGACACTGTTCCACCTTAGCTTTTGTGAGATCAGTTTAGAGTAGCCATATATTTCCAGTTCTAGGGCAGCTGTAGTGTCCACATCTTATCTGGAAACCACTTGACTTGTGCAGTGTAGCTGCAATGTCACCTCCAAACCCCCGTGTGGCACCGGCTGAAACCCACCTGTGTTTTGTTCTGCAGAAACTGGAGGAGGAGAAAGACAAGCGTGAAAAAGAGCGGCTGGAGTTTGAACGCGAGCGAAGAGAAAGAGAGAAGGAGCGCGAGCGAGAGAGGGAGCGACGCGACCGAGAGAGAGAGAAGGAGAGGGAACGGGAGAGAGAGAGGGAGCGGGAGAGGGAACGAGAAAGGGAGAGAGACAGAGACAAGGAGCGGCGCACCCGAGAAAGGGAGAGAGAGAGAGACTGGTCCCGCAGCCGAGACAGAAGTACGGAGCGCAGCAGGTCCAGGTCAGTGTCTGTATCTCTGTCTGTGTGTCTGTCACAGTCAGAGTAGTATTTATCTGTGACCACTGAATTGCATCTGCCAGTGTGTTTATTTCCACAGTGCTGCCAGTATGCACTTATTGAACAATATTGAGAAATACGTTAGTTTGATGTAAAATTAAGACCTTCAGCCTCTTTTCCACTGGCTTGATGCCACTTTGGAGTGGGTCTGTTTGATGCAGCTTTCTCCAGCTCATTTGTGTTTCCATGGCCCGAGCACGACTCTGGGTCCAAGGACAGGACTCTGCTCCATGAGACACTGACACCCAAACCCAGACTCACCCAAACATAACTCATGATTTCTTAAAAAATAAACACTAATTTGTTTCTGAATTATACTTTTAATCATAAGGCTGATCTCAGCGATTGACAAAAAGATGATTAGTTTGTGGCACTGTGAGAAAAGACCAAGCATGAACACAAAACTACTTTCATTCATTTGATACTTGCATTCACTTCTCTTAAGGCCAACGCACACCAAAGTGCTGCGTCAACCCCACGCATCAACACACACACTGAATGTCACGGCTCTTAAAAAGGCTTTAACACCGGGTCTTTCCCTGCTGTTGCTGCAGCTCTAGTTGTTCCTCTCAGACTTTACAGCGCTCCTTTTGTCACCCACAGAGCAGAGTCATGTCTGTTTTCACCTCACAAATACAAAACGCATGTGTTTTCAGACGCAGTGCCACGTCCCAATTCAATAAACCCGTCAAAGGATCCCAGTGTGCGTTGGCCTTTAGCCTCTATGCTGTGTCTTAATGTGTCTTTATGTAATGAAGTGGATTTAGCTCATAGAGAAGATGAATTATGCACTGGAAATATGATATTTTCTGTATATTTACGCGAGGGCTGTGCATCCATAAATAGGAAACGGCTCAACGTATATAGTTGCCATAACTGGAAATACAGTGGTTTATTATCCACACTGCGCTGGCCTTTTTTTGGAGCGAGTACCAGGACCTGCTTCAGACCCCTCAAACAGGACAGTTCAGTTCACTTTAGACAGTGGAGACACTTTTGACCCATAAGTAAACCAGTGGATATGAAGCTATAGCAATTATGGGTCTTTGTGCTTACCTGGCTACGACTGTGACCAACTAACAGTTAACATGTATACATCCCTAATGGCAATGAAGAATCTAAAATAATTTAAGAAGAGACTGTGTTTTTTGAAGAAGAAACGGATACGGCCTTACAAATTCAAAATGAGCATTCATAAACGCTGACCCTCATGAGAGTAAACCGTTGTATTTGCGCAGTAATTAAGAAGGTCTTCTTCACTCTTCATTGTCATCGTTTCATGGTTTCACGTACTAAATAAATCATTTTATCAGAGCTGAAATTGTGTTGACAGAGAGGTGAGTAGAGACCGTGAGCGAGAGAAGAAGCGTGACCCTGAGGATGAAGAGGAGGCGTACGAGCGACGGAAACTAGAGAGGAAGCTCCGCGACAAGGAGGCAGCTTATCAAGAGGTCTGCATTCTGAATACATTCATACAAATTAACAATAGAGAAGAATAGAAATGATTAATCTTTTGCTTTTTTTACTTAAGCGGCTAAAAAACTGGGAACTGAGGGAGAGGAAGAAGGCCCGGGACTACGCCAAAGAGACTGAGAGGGAGGATGAACGCAAGCGAGAAATGGCAAGACAAAACCGCATATATTTACGGTATTTAAGAACAAATACTGAATATCTAAATTGTGTTTACTTGCTTAGGTCAAAGAAGGCAAGCGCTTGAAAGAGTTCCTTGAAGACTATGACGACGACAGAGATGACCCAAAGTATTATAGGTAAACACAAACACTTTGATTCATTTACTCAACTTAAAAAAACTAAAACTGTACCACAAATTTCAACCTCCGTATTTATTTTTCAACAAGTTAAGGGCTCTGTACCAGATTTATTTCTATGTATTTGAGTAAAACGTGTCTTGTCCCAGCACAGATGTGAATATGTAAAGCATATTATAAGCATTTTACTGTTTGAGAATCAGGAAGTGCGCAGGTAGCATGCTAGAGAGTTGTGGAAAGCGGTCATAAACTCATTGTTGTCAATAATTACGGAGCTCGGAATGTAAAAGGCAAGTGAGGAATAACTTTGGACTACTGCAAATTGTTTAAAATGAACTTGTCCTGTTTTTAAGACAGTAAAAATCCTGCACAGCATCTTTAATTGTTCATATGTTTTCAATGTAATATCTAGATTTTTCATAAGCGTTTTTAAATAGACCAGAATTACACACACTTGAACACTGCAGCTCCTATTGTACCTATTGTCCTGACCCTCTCCTGTAATCCCCCGTGCGGCCTGTAGGGGCAGTGCACTGCAGAAACGCCTCCGAGACCGAGAGAAGGAGATGGAGGCGGACGAGCGAGACAGGAAGAGAGAGAAGGAGGAGCTGGAGGAGATCAGACAGAGGCTTTTGGACGAGGGACACCCGGACCCCGACGCGGAGCTCAGGAGGGTGAGCGTGTGGGGGGAGAGGAGGGAGGGACACGGGAGAGAGGAGGAGGAGGAGGAGGGGAGACCAGAGGAGAATTTGAAGGTCATTATGAAGTCTGTCCCACTGCATCTCATCACCACTGACCACCTGCCTTTGTCTGGACTCAAGTAAGGGGAGCGGCTTAACACAAGGGAGTCTGCAGCTTTTGATGTGCAGTAAGAAGGACCAGGTTAGATTTAGAAACAGCTGCAAGAATAGATAAAGTGTGCTTTGACTGCATTTCAGGCTGCTTGTAATTTTAAATCGACATACTTCATTTCTTAAGTTTTATTTATTAAAACTTACTTTCTGTTATGTAACCAAAATTCTTACACCAACAATGAGCTTTTTGCTGGTAAATGTCAATAGAAAATGCTTTATTCTACATTTTACCATAAGACTTTATGATGTACAAGTCTAAACTGAATTATAGGAGCATCATTTGAGCACGTTTGTTTTCTGCAGATGGAGGAGGAAGAGGAGGAGCGCCTGAGGCAGCCTCCTCTAATCCAGGAGCCTGAGCCCGAGGAAGAGCGCGAACATCACAGACCGTCCCGGGACCACAGGGACCACAGAGAGAACAGAGAGCACAGAGAGCACAGGGAGAGCAGGCCAGAGCTGGACAGAGGAGAGCCCCACCCACGGCCTCCCTCAGACGACGAGGTGGAGGAAGGAGAGGACGATGACCACAGCCACGAGGAAATCCCAGACGTGAAACCCCCCTCCCTCAAACCCACCATGAGACCCATCACAGCGGCGCCCTCCGTGTCCTCCGCCAGCGGCAATGTGTCACCCAACACCCCGGGAGACGAGTCACCCTGCGGGATCATCATCCCTCACGAGAACTCTCCACCTGATGCCCTCCCACAGGAGGAGCACCGGCCCAAGATCGGACTGAGCCTCAAACTGGGTCAGTGTCTGTGGAGGGGAACAGGGAGGGTGCTGGTTAGATCCCTGCTGCTGCCTTTGGGCACAGACATGTTTGCGCTGGATTTCATTCTAGAGTCTAGATTTTGATATCCAGCCCTGGTGATGACAGGAGCTGCTCTGAGCCATGTTCAGGCTTTCGATTTGGACAAAATATCTAAAATTAAAAATCCACAGATGTTAAACCTGGGCACTGACATTCATACTATCATTGTCCTGCAACACACCTGTAAGTGTGCACCCTGTCAAAGAAAACTTTTGAAAAGCCTATACAATATTATACACTATACAGGAGCTCTGCAGGTAGAGAAACAGAAGGTTGGTAGTTTGATCCCAGCTCCCTGCACACTGTTATGTCCACAACCACACAGACTAATTTCTTAATTATGAATGGCTACAACTCTGACTGCACTGTAGTTTACACCACAGTGTTGAGGAATACAAGGTAAACTGACTCTTCCACATAGTTATAATAAATAAGAATAATATAAGTGACATAATCCATATAGAGTGTGTGAGGGTTTTTACTGTCACCATTGCTGGAAGTAACTTGACATTGTTTTGGTCCATTATGTCTCCAGCAGGCTCCACGGGCAGCCCCAGCCAGCCTAATGCAGCCAAGAGGAAGAAGCTCCCGGTGGACAGTGTGTTTGGGAAGTTCGACGACGAGGAGGCTGATGAGCTTCCCCGGAAGAGGAAACTGGTGCCTCTGGACTACGATGACGACAAGAGTCTGGGCGTGGACGGAGCCGGTCTGTCCAGCATCAAGGGAGCCAACGCAGAGGAGAAACGCAAGCACATCAAGAGCCTCATCGAGAAGATCCCCACAGGGAAACCAGAGCTGTTCTCCTACCCTCTGGACTGGGCCATGGTCGACTCGGTGAGGCCACACACACTTAAAATACTCGTGTTAGTGAGGAAAAGGTAGAGAAAGTGTGTGTGTGTAAACATTGGACCAGCCTAGATGTGTGTCCCCCATTGACTTTGCATGTAAACCCCGATAGCAATGTCTGAAGGCGTCATAAATGGACTCTCTCTGATCTAAATAGTCACTGCCTAAACACCAGCACCTGCAGCTCAGTGAGGGAATTCTTGAAGTTCTGAGCTTTCACATGAGTCATGGCACTGGCAACCCAGGTTTAGTTGTGATTGTAGCACATTTTTAAACCAATGAGAGCACAGACTAGAGCAGAGGTCGCCAAACATTTTCCTCTGGGGAACTACTTTTACAAAACAAAAATGCCAGATAGTGCAGCAGATTAATTGCGTATTTCAAGAGCACTGTTCAAATTGGTATAAAAGCATGAAATTTGACATTCTCTCTAAGGGCCCTGTATGCTTGCGGGTAAAAACGACAAAATATTTTATCTGAAGTGCCTTTTGTTTAGACCGTGACAGAATTTTTGGGAGTTAAAGATGCGAAAATCTGAAACCACCCTCCAGATTGGAAAAATTGAATATGCGCTGCTGTAGTGTTTCCGTCTACACTGCCCAAGACGCAAAACTCTGGTCAGATATGCTCACGTCGCGTACACGTCACATACACAAACATGTCGGATAATTTCCAGCTCTAATAAACTTACAGAAGGCATCCCAATAAATGCACAGAATACGCAGAGATACTATTAGTAAACAGAGAAGGATCTGCAATCACCCCTGTCAAATTCTGGATGCACCAGTTCGTCTCAGGTGAGCCAGATGGCATGCATACCCAATCACATAAACTAAACGCGAAATAAAAAGCGAAGATGCGACACCACTGTTTTACCTTCTGTTCAGGCAGTCATCATATAAACGTAGCTTAAGGGTCACTTTTTGGGGTAAAGGTATTGGCTGCCCTATTTCTGTCAAATGCTCATTATGTTGATCTTTCAAACTGTGAACATCTGTGTCAATAGAATAATTTTAGAAGTAAAACCAACCATTGACATGTGCTAGCCTAGCACCAGCGACCTCTGCAAATACAGTAATGACAGTACCTTTTGAAAACATTAGATTAAAATATGACTTAAGTGTAGAATAGTCCATATTTTAGGTGAGGTCAGGCAGGTTCAGTGTAAATGATTTCTTGGCCGTGTTGACATTTCTAAGACGAATCCTTTTTGTTTGCTCAGACATTGATGGAGCGGCGCGTTCGACCTTGGATCAATAAGAAAATCATAGAGTACATTGGAGAGGAGGAGCCAACGTTAGTGGACTTTGTCTGTTCAAAGGTAACCCCCTCTGACCCTTTTTGTGTGTTTAATCTGTAGTTAAACGAGCTTGATTCAGCTGTTAACTCATTTTTTCTCGACAGGTAATGGCTCACAGCACACCACAGGGTATTCTAGACGACGTCGCCATGGTCCTCGACGAAGAGGCCGAAGTCTTTATTGTCAAAATGTGGAGACTGCTTATATACGAAACGGAAGCAAAGAAGATCGGACTCGTAAAATAAGTGTCACAGATGAAGATTCCGTTAAACGTTGTGTACAAAAGCGTAGCGTTATCACGTCAACAAAGTTTCATCTTCGGACATTTGCACACATCACTACTCTCTCATCTGCGGACTTAGAACCCAACTTCCTCATGTTCAGGTGCTCATTGTGCCGTGTGCATTTTGTTGTAAATAAAGTTTTTGTTGAATGTCGAGATGAGCTCTGGACGTATGGACACTACTGTACTGACCACGCACTGCAAAGTCACAGTTCAATCAATGTTAAGTTATTAAGTTGGCTCAAATGGTTTAGGCGCAACGACAAAACCAGTTCTTACTTTGTGATCTGAACAGACTATAAGCTTCATCTTGAGTTTTGTTTCACATTCCTAAGACGTGGAGGCTCTGGTACGTACAGGTACAGGTCCTCAGATCTCACCTTGAACTAGCAGGTGGTTTAAAATAGTCAGGAACACGTATAACCACTGAAGGAGAAATGAGCATACGGGAAAACATATGCTCTTTATTGTAACGGTGAATATTTGAATAAAAGTCAATTTTTATATTAAAGCAACTTTGGTTTTATTTAATTGGCAAATCAAAGCATCTAAATCAGTGTTTCCCAAACTTTTTTTCTGGGGACCCATAGTTTAAAAGTCTCAAACCTTCGCGACCCAAGTCAAGACATTATTCGTAAATCACAAAGGTGGATTTGACCGTTATTGAACAAAAATTAGGATATTTATTGTTGAGTAATACTAATTGTTCAGAGAGACACGATTAGTCAAGTTTTAAACAATGAAAAACCCTAACTTAACCAGCAGTAAAAGGATCCCTAAGTTGCCTGTTTGGACATTAAATTTAGCCCATTTCTTTTTCAACACTCAATTGAATCAGTAATATTGAAACATAGTCTAAACCTGCATGTTGCAAATCGTGACCCCCCCAAAAAAATCTCTTGCAACTCACCTGAGGATCGTGACTCAGTCTTTGGGAAATAATGATCTAAATTATATAATATTGCAACGTTATTTTATTTATAGTGCTAGGTATCATTAAAAAGTTGCCAATACGATACATACCTCGATACAGTGTGCTTTCGGGTCGATACGGAATATTTTCTAATCAGTTCGCTATGGTTCAATAAAAATGATGGCTGAATCATGACTGTGATACTAAAAGTCTTTGTGAAAAACTAATTTTACTAATCAAAACAGTGAAAATGTCAAATGTGTCGCATAAACAAGTTTCCTTCCTCTAAACCAGGGGTGTCCAAACTTTTTTCATCAAGGGCCACATATCTAAACACAAATGAAGCAGTGGGCCATAGACTAGAGCTCAGTACAGCGAATAACTGAAATATGTGCATGTTTAAACACGTTAGAATGAACCATCAGTCTTTATTGATGCTAAGATCCTTAAAACCACACACTAAATATTAAAAATTGGCTTTATCAAGGTAGATTTTCAAAAAACTTGCAGTAAAAAAGTTTATTTTTCATTGATGCAAGGCAATTTGGGCCAATTCACCTGGAAGCCTGAGGGCCAAGAAAAAATTGAGGGCCGCATTTGGCCCCTGGGCCATAGTTTGGACATGCCTGCTCTAAACGAACAACAAAACTTTAGAGTAACAAAATAATTTAGTAAAATATACCAAAAAATACTCTTGGCGATATATCGAAACTGTATCATCACATTAAACGATACAATATTTTGATATTTTTGCACACCCCTATTCATTAACATGCCTGAAATATAAGATTGAAAGGACTTCAGTGCTTTCATTTGGCAGTATTAGTATTTTATGTTTGTGCGATTATTCTACTGAACATTACTTTTTTTTTTTTTATCACCGTAAAGCAACCAAATATGATAAAAAAAACAAAGTTCTTACGTTGTGAAGTTAGTTAGTGAACATTGTTGCCATTGTTCCCAAGCTTAAGCGCAATATGTGTTTCTCAAATTGTAGGACGTTAAAGCTACCATTTGCTAGTCTGATTCATCAGCCGGTTTCACTTCATGGAAACCGTCTGACCTCGCAGCATTAGAATTAATTTGCTCGACAGTAAGCAGGCACTTTTTTTTATTTAACTAATCGCTATTTGGTTGTGACGTATGTAATGCGCCAATCCCGTAGGAAGAAGGGCAATAATGTCTTTCCCCTTGATAAAATTCCCCAAACATTCTCTTTGTTCCAGCTTTAAATCCTCGATCTCGGGAATCGTCTTCTCTGATTGGCTGGTGCCCGGACTCGCACTTCCAGGGTCTCTTCAAACCATCTAGTGTATTCTGATTCCTGACCTAGTCGCTGGAGAGAAATGAAATTGAGAGGCACTAGGTGGCGCCATTACCTCTTAACAGTGGTCTAACAAAGACGAGCGAGCAGAGGTGCAGGTGAAGGGGAATAGGTTTCACATCTGACATTTAGTGGCGAAAAACAAACTTACAGATGGCAGCTTTAAGTTTAGCATTTGTCCTTTGCATTTGACCTGCCCTTCAGGAGCACAACTCTCCAACTCTCGATTCAGCCCAGGACTATCACCTCTTGAGGTTTTAATCTGTCGTGCCTGTTTTGGGTTGATAAAAAGTGCCTGGAGAAAACAAACAAACTCTACACAGACCAGAAAAAAACAAAAAAATAAAGACACATCCATTTCAAAACTTCCAGATGTTTATTGGCGCCACGTGAGAGCTACACAACTATTTGAATCTTCGCAGTAAAAACCAGCACACAGCGGCATAACCCTTTAAATCCAGTTAGCGATGAAACGCCGTGAAATATAAAGACACTGAGCTCTGCTGCGAAAGGGAAGGCCACTGCATGTAAACGCCTTATTTTCAATAAGTGTACTTAAAAATAGTCTATATTTTGGTTTGTGTCCATGTTAGAGGCAGACGTGTGTGTAGGGGTGGGCGATATGGCAAAAATTCTAATTTCCTAGAAGAAAGTTAGCTATTTTGTAGTTCGAAATCACCAAGATATTTCTCTACTTAGCTGTGATTGGTTAAAAGCACCTGTCACTCAAACGGAGCAGGACAGAACAGATTGAGAGAAGCTGGTCGTGCCGTATCGTCCACCCCGACATGTCTGTCTCGTCAAACTTAAACCCAGGTTGTTGGCCGTTGAACGTTAGACGGTAAAAGAATGCGCTATGATAAATATGTGAGACCCGGCGAGTGGCTCTGTCCATAGATACGCATGTCCTGCTCCCATTGTCGGTGGGGTTTGATGGTGTTTTAGTCTTCAGTCTTGGCCTCCATCTCCTCCGCATCGTCGTCTCCGTCCACCTCGGCGTTCTCCCGCTCCAGTCGCTCCAGCTGTCGGGCCAGCTCCGTCTCATCCGTGTCCGTCACCACCTTCGGCTAAAAACAAAAAAAATTGCTGTTTAGAAAAGCAGCTGACCACTTGTTCAGCGCTTTGAAAGACAGTTCCCACGGTTACTGAAATCCTGGAAAAGTCATGGCATTTTGTAAATTCACTGAAAGTTTTGGAAAAGTCATAGAATTTTAGTATCTCTTTCACGCAACTACAGCGTTCTGTTAAATTCTCATGAGGCTATTATGATTATTTCCAAACGTCTGCAGTTTTTGTTTAAAAGAGACAACAATAAATGCACTGACAGTATTTTGAATGGCAAAAAACTATAACCCTTTCCACTCATCTTATGGTTTGATATTAAAATTTAATATATAGCCTTAAAACTATGCTCAATTCTACACATGTAGGTGCCGTAAAGTCATGGAAAATTCACTTTAGGTCATGAAAAATCATGGAAAAGTTTTGAAATTTTGCCAATGAAACAGAGTGAGAACCCTGACTGTAGCTTCCCGGAAAAAAGGCTCATTTTACAAGGTGCATTGCTTTACTTTTCTAATTGAGGGTCCGCCACCTGCTTGTTTCTATAGATATGTCATTGCTCTACCTAGAATGTTCCACAGTGTGACATTAAACAGCTCTACTTTACATTTATTCAATTACAGCTGGTTTTACAGCTCAAAAATACCTAGAAAAACAGATATTCTGACTGTGAGCAGGGTCGCCTTTCCACAGATCTGACCTGTAATTTAGTTTGTTTTAGTCTCCATGAAGATAGAAAGGTTTAATGCCGTACTGTGAAACATTTGCGACAAAGCAGTAACATCTCCATGGAGAAAGAGAAAACAGACCCTGACAGACCCTCCACCAGAAAAGTTACACAATACAGCTTTAAAATGGGACTAAACACCTAAACTCCGCCCACAACTAGGGTTCTGCTAAATCCTGAAATATCATAAAAATGTGAAAATATATTTGGTTCTTAAAAATAGTGACATACTGCAGAATATCACGTGCAAATATCTCGATTATCACATGTATCGCCAGGTCGTGATAACATCGTATCATGAGCCATGTGTACACATTTATACACGTATATATAAACAACAGAAAAATGGTGTTTACACAGAATACATACACATACAAAACACAATTATTTGCGTCAATTTTTGAGCTTATTTAATATTTTCCAATCCCCAAAGCTATTTCGTAAAGAAGCTTCAAGGATCAGGTTGAGCTATACATCAATTTATCAATTTAGACTTATGGATTTATCAATTTACTCCTTTTAGAGCGACAAAAAACCCATAGATACACAATTGACACGAAGTATTGACGTCAACAGTGTGGTTGCCAGGCAGTGTTGTGCACAGAGCCTATTGAAGTGCAAACTGTGTGTGTTTTGACATTTATTAATAGTCAATTCAAACCTACAATTGTACTCTCATGTCCTAAATGTCCTTTCAACTATTCACCTTAGAAAAACATGCAGGACCATCATGGTGAAAACATAAGGCCATTATTTTGGTAGTATTGGAGTAACTGTTTGAAATATTTGTGATTGCAGTAATCGCGCAGCTTTACTGTATTCCCCATTATTAATACATATACATCAGCAGATTTGTGATAACTGTGACGTCTCCTACATCAGACCCACACACAGAGGCAGTGCTTAGAGAATGTTACTTTTGAATAATAATTTTTAAAAAAATGGATTTACCTCCATCTGGATGTTGAAGACCCCTCGCTTCTCCTCGATCTTCTCCTTGATGGCGGCCATGGCTTGGTTGAGCACAGACAGGCCCTCTGTGCGCTCCAGAGTGGTCGTGGTCATCACGTACCGAGGAGGAGCGATTAGGTTGATCTGCAAACAACACGTCACAGTTAAGGCCACTGTACGAAACATGTGAGATGTCAAGACTGGAGACAGGTGCAGGGAGTCTGTATGTAGATCAGAAAGTTTGCATTTAAAAAGGTGCACTATGAAACTTTTCCAGTGAAAGGTCCGCTGCCTGCTCATCTCCCGAGATATTATTGCTTTGCCCAGCATGTTTCATAGTATGGAATTAGACTTATCCAGAGACGAGCAGGTAGTATTTAATGAAAGGTGCACTAAGTGATGTTACCTCAGGTGTGGGCAATTATTTTTTCCATGGGGCAACATGAGAAACAAAATATTGTGGGGGGCCGGGCCAACATGCTTAACTCAATTCTACATAATATTAATTGTATAAGTAAATAAGATTGTTTTGACGAGCTGGTAAAAGTGGTGAGAGTTTATGTTATGACTAAGCAATGAAAAAGTGAGGTTGCCTTACAAAAAATGTAATTTAAAAAACATCTCTAAAATAAAAACAATGCAGCTTTAGCTTATACATGAAGTAAAATGATACAAAATAAACATATTTTAATTCCAAATTATCTTAAACAGGCCGGTCAGAGGTAACCAAAGGGCTGTATGTGGCCCGGGAGCAGGACAATGCCCAGGTCTGTGTTACCTAGAGAACTGGCAACCGAAAACGTGGTGCTTTTCTGATGCAGGACACATTTGTTTACCAACCACTTCTCTGGAAAAAAAACAGCGAAATGAGAGACAGTGTTACCTTGATGGGCATATTTTCTGTGGAGCAGCTGAGTCCAGCTCTCAATGCTTCCTTCACTGCATCGATGCCCTCATAGCCATAACATGCCACCTCAATGTCTGCAGCACAACACATAGAATCATCAGTGAGGAGTAAGACTTTTTCAATGAATGTTTGGAGTTTTAGATGAGTCCCACAGCTGCACGGTGGTGATGCTACCTGCTCTGATCTTTACGGCCTGAGGGGTGAGTCTCCTGTTGATGTTGTCAATGAGCACACTCCTCTCCTCCTCTGACAGCTCCAGCCCGTCCAGGATCGAAGGGTCTCTGAGGGAGCGGACAAAACACATCAACTCTGTGGACTACAGCTGCCATTATCATCAGCATCATCATCATCATCATCTAACCCCACCCACTTTTAGATTTAGAAATCTCATCTTTGACTGGCACTGCTCTCGAGGAAGACCAAACCTCCCCCACCTCACAGTAATTAATTTTAAAAGGTGCACTATGCAACTTTTTCTTGTGGAGAATCTACCACCTGCTTATCTTTATCAAGTTTATCCAAATTTATTTCTTTGCCTGGAATGTTCTACTGTATGGCAATAAAACATTTATTTTGCATTTAAGTACAGTGAAATACATGTATTTTTACTGTGAACTGGCCAGTTTTTCCACAGATCTGTAGTCTGGTGTAGTCTCCTGCTTGTCTCAGTAGTAGATGTTTAATGCCATACTGTGGAACATTTCTATGGAAACAACCAGGTGTCTATGTCATTTTTCCACAAGCAAAAATTACATGATGCATCTTTAACATTTTACTACTAGCTCAAAGGAACCTATAAACCATGAAAGTGGTGAAATAATGAATTAAACCAGATAATATCAGCACTCACGACACAGCCTGTTTGAAGACGTCATAAGCTCCATAACCGGGCCTTTTGTATTTCTCATCAAAGACCCAGGCCGTGCGCTGGTACAGACTCTCGAGCTGCTCGTCTTTACTGTACTCCAGCACCTCAGCCACGTGCCGCAGGATACTGTAAACCTACACACACACAGACACACACAGACACAGGGAAACTTATTATCAGTGCTACAAGTGCAGTGGGGATAAACTTAATGTTCACTTTCTTATTAGCTCAGTCCACAAAAATACCTTTTAAAACAGTGAGCAAGTATCAGAGGTTGGATTTCAGTTGACAAAACATCCACCCAAAGTAATGTTTGTTTGTTTTTTCATCAGATACCTCTTTACAGATTTCAGCAATTGTTTATTATGACAAATGAGCAATCATTACGTAGCTGTATTCCAGATGTATTGTTTTGTATATAATAAAACACTAAGGTAGTAGAGATAGGTGACAGCTTCTGACAGACTAACTTTGACGTGAATCATTTGTTCAATAAAAAGACTGCCATTATAAAACCATGTACTTACAGTTTTGGATTTAGTAAATTTATCTTCACACTTGATGGCCTCCTCTGGAGACACTCTTCTTTTGGACAAATCAATGTATCCTGAAAAGAAAAAACAAATAAAGTATGCAGTAAAGCAATGAGGGATTTAAAGCCGGACAACAGAACAACACCACATCAAAATCCAGGGCAAAATGAGCACTAAACAAAAAATAAACCAAAACCAATTCAACTAAAGCAAGGGTCCCCAAACCCCGGGCTGTGGGTCGTTTGGTACTGGGCCGCGAAAGTGCAAGCCCCCCCTCCCATACACTGTGTGGGCTGCACCAGAACTAAACCAGAACTAAACCAGGTGTAAACCAGGTCTAAAACAGGATTTAGTCAGGACTTAACCATGCCTCCTCTCATAAAAAGGTTGGGGAGCACTGAATTAAAGGACTAAACTGAGCCCAAACCAGGACTAAAATAATGTTACACACTGTTACACATTCAGTATCTCGATAGCTTTGCAGTACCCATCTCACAAATCTGGTTAAAAAGGTTTTAAAAGTGCAATTGATGTTTATAATAAAATCTTAATACTGTATTGCCTTTTGAAGAGCTGAACTTAATCGTGTGCAGTCGTCAGGAGTCTGTTACCTTTCTCCTTGTCCACCCTGATGACAACCACACACTCGTTGCGTCCGATGCGGATGAGTTTGTTGATGGAGCGGATACGTCTCCTGGACAGCTCGCTCAAGAGGATCATGCCCTCGATGTTGTTGTACTCCAGCAGACTGACGTATGCGCCCATCTCTGCGATGGAGCGCACGTTCACCATCACCACATCCTCCACCTCCGGGAAACGGTGCTGATAGAACCGACAGCTGAGCCCCGGCATCGCTGCAACACCACACAGTCACAACAAGTTACAGATGAGAAAATAGATGATCGGCCAATATGTTTGTTTTTTTTCATGTCTAATGCTGATAAAGATTGTTTAGATTCTGGAAAAAACACTATATTTTAGTTGCAATTGTTAGGGTTGGTTTCGATTGATTTCACTTAAATTAAGTAATTTAAAGTGATTTGAATTTACGAAAATTTCACCCACAGCTCTTTCTTACCACAAACCTAAGAGAACTGTGTCGTAATGTTTTGTGCAGTACCGTTGTCGCACTAAGAATTCAAATTAAGCTGTATGTACTAGGGGTGTGCAAAAATATCAAAAATATAGATATCAGGGACTGCTGTATCGATATATCGCCAAGAGTATTTTTTTGGTACATTTTACTAAATTATTTTGTTACAGCGCTACAATTTTGTTGCTTGTTTAGAGCAAGAAACATTTGACATTTTCACTGTTTTGAGGATTAAAATGGGCGTGTTTCATTTTTACTCTGCACAAGAAGTGGTTTAACAAAGACTTTTAGTGTTACAGTCATGATTTAGCCATTATTTTTTACTGAACCATATCGAATCGTTTTGAAATATATCGTATTGAACCGAAAGTGCACAGTATCGAGGTATGTATCGTACTGGCAACTTCTTAATGATACCCTGTCCTGGTGTGCACTCTAAAGGAAGAAGGATAACCCAACCAAAATATCGCCTTGTGCTGGAGATTTAAGACCGATGGTTGATATTTTACACTTTTTAGGACTGACTTGATATATCAGTCAACCAATACATCGGTCTAATTCCACTAGAGAGGGGACAATTTTTGTACAACTTGTTGGAAGCAAGTTATAGGAGATCTTGTACCAGTCTGTGGTGGCCAGCACTCTGTACTTGGCTGTGGTCTGCTGCAGGAGTGACACCAGTTAAAGGGACATTGGGCTGATTGACAAACTGATCCGTAAAGCTGGTCACGTGATCCGCTGTGACCTAGAGACATGTGTCACAGTGAGGGACAGGAGGACACTGGACAAACTGCTCTCCATCATGGACACCCCTGCTCACCTAAAATATACCCATAATACTCCCTACAACAGTACAACAACTCACCCCTGCACCAGACTATAGAGGGAAAGAGGAGCTCATTCTCCAACAGGCTCCTACAGCTCCACTCGAACAGTGAGAGATACAGGACTACTATAATACTCCCTACAACTGTACAACAACTCAAACTCACTCTTATGTAACATAATACTCCCTACAACTGTACAACAACTCACCCTTATGTAACAGATAATACTCCCTACAACTTGAACTGTTTCCTTAGGACCTCTTATATATAACTGTGATACACTGCATTTATATTACGATTTTTACTTTCTATTAGGGGTGTAACGGTACATGTATTTGTGCCGACGTTCAGTTCGGTGCAGGGTGGTGCACGAGTGAACCAGTTTTTTTAAACATTCCCAGTATGTGGTGGTTGGTAATAAAATTGTGAAACAAATGCATAATTAAGGAAAATTGTTCTGTACTCAGCCGTAATGTATCTTGTCCTGGTTTAGTCCCGTCTAGTGACGTCTAGTACCTTATAGTATCTGGGTTAGTCCCGGTCTATTATCTGGTTTAGTCTCGTCTAGTACCGGTCTAGTACCTTATAGTACCTGGGTTAGTCCCGGCCTAGTCTGATCTAGTACCTTATAGTACCTAGTCTATTCCCGGTTTAGTCCAGTCTAGTACCTGGTTTAGTCCCGGTTTAGTCCGGTCTAGTACCTGGTCTAGTCCCTTATACTACCTGGGTTAGTCCAGGTCTAGTCCCATCTAGTACCTTATAGAACTTGGTCTATTCCCGGTTTAGTCCGGTCTAGTACCTTATAGTACCTGGTCTAGTCCCAGTTTAGTCCAGTCTAGTATTTGTTTTATTCCGGTCTAGTACCTTACCTGGTTTAGTATCTGGTTTAGTATCTGGTTTAGTACCTGGTTTAGTACCTGGTTTAGTACCTGGTTTAGTACCTGGTTTAGTACCTGGTTTAGTCCGTGGTATAGTCCAGTCTAGTACCTGGCTTGTCCCTAGTACCTGTAGTACCTGGTTTGGTCTATGCAGTCTATGTGGCTATAATCACATTTTCTTCGTGTTTTTGTCATTTTTAAGCAGCTTTTTTGTATTTTACCTAAACAAATGACAGTTTAAGTCTCTCTTTACTGTTGGCAGGGATCAGATTAGTCAAAAAAAAAATTGTGACATCTGGAACATTTCCTGTACAGATCAGTGGCTTTGGATAAATCTGCTGGGACAGGGGACACGGTGCTCCAAACTGGGACTGTCCCGGGTAAATAGGGACGCCTGGTCACCCTCGCAATGTCCCGTAATATTAAAGCTGAGTAAAACCACTGGGAATGTGTTTTTGAGCAATGAATGAGGATGATGCAATTCAACAGAAACAGATTCCTCCTCGGATCGCTACAAGCACGCGTATTATCGACATTTCACAACTATTCACGTGACTAACTTTGATGAAAACGTTAATACGACTGATGCCGAATAAAAGTGTTATTTTGATATTTTTTATTTCGTCCATGAAGTGCACGCGCCGGCTCCAGCTCTTCCTCACATGCGGAGTTAGCGCTTTAGCTCGCGGCTAACACGCGCCGCACCTCAACAACACGATCAAACCTCCCGAACTCACCTGTGTCATATAGTCCTGCTCTCTTACAGTGGAATGTTCCGTATTGTCTCTTTTCGGCGGCTTTTCACGCGCTCGGTTCCGTGTATTTGACGCAGATCTCGGGCCCCGCTAGCTCACGTACATGGGTGTGCTAATGCTAATGCTAAAGCTACGACCCGGAGAAGATCGTGCGGCGCATGCGCAGAGGGCTTCGTCTCCGGCGCTGTCACGTGACCACATCAGCTGATCAGCGTCGCGGAACAGGACACATCACGAACATCCATCTATGCGCCTAATCCTGCACAAAACACTCATATTTATCGATCGCATGTTTAGATCTATATGTTAGGAGTACGTATTTATATTTAGAGTTAGATTATTTTAGTCGTGATCGTTGTATTTTCGACCAAAGGACAAGAAGATGTCGGGGAAAGACAGGATCGACGTATTCCCCTCTAGAATGTAAGCTGCTTGCTGCTTAGCTTCTCACGGCTAACATTTACTTATTACACCTTAATTAATGTAAAATAACGCGGTTTACAGTGTGTTTGTTGTCTTAATAGTTAATAGGAAGTCCTGGTTTGGTTCCTGCACTAGTAGTATGTTATAAAAGAGGAACATCCTATATTTTATCATGTGATTGCCCATCAGCCTGCTGTGAGTTGTCAGCCTTGAGTGAATGAATGGATACTGAAAGAAAGAATGAAACTTTAGGGTTTACACTTTGAGAAGTATAGAATAGTGACTTGTAAAAGGGTGGAGAGGATGAAGGAGAGGCTGATGACTGTTACACTGCAGATTATGGAGTACATTTTGAGAGGTTTGAGAGGCAGAGATGACTGCAGAGTGACTGAAAGGCATTTTTTTTCAATCATACAAAGTTCTAAGTATTGCTGTGTGTTCCCAGGGCTCAGACCATTATGAAGGCTCGTCTGAAAGGGGCTCAGACGGGACGCAACCTGCTCAAGAAGAAGTCTGACGCCCTCTCCATGCGTTTCCGTCAGATTCTACGCAAAATCATCGAAGTCAGTAACTTGTACACATGTAAACAATGACCGTTAGTTTACCTGTTCACTTTGTGGCCATAGTTCATTGTAAAAAACTTCCACAAGACACCTGTGGCACGGCAGCCGCGGGGTCTTAAAAAGGTCTTAAAGTTCATGTTCCTAAATTAAGGCCTTAAAAAGTCTTAAATGATGTTGTCCAAGTCTTATTTTTTCCACAAAGGTCTTAAATTTCACTAACCTATTTTTTGTATACTCCACTAGGCTGCAATGCAATGTTAAATGGAGGGAGGGGGAAAAAAAACAATGTCAAATCATGTAACATGGATGAACTTCTAATTTGGAGTCTGCACAAACAATACTTTGGTTTCTGGCGCTGGCAGCAATGAGTAAATAATCAGTAGAGTGGAGGAAGATGTTGGATGGATCATGGGGAAGTGTTGGTTTAATCCATAGAGGCTCTTAGATTCTAGGTATAGTAGTTGGTTCGTCATTATTAGAATTGGATCTGGTGTTTTTCGCCCGCATAATGGATGCGATGTTGGTCTTAATTTTCATTTAAGTCGTCTTAAAAAGGCCTTAAAAAAGTCTTAAATTTGGGGTAGTCAAACCTGGGGATACCGTGTGTAGCTTACCACCATGAGTGTGAAGTAAATGAATAATGCACCAAATTGTAAAGTGACTTGGAGCATCTGGAAAACCTCTATTTACGTCTAATACATTATTATTACTTTATTATAAGTCTAATTTGTGTATATGCACACTGTGAACTTGCTGCGTAAATAAAGCTGATGTTTATTTGAATCTTTTCTCAGACAAAGACCAAAATGGGAGAGGTGATGAGGGAGGCGGCCTTCTCTTTGGCTGAGGCCAAGTTTGCTGCTGGAGACTTTAGGTGAGATATGACACAGCTGTTTAGTCTGTGGAGCTCCTGTAGGGGAGGTTTAGAGAGATTTCCAGGACAAGGCTTATAACTTACAGAGGCCCCAAAAAAATCAAATATACAAAAACTTCAATACATTTGAACATAGTCTGACAGATGTTGAAAGAGATGACGAGAAGCAGAACTTATGTAACTTCAATATTACGAAATACTAATAGGTATAGTATACTGTGTAACATACAGTTATCAAAATTTTGTCATTAAATGTAGTAGTTGTGTTTTAAAAATCCACTAAACTTCACCAGACTGGCCTCAAATGACCTTCCCTTTAATTTAATCAGCTATTGTTTTTTTTGTCTGGCTACTTCCACCTTACACAGGCATTGTCTTTGTAACTGCTGCTGCCATTTTTATGTTTTGTACTTGGAGTGGGAGCACAATAGCTACTTTCAATCCATATTTTAAATTAGACAACATTTTAATTTGTAATGTAATACTCTTTTTCTCAGCACTACTATCATCCAGAATGTCAACAAAGCCCAAGTGAAAGTCCGAGCCAAGAAGGACAACGTTGCAGGTGTGAATTTAAACTACATTTTAACTTCATCTACACATACAATATATTCATTTTTATAACTTGTTTTTGCAATTAGGTGTTACTCTGCCTGTTTTCGAGCACTACCAGGAGGGAGGGGACAGTAAGTCACGCCTCAGCTGCAAAGTATCGTAACTTTTTAATACCATTCTAACACCACTTCCTTTGTGTTTGTAGGTTATGAGTTGACTGGTTTGGCCCGAGGAGGAGAGCAGTTGTCCCGGTTGAAGAGGAACTATGCCCGTGCCGTGGAGCTGCTCGTGGAGTTGGCCTCTTTACAGGTAGGGGGCGCTCTTTTGCACTCATTAGCGCTGTTGGTTGCTTCAGAGGTTCAGCTAGAAATGTGCAAATTTAGGCTGCATTAAAAAATCCTCGTCACAAAGACACATGGAGTTGTGTTTTGTTTCATTCACACATGTTTAACTCACAAATCCTGCGTATTTAGGTTCTTCTCTTAAACTGAAAACGCTCTGTTCCACCTTGTGATGTCATGTGGTAGTACAGGAAGCGCTCCATTGTGTTTTTAATCCAATCCACTATATATATATTTTTTTTTATAGAGCACATTACACAAACAGTTTCCAAAGTGCTGCACAAATACATACTAATAACAACAGCAACAATAATATAATGATACAATAAACTCTCAGATTTAATCATACTCGTCTTAAATTGATAAAACCAGTAAAATAAAATGAGAGCAAAACCATAGAATAGCAATAAATAAGTAAAACCGATAAAGTACAATAAAAATAAATAAAATACACAGAGGAATACACTACTCACGCGGTGTTAAAAGCCAGAGAATAAAAGTGGGTCTTAAGACGAGACTTAAAACACTCCACTGTGGGGGCTGTTCAGACGTGGGGGGGCAGTTCATGCATGATTTCAGTCCTAGAATTGCCCATCGCTTCTGAACTAAATTTAAAAGGTAGCTGGTAATTTGAAAATTACCACTACATGGACATTACAAGGTTGAACAGAGCATTTTGAGGTTTGGAGATGTAAACAGATTAATAAACCAGGATTAATCAAACAAGTGTAAATGAAAAAAACAAAAACAAAAATACAACTCCTTATATGTTTTTGATGAGGTAACATTATAACATCGCTTAAAGTTCATGAGCAGACATGTCAAACTCAGGCCCAGGGGTTAAATTTGGCCCGCGACATCGTATCAAACATGTTTTAGAGCTGGCCCATCTTCTACAGATAGGCTATAGATACATTATTTATTTTAAATTTAGTTATTATTTTATATTTTATTTGTTCTGGAATCAATGTTTAAGCAAAACTATTATTAAACATTTATTTTAATAAGAAAAAGTTTAACATTACATATCTCGAAAGAAGAGAAAACCTGCAGATGTTGTTGAAAATTTTAAATAAATATTTAGTTTGGCCCACGGCTTAGTCCCTGTTTTTAATTTCGGCCTCTGTGAATTTGAGTTTGACACCCCTGCACATGAGAGTCAATGTTGTGTAACAAGACCTTTAAACCAGTAACTGCTTGGGCTACATACCCTCCTTTTAAACATCTTAGACAAACTTTATTGATCTAGAAGGGAAATTATTTGGACACAGTAGCTCACACATCACAATATAATGTAATAACAAAGAGCAAAAAATAGAAATGGTAACAATAAATTTGACATACGTAGCAAAAAAGACAGCAAGAGACAGATATAAATGTACAAGTCAAAATAAAATAGAAAAATAAGTAATAAATAAAATATGAAATCTCTGCTTTATACGAGAGGTCATAGGCAGACAGTGCAACAAATATCTGTATAATCGTGAATATCTGTATAATCTTACTTTACAGACTTCTTTTGTGACTCTGGACGAGGCCATAAAGATCACCAACCGGCGTGTGAATGCTATTGAACACGGTACTTCATTTAACATAAAAATACTGCAGTACTTACAGTCGTGAAGTGCAGGGTTTATCGTGTGGTGTTCCTTTGCAGTGATCATTCCCAGGATCGACCGCACACTCACCTACATCATCACAGAGCTGGATGAGCGGGAACGAGAGGAGTTTTACAGGTACTGAGTTTATTAGGCACAGGTTTGAGAACGAGAAATCCACCCTTTGGTCTTTTTTTTTGACTTTTTTCAAATTAATTACACCGCAAATTTCTCTGATCTGGCCAAGATTTTAAAACTTATACCAGGTTATTCAAGTTGTTTTCAGATTTACTATTTACTTACTAGTTCTGAGATGCTTCATTCTAGTCTAGAGGTGGTTAATTTTAAGATAACTTGTCAAGTAAAATGATCTGTCCATGCAGCAAGATAATTTCACTACTTTTAAGTCATTTTCTGATAGATTTAAATGTGATATAACTGTAATCGCTGCTCTGTCTGAAGCTCTGTTACTTAAATTAGACTTTAATCTGAGTTGTCTTTTAACACAATCTGACCAGAAAGAACTGATTTGGACTTTATAGTCACAAGCCATACATTTAGTCCTGGTTTAGTCCTGGTTTAGACCTGGTTTAGACCTGGTTCAGTCCTGGTTTTATCCTGGTGTAGTCCTGGTTTAGTCCTGGTTTAGTCCTGGTTCAGTCCTGGTTCAGTCCTGGTTTAGTCCTGGTTTAGTCCTGGTTTAGACCTGGTTTAGACCTGGTTCAGTCCTGGTTTTATCCTGGTGTAGTCCTGGTTTAGTTCTGGTTCAGTCCTGGTTTAGTCCTGGTTTAGTCCTGGTTTAGACCTGGTTTAGACCTGGTTCAGTTCTGTTTTAGACCTGGTTGAGTCCTGGTTTAAACCTGTTTCAGTCCTGGTTTAGACCTGGTTCAGTCCTGGTTCAGTTCTGCTTTAGTCCTGGTTCAGTCCTGGTTTAGACCTGGTTTAGTCCTGGTTCAGTTCTGCTTTAGTCCTGGTTCAGTCCTGGTTTAGACCTGGTTCAGTGCTGGTTCAGTGCTGGTTTAGTCCTGGTTTAGTCCTGGTTTAGTCCTGGTTCAGTTCTGCTTTAGTCCTGGTTTAGACCTGATTTAGACCTGATTTAGAGCTGGTTTAGTCCTGGTTTAGTCCTGGTCTGTCTGTGATGAGGAAACAACATTATAACAAGACTAAAACTTCACAAGCTTAATGCAGGATATAACCCAGTGTGACTCTTTGTGCTCAGGCTGAAGAAAATCCAGGAGAAGAAGAAGCAGCTGAGGGAGAAGACGGAGAAGGAGATCGCGGCTCGTTTGGCTAAGCTCGGCCCGATCGCGGAGCCGGCCAACATGCTGACGGAGGAGGCTGACGAGGACCTGCTCTTCGAATAAAAACCGTGCACCTCGTCGCCGCTACAATATTTATTCTGTGCCTCGCGGGCCACATTCATGTCTTCTCACTCACCCTGATGGAAGTTGTTTTCGTGTCTGTGTTTGAATGTGTGATTTATTGTGTTGGAAACATTGTCACTGTAATTTTACAACTTAAAGGAGCTGTATTACGCACATTTTTCATCTAATTTAATGTTGTTTCTTAATTGCAAACAGACCTGGAGTTGTGTTTTGTTTCATTTACACATGTTTAACACAGAAATCCTGCTTATTTAGGCTGTTTTCTTTTCTCAAACGCACTTAATTCCACCTTGTGACGTGAAAATTGCTAAAAAATAGTGTGTTAACTTTAAAACCATTACTTGATGACGTCGTAAGGTGTAACTCCAGGTCTGTTTTTAGGAGGTAACAACATTATAACACGACTTAAAGCTCACAGGAGTCAATTTAGCGCAATATAGGACCTTTAAAGAACTTAAAGGAGATGTGTTAAATGCAAAAATACTTTTTTGCACCTGATTTTTGTTGTTTGTCATCGAAGACATGTCTGGAGTTGCGTATTTTTTCATCTTAGTACATTCAAGTGGCTTCAAATTATCATTAAATCCTAAAAACAAGGCTAAAAGCTGTAAGTAAACAGCTGAAAACATGGAAGTAAGTTGAATAGCTGAGTAGTTTAATCATAAGAATAAGTTTGGTTTAAGTTTATGGACTTTAAAAACAAAAACAAGCTCTTTTTGTGTCAGGAGAATGACTAAATATGTGGGATTACTCATATAAACTTGCATAAATTGAACGAAACACAACTCAAAGTATGTTTTTGATGACATAAAACTGGTTAAAATGTGCAAAAAAAAAAGTAAATCTAGCATAATACGTCTCCTTTAAGAAATTGCAACTTGTCACTCATGCCTTGGCAGTAAAGATGATTATTTTGTGTGAATAAAGTTGTACATATCTCTATATAAAGCCATTGCATGCTGTAAAAACGTGGTGGAGTGGTTGGAGTAGAGTACAAATATGACTTAAGGTTTAAACCTCTGTGGAGGACGTTGTTTACCGTTGAACCAAACCTGTATGTATTTTTGATTTGTCCTGAATTAGTGTAAAACATGGAGTGTACATGACCAAGACTGAGCATTTCATCAAAAATAAACGTGTTATGTAACTGAAATGAAGTGAACTTGAAGTTGTATTTTTTAAGTGACAGGTTGGACAACTAATTTCACTAAAACGCACTTAAGAAGATCCATCAGATTTCAAATTGTACATCCTGGTTGGAAATCTTGACATCACATTAGGGAATTTCATATCTGTTATTTATCAACCACAGAAATGATTATTTGACAAATAAAAATGTAAAAAAAAATCCCTTTATTTTATGGAAATAATGTTAATCTGTCAGAATTTGGACGTGTGTATAAATTGTGTTAAAGGTTTGGTACAGAATTCTCCCAGTGTGTTGTCATCAAAATAGATCTCTCTAAAATAGAAGTCGACCTCCTGCAATTTGTTTTGTACATTTTCTTCACAAATGACTTATTGTCTATTTACAACAGGTAATATCCCACCAAATTAAGTCAAAATTAAAGAATCAAACACCTATAAAGCATTTGTTTAGGTGATGTGAGTTACTATTGGAACTTATAACAGCCTACTATGTCCATTTATCCATCCATTTTCTTCTGCTCGTCCGGGGCAGGGTCGCGGGGGCAGCAGTCTAAGCAGGGACTCCCAGACTTCCTGCACCCTGGACACTTCCTTCAGCTCCTCCAGGGGGACCCAAAAGTGTTCCCAGACCAGTCCAGAGTGTCTCCAATGTGTCCTGGGTCTTCCTCGTGGCCTCCTCCCGGTGAAACATGCTCAGAACACCATCCAGAGCCACCTCTTGACATGGAGGAGCAGCGGCTCTACTCCGAGCTCCTCCCGTTTAACTGAGCTCCTCACCCTATCTCTAAGGAAGCACCCAGTCACCTTGCAGAGAAAACTCATTTCGATTGCTTGTATCCGCGATCTTTTCCTTCTGGTCATCAACGACTGAGAGGTAAATCGAGAGCTTTGCCTTTCAATCAAGTCAGCTCACTCTTCACCACAACGGTCCAATACAACAACCACATCACTGCACGACGCTTGAGCCTACTATATATATATATATATATATATATATATATATATATATATTACTTACAACTAACTTACTTACTTCTATGGCAATATAGGAATACAAATATACAAAACTGTACACTACAACTTCACAAACCTGATGTGATGTGCAGGATGATGGGGGAGTGACTTAGCATGGAGAGCAAAGGGAAGGGAGACTCAGAGCATCAAAAACTTAAGTATATATAAAAAAGCATTTAAACAATACATTTTAACAATAAAAGGAAACTATAAATGGTGATCAAACTGTCCAATTTCAATTCTGTGATGAGCCGTTTTATATCAATACTGTGGTTTACAAACAAACAAACAACAAAAATGTATTAAGTAATATTCCTCTTTAACGAAATGTTTGAAAATACTGTATGTCTTTCTTGTTATTGCTTGCTATAATGTCTTTCTTCTAAAATGAGTCTCGTTTCTTCACGCTTCGTTGCTACATCTCTCTCCTTGCCTCAAATAACTCTCTGCGCTCTGTTAGTTTAACACTCATACGACATAAACAGAACAGAACACGAACGAAGCACCGCATTCGCTTCACATTACACTTGTATTTATTTACACAGTTGTGCTTCAGACCCTGCGTAGACTAAGACATGACACAAAGAAACCAAATGCTACACAGGAAGAAATATTTACAGTAGAAACAGCAGCAGATACACCCCAGTCAGACATAACACTGTGACCAAACAACATGAGATTGGAAAAACTGAATATGTGTTTTGTTCACATATTCACAATCACATGATACGTACAAATGATCCATAAAAACTAACTTATCAGTTGTTTATCTTTTCATTTGGCATTTGGGTTCTCAAGACGATTATCCTCACACAAATCTCTTATTTGCGTTGCCAGTTTAAATGCTAAAATCAAAGAGTGTTTAAACCTAAAATGTCTCTCTGATCTGAATTGTCACTGAATAAAAAGTGTGATTATGATTGTAAACTGGATTCAGTATTGAAACTGGCAACCCAAGGGAAGATTCACACGAGGCTCATTCTGCTTTCTGATTGGATAATTGTCGCGAGAACCAACACATCAAATTTAACTTTAACATTGGGTTAAATGGTCATGAGATTTGGGTAATGATCGAAAGGACAAGATCGCGGATACAAGCGGAAGAAATGAGTTTCCTCCGCAGGGTGGCTGGACGCTCACTTCGAGATAGGGTGAGGAGCTCAGTCACACGGGAGGAGCTCGGAGTAGAGCCTCTGCTCCTCCACGTCGAGAGGAGCAGCTGAGGAGGCTCGGGCATCTGTTCCGGATGCCTCCTGTGCGCCTTACTCAGGAGGTGTTCCGAGCATGACCCACCAGGAGGAGACCCAGGACACGTTGGAGGAACTATGTCTCTGGGCTGGCCAGGGAACGCCTCAGGGCCCCCCTGGAGGACCTGGAGGAAGTGTCTGGGGTGAAGGAAGTCTGGGAGTCCCTGCTTAGACTGCTGCCCCCGCGACCCGGCCCCAGATAAGCGGAAGAAAATGGATGGATGGATTTACAGCACCTACATGTGTAGAATTTATCAGACTTTTAGAGCTAAATATGATACGTGAACCCTTTCCACTCACCTTATGGTTTGGTTTTATAGTTTTTTAACATTCAAAATACTGTCAGTGCATTTATTGTTGTCTCTTTTAAACAAAAGGCGCAAACGTTCAGAAATAATCATAATAGTCTAATGATACTTAACAAAATGCTGTAGTTGTGTGACAGAGACACTAAAATTCCATGACTTTTCCAAAACTTTCATTGGATTTACATTATTCTATGACTGGAAAATTACATTTTCAATTTCCATGACTTTTCCAGTTTCTCCATGACTGTGGGAACCCTGGAAATAAAAGTGGGTTTAACCAAATAAGCCAGGTTTTCACTTTAGCTTCATGGAAAACCACTAGAAACAACCCGAGCATCACATTCAGTGTTTTTGTGATTAATCAACATCACAATAATTATAAATAAAATGGATATTTAGTTAATTTCTGATTGACGTTTCCTCAAAATAAACTGACCCTTAAAACCTGGACAACAGACTTATGCTCCAGCTGGGTACTCCTGACAGAGCCGCAAATACAGATATTATTTAGTATTTGTAAGTATAAGCACTCACAAATACTACTGTTTTGTACTTTTTTGAGATATTTGAATCACAATGTTATGACTAAATGGTGAAGTTGCATAATTTGAAACAACAAAACAAACAAAAAAAAGAAGAGAAATACTTGAGGTTCGTGTCAACAACACAGATAATACTGACAACGGTGTAACAGCAGGTTTCATTGGAAGACATGAACAGTTTTCTGAAATGTCCTTTTGGTTTGTTTACTACACACTTAAAAATAAAAAGCCCTTTAACCAATATTTAAAGTCCACAGAAACATATTTTAGGTTTAGGGCCAAAACAAAACATATGTACAAATATAAATAGGTGATATGGTTTTCTATTTGGTCGAATGACACTTTTTTGGAAATCTGGGAAAAGCACAGACACACGAACAGTATAAACATGACAAATAATCCCATAATCGTTCCTCGTCTTCATCAGCGGACGTCGTAGTGCAGCGTAGTCCGTCACGTTCACCTGCTCCTTCAACACTTTTAGTTAAAAAGTAAAAAAAACTAACACAGTTTTTCTCGACTTCCTTTTGGTCCTCGTTGGAGAAGATAAATTCAGTCTTGGGTTACACTTTATATCATGACTACACCTTAATTCATCTTAATAAAGCACGAAGAAAGACTTTCATGAGGAACAAAACTTTGAGGTCTTGAGTATAAAAATTACTCAAACATGCAGAAATATTTAGTTGTACAGGGAGAATCCAAGCTAAATCACTCTAAATGTGACTTCGAGAGGGTAAATGAGAAGGGGAGGTAATCCGTGCTATCATTCATTCTTTCGTTTTTCAAAATAAAACCAAAAATAACAAAACAAAAAAACTAAAATTTTCTTCATTATTTGTCTCCAAAACCAAAATGAAAAGCAGATAATGATTAGTTTTTCAGTTTTTGAGTTTGTGTTTAAATGAATAATGGAAAAAAACAGGATAACAGGTGTTTCCTGTTTTTGCATACAGACTGAACCAGGTCCGGGACCAGACCGGGACCACACTGTGATAGAGGCTGAGATCGGGACTGAGATCGGGACCAGACCATGATTGAGACCAAACCTGAGACTGGGACCAGACCGGGACCAGACTGGGACCAGATCGGTACTGAACCAGGACTGAACCAGGACTGAACCAGGACTGAACCAGGACTGAACCAGGACCAGACCAGTACCGAGATCGGGACTGAGACCGGGACCAGTCCAGGACCGGATTGTGACTGAGACCCAGACTAAGACTGGGACCAGACCAGAACCAGGACCAGGGCTGATACCGGGACTGAGATCGGGACCAGACCAGGACCAGGCCGGGACTAGGCTGGGACCAGGCCGAGACCAGACCGGGACCAGACCGTGATTGAGACCGGGGCTGAGACGAGGACCAGGACCAGGGCTGAGACTGGGACTAAGACTGGGACCATACCAGAACTGAGACCAGGAACAGGACCAGGACTGAGACCGGGACTAGAGCGGGACTGAAAATGGCTTAGTCCCAGTTTAGTCCTGGTTTAGTCCTGGTTCAGTCCGTATGCAGCACAAAAGTCCGGCATCACAGTTTAAGTCATGGAAAAGGGAAACGGCCTTTATCGGTTAATTGATAACTGAAAAAAAAGAATCATTATCTGTTTTTTCATTTTGGTTTTGGAGACAAATAATGAAGAAAATTTTTGTTTTTTTCATTTTCTTATTTTTGGTTTTATTTTGAAATACGAATGAATGAATGATACACGGATTGGAGACAATTATAACGATTAAACGCTCTTTAAAGTCAATTTTGCATAATAGTTCTGCTTTAAGACGAATCAAGGTGCAGTTATTATAAAGTGAAAGCCGAAATTTCTCGTTTCTTCCTTCTTTGAAATGTGCTGGGCTTTAGTGATGCTGTAATTCAAGTACAGTGCAGTGTGAGTCTAGCAGAGCCACGAGGTCGGGACCCACTGCGGCTCCGTGTCCAGACGATCGATGAGGCGCCTCAGCTCGTGGAAGGACTGCTCCTGGTCCACGTTCACCAGAGACGCGTCAAACAGGTGTCCAAACGTCTGCCCATGTCACGGGCCTTCTCCAGAACCTCCTTCAGCTCCTCGGGCTACAGGCACAGAGACGAGACATCAAGTGAAGGAAACAAGAATATTTTTGATAAACCATGTCTGAGTCGTGCTGATAAATTGTTTAATGAAATGAAAATATTTGCCAAACTGTGCAGCAAAAGCTTAAGTGCGAAGTCTTGTCAAAATACTGTGTGTGATACAGAAGAGCAGTGTACCTTTGGTGTTTTCCCCTCTGCCGCCAGCAGGGTGCGCAGTCGTTCCTGAGATGGAGGAGCAATATAGATGACATAGGGCTTGAGGTTGGAAGTCCTCAGCACTTTTAATGACTGTAAGACAAATACGTGAACATGTTGCCATTACTTAGTGTCTGTAAGTTCAGAACCAAACTGTCCTTATAAAATCTAATCTAAAAAAGAACAAAATCCAGTTAACGCAATAAGAAATTTACAGTTATTTCATGCATTAAAATGGTATTTGGGTGCCCTGAGTAAACGTCTGAGTGTGAAGAGAATGGAGTACCACTAGGGATGTAACAATAACCCAAATATCGTGATACTAGATCGTCAAAGTTCTCATAATAATATCATGGACCATCACGATATATCAAATTAAGTCTCTTTGCTTAAATTAAGAGTTATGGTGCAACATTAGCACAGGGAACTACATAGACCATGATCCTTTGCTCCATTTCAGTGTAGACTACAAGAAGAAATAACAGTTCTAAGCACTTTTAAGCCTTAGTTCTTTGGATTAAGTCTTGTCAAGGCATTTTAAGTGGAAAAAAGTAGCATTTTCACATTTTTGTTTGCCTCTACAAAATATCGTAATAAATATCGTACTGTGAGATGCGGATCGTGAAAATATCGTACAGAGAGATTTGGATATTGTTACATCCCTAATCGTGAGCCTCCCCACCATATCATGAGCTTTCCCACGATATCGCAATAAATATCGTACAGTGAGGTTCATAGCGTGAAGATATCGTATCGTGAGACTTGGATATTGTTACACTACTATGTGCCACTGAATCTTTTCCACAAAGAAAGAGTTGTCAATCAAAAAAGGCTGAAAAGCACTGACAGAGAATGATACATCTCAGAGAGGACGATTCAGGATTCCAGTTCTAAAAACATACTGATCATTTATAGCAATGACAAGGTTCATTATCTGTTCATATACTGTATTTTCTGGGCTATTGGGTGCGCTCTTAAGACTCCAGCCCCATCAAAAAATGACTGGGCGCCCCACAATCCAGTGCGCCATATACACGAATCCACGACTTCAGTAAACTACAAAGCCGCACCACCCGCAGCGCACGCAAACACACACAGAGCAGACAGCCAAACAAACACCCGCTGCCACACTTATCACTCCACGCCGACGAGGAATGGAACGGAGGAATGAACCGAAAAAGCGAGTGCAATGTGCCACTTCTACACACAACTGAACTGAGTCACAATCCGACAATCCAGCGGTCCCAGACAGCACCCTCCCTACACGCCACAACTGAACAAAGCCCAGAGTCACCGTGAACGCGACAAACAAACAAAGTCCCACTGACCCATCGAACTGTTGTGTTTCTTTTAAAGTCCGGTGCGGTTTATTTGTGAAGAAAGTTCGAAAATAGACCATTTAATGACAGTGTGATTTATAATCCAGAGCGCCTAATACTGCGGAAAATATGGTAATCTCGCCATCCCTGTTTGTGGATCAGAAGTTCATCCCCGCCCACAGAACTCCGAGTTGTGTGTACAGTACTGACCCTGGAGTGCAGACACAGCAGGCAGATCTTTCCTGAGTTGACCACGTGTCTCACGGAGTCGGTGCTGGTGCCATACAGATTCTTCTCGTATTCTCCAGACTCGATGAACTTCCCCGCCGCCAGGTCGGCCTCAAACGCCGCACGGTTCACAAAATGGTACTCGCGGCCGTTGCGCTCGTGGATTCTGGGGTTTCGGGTCGTGTCTGGAAAGAAATGTTTGAAAATATGAGCCTGGTCTACAACACAAAAAAGCACTAGGTGGTTTTGATAACTCATGACCCTGTAGTGACAAAGTACGGTCTACATCAGAAGTGGGCAACTATTATTTCTATGGGGCCATGTGAGAAACAGAAAATATTGTGGACGGCCAAACTGCTTAACTAAATTCTGCAGAATATTAATTGTATTCCTTTATAAAAAGCAGTAAAGAGGATTGTTTTGATGCACTGGTAAGACTGGTAAGAGTTCATGTTATGACTAAGCAATGAAAAAGTGAGGTTGCCTTACAAAAAATGTCATTTAAAAAAAAAAAAAAAAAGACCACCTCTAAAATAAAAGCAATGCAGCTTTAGTCCATGCATGAGGAGAAATTATAAAATCTGCTTAAACGGGACAGTCACAGTCAACTAGTATGTGTCCTGGGAGCTGTACAATGCCCAGGTCTGGTCTACATCATAATATCAAAATGGTAAAAATGTGAAAATGTGAATTTAAACACAAACGGGGTATTCAAGGGCTTCAGTTTCCCATTTGTAGGTGCCATTTTGAGCACTTTTTGTCATAAAGATTGCGATGGTATTGGTCCTAATTATTCATCACTCTGAAACGCATGGATTAAGTGATTTTTTTGCACTTCTGTGGTTAAAATCAGTTCACATTTGTGCAATATCATCTCCTTAGAGACAAGTTTGTGGAGCACCTTCAGCAGAAAAGTGGCACAGTGCACATTTAAAATATTCAGCAAATATTCTAGTCTGCCTTGTTTCAGTTCCATGTATCCTTAAGAAAACGTAGGACCTTTAGTAAAGATTTCTACTCCACTACATTTTTTGAAGGGGACTGAAAAGTAAGTAAGTATTTTTTTTATCATTGTTTAAGATCTGCGGAGAAGGCTGAGGGTTTTTAACATGTTCATAGTTTGAGCAAACAAATAATATACAAATAAAAACAGCAAGAAAAATGTTCAAAAATCACTACATTTAAAGCTTCATTAGATCTAAAAATCTGTGTGAAATACTTGTACTTTTTACTGTAAGTACATTTTTAAACAGGTACTTTTTAGTTAAGTAGATTTTTTTCATGTGGTACCTTTACTGTGAGTATTTTTTGCTCCGGTATCTGTACTTTTACTTAAGTAACAAAACTGAGTACTTCCACCAATGTTTAAAACGGTGTACACACTTTAACTACTGAAATCAGTGTTTCAAAATAGCTTATTCAAATGTCGCAAACTATTATAAATGGAATATTCGACAACACATTTTTTCACGTTTTAAAATCTGTCACTGTCATTTTGAGATTTTGTATGAACCATGACTGATTTAAATGATTTAAATGAACCGGGAGGACTCACGAGGGACAGCGACAGCATATTTCTCTGGTTCGATGGACAGGAGCCTGCGGCGGAGCTCGTCGTACCCGCTGTTTGTGGGACCTATCAGGGCGATGGGGCGCTTCCGATTGGCCGGCTGGTGATACAGGGACATCTCCTCATAGGTCAGGATCTCATCACCGTCTGGAACAAAAATGGATGGAGTTATATATGTAATCTGAAATGAGAAAGACATTACAATACGATAACAGTGATGCAATCTATATCAGGTTTTCAGTTATGTTCTGTGCAACAATGAGTGTGTAGTTTGTTAGTTATTTGGGTATTTTGTGCTTTTTCATCAAGTTTAAAGGTCCCATATTGCTATTTACTGCTATTTGGGTTGTATGTAATGTGCCGCTAGCAGGGCTAACTGGTATATTAAGCTCTTCCCAAATCCCGCAGGAAGAAGGGCAATAACATCTTTCCGCTTGATAAAATTCACCGCTTTAAATGCTCGATCTCGAGAATCGTTGACAACACAGAATATATGGCTCTTCACTGACTGACTGGTGTCCAGACTTGCACTTCCGGGGTTCTTGCAAACCGTCTAGTGTATTCTGATTCTTGACCTAGTCGCTGGAGAGAAATGAAATTGAGCAGAGGCACTAGGTGGCGCTAGCCTGGCTTGGTACCGTTTCCCTCACCAGATTAATGGTTGTGCACCGGCCTGTACTAGGATTGTGCAAATATATCAAAATACCGATATATCGTATAGTTTAATGTGATGATACAGTATCGATATTGTGGGCTGCTGTATTGATATATCACCAATTTATATATATCAGTATTTTTTGTTATATTTTACAAAATTATGTTGTTACAGTGGTGCAGTTTTGTTGCTTGTTTAGAGGAAGGAAACTTGTTTATTTGCTATTTCCACTGTTTTGATGATTAAAATGTTTGTGTTTCATATGAATTTTGCACAAGAAGTGGTTTAAAAAAGACTTTTAGTATTACATCCATGATTTAGACTGCATTGGCCACTTCTTAATGATACTCAGCCCTAGTCTGTACACTTCCAGACTGAAGGTTTCCAGACTGAAGGCTGCGCACAGGCCTACAGACTTCCTCTCAGACCCTTTGGTGGTGCAGAAGCAAAGTGTACAAGGTTAATAGTGTTAGACACCTGTTCTCAGTCTGATCCCATCCACAAACACTGGACTAATCTGGCAGTCTGAACAAGCTGCTGCGCTCAAACATCTACTCCTGAGGCACTACTGCACGTGCCACATGCTACGAATAGTGAATCCTTCTCTGTTGAGTTCTCCTGGTGCCCCCTGGAGGCCGCTGTGATGCTGCAGGACACAGAGGAGGGACACTTTTGGCTCCTCCTCTCCTCAAGCTGCCCTGACACGGATCTCCTGACCCTCCCTGACCAGTCCTCCTGTGAAACTGCACTGAGATCTTGGACTGAGACACAAAGATGACTGAAAAGCTGCAACAAAACTTACATTTTCCTCAGGTTTAATAAAGTCTCTCTGTCTCTCTCTCTCTTACTACTAACTCCACAGCTGCTGCTTCATCTTCTGCTAAAACTGGATGTAAAAATAATGAAAAATATTGTGTGCAAGTCTCTCAATATTATCACACAATGCACACATTAGCAATAACTACTAAAAAACTGTTAAGATTGTCTGAAAACTCAAAATAAAACAGACAAAATGAATTTAAACGGCACATTTTCAGGAGCCTGAGGTGTTTGATTTTCAACACTGTAATATTATTTGAGAGGGACTTGTTTAACAGAAAAAATCATCTCACCGGTTGTAGTTTTAGCTAAGTTAGTTGTTTCTGTTAAATAAAACTCAGATTAAAGACTAATTTGAGTAACAGAGCTCCAGACAGAATTGTGCCTCTGTAAATAACCCGGAGTATAACTTGCATTAGTTAAAACCTCTTGTGACATTTTAAAATTATTTTTATATTACACTCTATTTTCTGTCGTTAACCATTTACGTTTAGGGTCTATTTCCGGTTAGTGTAAAAACGTTTAATTAGTTTAACATCGATAACGGCAAAGGTGTTTTACGGAGCAAATATATATATATTTTTAGACACTTTCTATTGATTTAAATATTTATTTTGAATAACTTTGTGTCTCTGGCTGTTGTCTTTGTTGATTAGTGTTGTCAAGATGAATGTAAATAATAATAAAACTTGAGTTGAGTTTTGTGTATGCGTATTTACACACTGTATTTGTATTCCTTTTAGCAGATTGCAGGATTTATTGCCATTAAACCCAAAAATCGCCAGTTTAAGTGTCAGTCTTCATTCAGAGGGATACGCTACAGCCTCCTTTTAGCATTCCTTACCGTTTTTGTTTGTGCTGGTCAGACTCTTCTTCTTTTGCTTCTTGTTCTTCTTCCCGTACCAGTGTTTTCCTGCAGGAGAATCACAAAGATGAGATGTTAAATGAAAGCCCTGCGGTGTGTGGTGTAAAACGGGACATCGTGTGAGTGAGGGACCTTGCTGCTGCTGCTGCTGCTCCTTCGCCCGGTCTGTGATGGTTCTTCTCAGCGTCTCCCTCTGCTGCTGGAAGCTCTTACCTAAACAATCAACAAACACGATATTATGAAGCTTAAAAGGTCATATATTACGCATAACTGACTCTTTTGAGGTTTTAGCCATGTTATAATTCTGTTACCTCATCGAAAACAGACCTAGAGTTGTGTTTTGTTTCATTCACACATGTTTGAGCAGCTCTGTACTACAGTCGTCCCTCGTTATATCGTGGTTCACCTTTCCCGGCCTCACTGTTTCACAAAGTTTTTTTAGCTTACCATCACCAGGGTATAGAGTGAATGAATAATGCTGTATGAATGAATGCTGAATGAATAATGCTGAATAACGCTCTGTAAAGCGTCTTTGGGGACAGAAAATGTCTGTGAAAGCGCTATATAAATAAAGACTTACTTACTTACTTACTAAATGTTCGATCTCTAGCAGTGTGATTCTGAAGAAGTCCTGGTTTACTCCTGTTTTAGTCCTGGAATCAGTCCTAGTTCAGTCCTGGGTTAGTCCTGGTTTAGTCTTGGTTCAGTCCGTGGAGTAGGCAATGCAAAAGTTTGATATAATCTCAGGTTAATGGGCGGATGTGGTGTTGTACTGCGTGGTGCGGGTCTCCAGAAATGGACCCGTGCAGGACTCTGTGCTGTCGGGCTCCATTACAGAATAAATTAATCTTCGGTTTGTTACATAAAGAAGGAGGAAAACAACAAAAGGATGAAAGCAGCAATAAGTTTTAAGAAGGATGTAAAAAGGGTTGTAACTGTCCTGTGTGAGAAAAGTGTATAAAGTGTGTGCTGAGGGGTTTTACAGCCTTAAAACAGACTTAATAATTGTAAAATATAAAGTTGACTACTTCGTGGATTTCACCAGGGTTTTTCATCGCGGGTTATTTTTAGAACGTAACTCCTTCGATAATCGAGGGACCACTGTATTAGTTTGTCTACTTAACCAACATTTGTGAGAATAACTCAGTCTAAATATGCAGGTTTTGTTTGTTAAACATGTGTGAATGAAACAAAACACAACTCCAGGTCTGTTTGTGATGAGGAAACAACATTATAACATAGATCAGAAAATAATACGAGTAATATGGGTCCTTCAAACTTAACCTTTGCATGATTTCCCTTTGACCCGGTTTTCCAGACACAACAGACTTGGGTCACTGTAATTACAAATGACTCCGAGTGTTGCATTTAATCTTTGTTCCAGCTGGGTGGAGTTTGCTGCCAGCGCTGATCTGGAGCTTCCCAGTCAAGTACCGGACCATTATTCCCACACATGCATTATATAACACACAAATATTTTTTTAATATACCTTTTTAAATATACTTTTAGAGTTCTTTGTTCAAGTCCTGTTGTATTCTCACATTCCGCCACTAGAGGCTGTCTTTGTTCATGCTGTCTGATCAGAAACCACAGGTGAGGAATTTAAGAGCACTATCTGACAATTATATTATCATTTAGGATGTTTTTTACTCTGTGTTATTGAAATATAATGTGATGTGTGAGCTACTGTGTCCAAGTAATTTCTCTTGTGGATCAATAAAGTCTGTCTAAGTTTGTGTTTTTGTTATTTTACTGTCAATAAAAGAAAAAAACTAACTAAAAAACAGACACAACCAGTTAAAAGTTTGGACCCACACTCTGTTTACTACATTCTGCACTAAAAAAACAAAAAAACAAAACAAAACAAAAAATCCTCAAATTTGCCACCCTCGGCTTCGTAAAAATAAATATTATGTAGCATTACTAAACTTTTTGGTAACACTTTACAATAACTACACCATATTTAGCCTTAATAAAGCATCAACAAAGACTTAAATAATAATGAACAAACACTTAATAATGATTCAGACTTAGTAACTACTTAATTACTACCTTAATTAGCACTTAACTTGCATTTAATTAGTAAATTAGTAAATAGTTACTGAAAAAATCCATCTATCTTGCTTCGTATATTTGCTGTCTTCTGTCTGTATAGCAAATGTAGAAACTAGTAAACATACAGAAACTGAATGAGAGGGTGTGTCCAAACTTTTGTCTGGTATTGTACTTTTCTGTTACTTATAAAAATGCGACTTAAATAGCTGTGACAAATCTTTCTTTACTAGAAGTCTGGCTGATTGAACAGTGCCTCCAGGAGTGGGGAGGGCTTCCAGGAAACGTGTCAGTAAGTCAGTGCCAGAAAATACAGGATTACACCAACAAGTCTGCGTGTCTGTGTGTGTCAATTAAAGTAGAGCTGCTAAACTGGGCGGTACCTGACAAGGGGAGAGAGGTTAGAGGAGGTCAGGAGGTATAAGGAACAGTGTAATTGGTCTAACACAGGCATGTCCAAACTATGGCCCGTGAGCCAAAAGTGGTACTCAGACAAATTTTTCTTGGCCCTCAGGCTTCCAGGTGAATTGGTTTTAAGGATCTGAGCATGAATAAAGTCAGATGGCTTATTCTAACGTGTTAAACATGCACATATTTCAATTGTTTACTGTATTGAGCACCAGTTTACAGCTCTCGATCAACCCTCTGCTTCATCTGTGTTTAGAGATGTGGCCCTTGATGAAAAAAGTTTGGACATCCCTGGTCTAAGAGGTATCCAGACTCCAAACTCTGCCCCTTTATGATCAGAAACACTTGGCTGTAATCCGGGCAGTCCTGTGTGATGTCATGTACTACTTGGAATCGCTGCGGGCACTTCAGGCATCACACACTTTTGTTTTTTTTGTGAAAACATAGCTACAGATGTTCATAGTTTGCGCTCAAATTGCCAAAAAAAGTACACAATAGTATTAAAACTATAAAAATATACAGTTTTTAATTCAGTTTCATTTATTTACTATTTACTATTATTTACTTTATTCCAGACTCATGGTCCATTTTTAAAAATAGACAAGGACATTCATGTTTTTAAAGGACAGCAATACCAGTCTCTCCACATATTGGACTGATATCGTATTGCTCTGAATCTCATTTGTGAGTGATATTATTATTTCACTGTCTGATTTGTTCAGTCTGCAGATAAAACTTTACACTTTTAGTAGCAAAAAAAGTTGATTTATTGTTTATTTTCAAAAGTGGAATACCTAAATGTAAGGTTGTGCTGCCTTTAGTGGTCTCAGCTGGTGTCATCACAAAAGACTGTGGAGTGAGGGAGGAGTCTGAGTGTTTAGTCCCACTTTAAGCACTTTTTCAATACATTTTGCATCCTCCCGTGTCTTTCCTCGTACCTGGGATCAGCCCTGCGAGTGGCTGGTTGTCCTCGTCCCCGTCCCGGTACGCCTGCCACCAGTTGGGGTCATCCTGGCTGATCACGTGCAGGACGTCTCCTTTCTGGAAGGACAGGCCCAGCTCCCGGCACGGCACGAAGGGGTCATCCGAGGGGTCGTAGTCAAAATAAGCCTTAACGTGCATCTGTGGACAAGGTTGGAGTGTGAGTGGAGCAGTAACACGCAGGAGCAGACAGGAGTAGACAGGAGCAGAAACACGCACAGATAGGTTATATATGGACTTACCACAGTATGTCTGTGAGGGGCCGCTTTAATCTGAGAGCTCGGGATCAGCAGGAAGGTGAGTGTCCCGTGCATTTGTTGCTGATGGAGAAGAGACACAGACATTTAGTGATGACATTTTTTTAGGCAGTAGAATGAAAATATCAGACACAAAATAATAATATTTCACTGGTTTAAAAAATATACGACAGTCACAACTGAACCTGTATCTCCAGAGCCTTAACCTGCAGATGACAGAGGACACTAGATACTTCGCCTCGATACATAGACCACGATACAATATATATCTTGATACAGCGTACTTTTGATTCAATACAATATATTTCAAATTGTTTCGATACAGTTTAATAAAAAATAATGGCTAAATCATTGCTGTTGCTGCTGTCACTGCTGACACTAAAAGTCTTTGTTAAACCACTTCTTGTGCAAAGTTCATATGAAACACAAACATTTTAATCATCAAAACAGTGAATATGTGAAATGTGTGGCATAAACAAGTTTTCTTCGTCTAAACAAGCAACAAAACTGTAGTGCTAAAACAAAGTAATTTAGTAAAGTATACCAAAAAATTCTCTTGGCGATATATATATCGATACAGCAGCCCAAGATATCGATACTGTATCATCACATTAAACAACACGATATATCGATATTAAAATATTTTTGCACACCCCTAGAGGACACATATGTTTTTTCTCATTCTCAGTATATGGACAGACCAGGCCTCATGTGAAAGCTCAGAACCTCCAGAATTCCCTCCCTGAGCTGCAGAGGCTGCACTAGCACTGACTCATGACTGGCTGCGGGGTTTGCGGAGGTAGTGACCATTCAGATCAGAGAGAATCATGTTAAAACAAACTGGATTTGACCATGGGAACTGGCAACCCAAATGAAACTCATGTGAGGTTGATTCTGCTTTCTGGACAATTAACTTGAGAACCAAAACACCAAACAATAACATAGACAACTGTTTTTTGTAATTAGGACTAAAGCAGCACTACAATTGTTAAAATTAAGAGGTACATTTGATTTGAACATGTTTACCTTGTACATGGGGACACACATTTTCAGATTTATAAAAGCTGAAATAGAAATTGTACATACTTCCTTTACTATTTCGATTTTGTCCTCCTTATTTGATTTTTTTTCCTTGTAGATTAGTACCTTATAGATTTATTTCATACACATACTTGGTACCAAGAATACAAAAAATATGCAGTAGCACCTGGTTTGCAAATGTAAAATGACAATGGCTAAATTATATCTCTTCTTAAAAATACTCTAAAGCTAACATGTTATATGAAAAGTCTGTGGCCTTCTCACCAGCATGTCGTGCACTTCGTTGACATGTTTGCCTCTGATGGGGATACCGTTGATCTCCAGGATCTCATCTCCTTCGCTGAGGAGACCACTGCGCTCGGCCACGCCCCCTTTGACCACACGACTGACCACCACGCTGTCCACGTCATTACGCACCGTCGCCCCCTACACAGCCAGAAGAACGCAAAACAAATGTGAGCACAAAATCACCAAATACGGGTTTTGAATTGTGGCAAGTACATATGACAAGTTGGAGTATTCATTTTGCTACAACACAATAACATGCCAAAATAACTGTGTTTGCTGAAATATTTACCAAATATTCCAAATATTCCCATTTTCAACTTTTCCAATGGTTCCTCAAACATTGCCACTTGACCGGTGTAAAATTATAAATATTTACAAGTGAAAATGTAAAAAAAACATGTAGTAAAAAACATGAAAACTTGTCATATGTACTTTAAATGTATTGAAATAAATAAAAAATGACCAGTGGTGTATCTCGGGTCTTCTCCAGTCTGACCAGTTTGACGGACTCTCCCAGGTACTGAGTGAGAACCTGGCCCTCCGGCAGCTCCTGTTCAGCCACGTGGTCATGGGCCTGCATCAGTGCCTGCCACACACACACACACACACACACACACGCACACACAAAGAGACACACATGCAGAGACATAGAGACACATGGACATAAACAGACATGGACAAACACACAAATGAAGACACAAGAGACAGAGACAGTGAGAGAGACAGAGGCAGGAAAAATTAGTGGGACAGGAAATGAGCTAATTATTTTCGGTCATTATAAGAGCTCACCAAAAGCAAAATTTTGTTTATTATGTTTGTGACCGTCAAGAATAATAAAATAAAATTATGAGGAGTCCAGTGCAAATTGGATGCGTTGGAAAAACAAACCCAAAACATATTTAACGCTGGTATAAATGGGATTAGGGTTGGGTATCATTAAGAAGTGCCTGATAAGATACATACCTATAAAAAATAAATAAAAAATAAAGGCTAAATCATGGCTGTGATACTAAAAGTCTTTGTTAAACCACTTCTTGTGAAAAGTTAATATGAAACACAAACATTTTACTCATTAAAACTGTGAAAACGTCAAATGTGTCGCATAAACAAGTGTTCTTCCTCTGAACAAGCAACAAAACTGAGGCGCTGTAACAAAATAATTTTGTAAAATATACCAAAAATACTCTTGGTGATATATCGATACAGCAGGCCACGATATCAATACTGTATCATCAGATTAAACGATACGATATATCGATATTACAATATTTTTGCACACCCCTTTTTGAGAGAAATGGCAAATTGTTTTTGTTTTTTTTGTTTTTCAGACAAGCCTTACGATTTGACTTGTGATTTATGTTTTAATGAGGGCAGCAGTGTAAGAATTTGTTGGCTTTGGATGAAATGATGGTACTTCAAAATCTGCAGCCTTTGTGATTTGCTAATTACACTCATTCACATTAAGATTTGATTACAATTCATCTTGCAGCCCTAAATGAGACGAATATATTGAGCAATATATTTGGACACTCCCTCTCGTTCACTGGTTTTGTGTTTCATTTTTTTTCTAAATGTACAACTCAGTGGCTGTGATTGGTTTGATAACAACATTTAAAAGTTAGATCTTACAACGTTATGTAAAATTATGAAGTTGGGAATCATAGGGTCCCTGTACTCATTGCAAATACACATGTCCGTCCACAGACTTGATGTAGCAGAGTGACAGTGAGGGGGGTCCTGCGTGAGCTCTGTCTCCTCCTGCTCTCTAACAGAAAGCAGCAGTGTCTGTCTCAACAGGCTAAGCTCTGCGCACAATCCGTCCTAATCCCTGCGCAGTTAAAAGTCGGCCTGCACCACTCACTATCATCGTCTGACCTGTGTTTGTGACGGAGCCAAGAGGAGCCATTTTGATAAAGCTGGCACAGCAGTCATGTAGACACCATCTAGTGGTGTTATGTGAGAATACAACAGAGCAATCCTATTACAAATGGTAACTTTAAGGACTTTGAGGACTTGAGGACTTTTTTAAATTCAAAGGAGGAAAATCTTGATCATCTCTTGTAGCTACAACTCCCACAGGCCCGTGCAGTGCTGATGTGAGCTCATGTGGCAGCTCGGAGACAGGTGCAGTGCTACAATACTCAGTGGGCAAATAAAGGGGCAAAGAGTGGCACTGGCACACTCCCTGCTCCCCTCTGACTCACTGTGGTCCATAAACTTCACCTGCTCTGCTCACGCTCAGAAAGGAACAGTTTTAAAGGTGATTATAAGAGGCATTCTTGAAGAGGAAGGAGGTTATGAGAGAAAAATGCTCTACCCCCTTCCAAGTAGCTCATCAAGGGATTTCTGAATTACACGTATTGTCCTGAATAACTCCCAAATCTGATTAATTAAAAGGCTATTATTATTGTAAATCCATCATTCATAAATAAATAATGCTTTATGATTTATGTTTTATCTAACTGTACCCCATCTAGGTATTATGTATACTTTAGTTCCTGTGACCGCTAAATTTAGTAGCTCTCTGGCATTTTCATTTTGTAAAGGTAGCTCATCAGAGGAACAAAGCTGGAGACCCTTGCTCTATGATATATCTTAGGCCATGCCATTCTTTAGAACAGCGGCACGTGGCTGAGCGCATAACTCTCACAGCAAGAATGTTCTGAGGTTGAACCTTGAGTAACCCAGGCCTTTCTGTGTGGAGTTTGCATGTTTGCAAGAGGCATCCTACTATGCATCAGGTTACTAGCCAGGTCTGTGGAGAGGCTGGCTTGTTCACAGTAGGATACTTTTTACATTCTTTATTTAACCAGGAAAGTCCACTGAGATTTAGAATCTCATTTTCAGGGGAATCCCAAGAGTGCTAACCACAGCACCACTGTGCTGCTGTTAGTCCAGTAAAGTCACACAGAGAAAATGAATCCCTATTATTTGAGAGTATTTTTCGGGTTGTGGTCTGTAATCATGAGGCACTGCTGTTTATGTTTTGACATATATACAGCAGAACAGAGAGAGAGTCAGTATAACCTTAGAGGAACAGGTATCTTTAAAAAAATGAAGGTAAGAACTAAGAAAAAAACTTATTGTATTGAGTATGATTTTAAAAAAGTCTAATACTGCAGAAGGCTTTGAAAAGTGTATAAAGCATTATGTTTTGAAAGATATAGAGCTCTGGAATAAATTATGCATAAAATTTTGTTTGTTTTAATTGATATTTTGTCTCTTATATATACAATAAGTCGTAAGTGGAATTGTAAATGTAAACTTGCTGTTCATATGCTGTTTTTTTTCTTGTAATTCTGTCATTGTAGGGTTTGGCATTATAAGTACTTTTTACTTCAGCCTAAACTCTTTCGGTCATGATCTATGGGATTGTAGTCGATGTTTTGTTTTGTAGTGCTGCAAAATGACCGAATAAACTACTACTACTACTACCTCTACATTTTTCACAATGGAGTTATTAAGCATGATGGCACTTCCACTTTGCGACAATAACAAGCTGAATATACGATTTTTCATACGATTTTGATCAAGCCCAATTATTCCTGTTACTGTTTCCTTGTCTCCAAACTTGTTTAACCTTGGTTCACTTCATTTCACATTCTTCAGCGTTTGTCTAGCCCTGCTGCTTGTCTCCAGAATCTCTCCCTCATTACAGACACAGCGGCCCTGTCTCCATAATGGCCGCCTCTGAGCCCAGTTTCATTAATCTCCTGTACGAACGATGCCAAACAGAGCTCCACCTTGACCTGTCTCAAATGAAAGTGGATGATAAAGGAGTGAGGTTAAACGAATGTGCCAGCAGTGAGGAGACAAGAATTTCAATGTAATCACTAGATACTCAGTCAAACTCCATCTTTGGTGTCGGGATATGCCACCGTACCCCAGTTTATTACTTTATTAAACTTTAATCTGAGCTTTATTTTAACATCTGACCAGAAAGAACTGATTTGGTTGGAATTAAACCACTCTCTCACACATAATATTACTGTCATAATTTGGTGATAACATTACACTGCGATGTTTTTTCTCACAAGAACCCTAACATTAATTTGGATTTTGTGAAACTGATAAAGGCCTAGTGCCGAAACGTTGCTGATGTCCTAATTAAATTCACAATTTGCAAGTAGAACGGTGTAGTGGATTCTTCTCTGTTCATTTTTGAGGCTGCTCCCTCTCCTCTAACGCACCTGTTTTAAGAAACTGATGTGCTCTCGTTCTTTTATATTGATTTTGTGAAATTAAAAAAATCCTCTATCCATTCTATTGCTTATTTCACCGTCTAAGACACTTTGTTGGAAGTAATTATCGAGTCTGTTTAGCTCTATGTCCATCCATTCATCCATCCAATTTCTTCTGCTTATCCGGAGCTGAGGTGCGGGGGCAGACTTCCCTCTCCACACCCTTCCTCCAGCTCTTCTGGGGGGATCCTGAGGCGTTCCCAGGCCAGTCAAGAGACATAGTCCCTCGAGCGTGTCCTGGGTCTTCCCCGGGGCCTCCTTATGTTGGGACGTGCCCGGAACACTTCTCCAGGGAGGAGCCCAGGAGGCATCCAGAACAGATGCCTGAGCCACCTCAGCTGGCTCCCCTCGACATGGAGGAGCAGCAGCTCTACTCCGAGCTCCTCAGCCTATCTCTAAGGGACCAGCCACCATGCGGACGAAATTCATTTCGTATCTTGTATCTATGATCTTTTCCTTTCGGTCATTATCCAAAACTCCTGATGTTGTTTTATTATTTTATTAATTACTCTGAGCTATTATTAAAGTATCTCTAATTTTTAGAGTCTTATATTTGCTCAGATCAGTTAGAGTGTGTTCTGAAGTTTGACCTGTAGGTGTGGGTTGGTGAGCAGAGTCCTCAGTTCCAGACCTTCCTTCTGTTGGCTTGACTGGAGAATCTTCTGCACCTGAACACAACACAGCATTTTACAGCATCTGAACTTCCTGTCAAAAGAGGATGTGCTTAGGGCGAGATTCAAACTGTCCACCCCTCGGTTCAAGACAAAGTTCAAGTCATTAGTTAAAATTCTCTACTATCTTCTACATTGAGTAATATTGTCTTTTTGCATTGTCTGAAGCTGCCGTTTCAGTGTAAACTAGTAGAATATCATTTCAAACTGAGTATATGGTGTTTGAATAGCATTGTCTTCTGTTCCTATAGTCCTTTTTGGCAATGTTAGTGCAAATTAGCTTTCGGGTAAAAATAAAAAAGTATAAAAATGGGCGTGTCCTGGCCATAGACTGTTTAAAGAAGCGGACTAAGTGAGTGTGACATCAGCAAATCAAATGAAACTCATGAGGTTAGCAGTTACTGGAGCAAATTTGGAGCTGAGTTCCATATTAAGAATTGGAATTGAGTTACAGATAAAACAGAGAAACACTAAGACCATTTTGGCTGAATCCCATTACACCCCTTGGCTTTCCCCTACTCCTGCGTTTTGCATGTTCACGTGTAAGGGTAAGGGTATCCCAGTTACTGTTATGGCAGAGGGGTAGGGGAAAGTGGTAGGGCTATATACTCCTCCAAACAAAGATTTTTCAGAGGCACACTCCAAATGCAAGGCTATGACCAATTTCCCAGAATGCCTTGCGAATCACGGGCAAGATGGCTGCTACAACAACCACAGAGACCACAGAGAAAGTTCACAAATTGTAGATGGCATGTTGGATTTCTGGCAAAAGCTCATCGCGTTTGCTTACGTAAAAGCTGGCGGAGACGACTGATGACGTATGTGATTGTTGAAGGGGTCTCCCAATTCGTAGGGATTTACTTTTCAACACCTACCCCTTGTGGCTCAGTTTCAAGGGCCAAGGGGTAGGGGTAGAAATTAAAAATGGCACTGGCCCTTTAAGACCAAATGAGGAGTCAGATAGCAGTCCGTACGGAGAGAGGGACGACATTTTTTCAATACAAAGTGAGCCAGACTCAGAGTCAATGGAGCCTATTTGGAGCACAGCCAGCCAGCAGCTTTGTCAATGGTCCTTTTTCCTGTGCCCACTATCAATTTAATGTATTTGGTGACATCACACACGACTGCCCTGATTACAGCCAGGTATTTCTGATTACAAACACTGGCTGCAGGGGCGAAGTTTGAAATGTGGATACCAATCACACGGTTTCTTCTTTCTTCAAATCCCAAATCTAAGCACAATAACTGCGATTAGCCACGTGTCTCAAATTATCGAGTCCCGGTCCCATCTTAAACCCCCTGCAGAGGTGTGGGTGTGACAGGTGGGTCGTCCCCCTCCCCCCATGCTGTGTCTGGGCTCTCACTACCATAAGCTGCTTTCCTTTTCTGTACCAGGGCCACTGCTGCTGCTGCTACTGGAGATTAGCTCTACCTGCATGAGCTCCGGCAGTCTGCACGCATGTTTATGCACCGGTAAAATAAGCAACACGAGAACTTTCACACAAAATGATAAACCTAATGTGTCCAATGAGAGCCCCATGTCATACGCCACTACTCCATGAGCAATATACACAAATATAAAATGTAAAAGGTGCAAATTTTGTGGTGGAGAATCTGCTTGTTTCCATTGGGATGTTATTGCTTTGCTTGGAATGTTCCACAGTATCTTTTAACATCTGTCTTCCTTTTTTTTCCAGTTGCAGGTGTTTTTATTGCTGAATAAAAACATAAAAAACATGCATCCCTAATGTGAGTGGTGTTGCTTTGTCGCAGAGCTGACCAGTAACTTGGTATAGGCCATAGTAATGTACATACTGGTTGTCTCCATGAAGATAGATGTTTAATGCCACACTGTGAATCATACCAGGAAAAGCAACAATATATCCATGGAGACGGATGGCACCAGACCCTTCACCAGAACAGCGACATCGTGGACCTTGAACATTACATTTCCTTGTATGCATGTTATTAATATTTGGCAAATCAGTTACACATTAACATTAAACTTTCCACAGAGACATTAAAGCAGCACCACCAGGCCAAGTTAGATCTGTGAAGAGGCGACCCTGCTCACTGAAAGTATGAATCTAGTTAAGGAGATAGCTCTGGACATTTGAGATGCTAGAAAACGTATTTTTACAAATACGTGGCAACAGAGGAAATACCTTCAGGGAATGATCTACTGTATTTCACCTGGACACTGCTGTGATGCTGCGGGACACAGAGGAGGGACACTTTTGACTCTTCCTCTCGTCAAATTGTCTTGACACAGATCTGCTGACCCTCCCTGACCAGTCCTCCTGATAAAATGCACTAAGACCTTTGATTGAGACACAAAAGCTACTGAGAAGTGCAGTGGAAATGTTGTAAAACTGCAGCAAAACTTGAATTTCCCTCTAGATCACAGGTGTCAAACATAAGGCCCGGGGGCCAGATGCGGCCCTCCAAGACCTTTAATCTGGCCCTCGGCTGATTTTCTACTAAAATATTTTAATTATAGTTTCTATTAAAATATTGGTAATTTTCTCTGCGGTGCTTAGCATAGTGGCCCCTCCCACCAGAGCAACACAAATGAAGACTTGCCTCTTTCCAAACGACCTTAAAGGACGATCGTTTTGACCTCATCAGCAAAATGTCAAAAATGAGAAAAGTGGAGCCAAGTGCAGGATTTTCCAAGAAAAATTGACTTATTCCTATTTGCATACAAGTTAATGTTAAAACATTGTGTTGAAATTGCATTTTTTCCTAAAGTTTCAGGTTGTTCATAATATTATAATATTTTGTAAAAGAAAGAGTTCATCAATTAAAAAAATATTTCTGTAATAGATTTGTGTTTCTCTGCACAAATATTTGAACTTATTGTTATTTTTGGGGTTTATATGACATGAGTTTTCTGATCTGGCCCCTTTGGGATCAAAGGAGGTTGGATACGGCCCCCGGACCAAAATGAGTTTGACACCCCTGCTCTAGATCAATCAATAATCTCTTCACAATAAAAATACCTAATGAATGTTAGACAGATGTTTTGATGTCATACTGTAGAAACAAGCAAAACCGGCCACAAGTCAAATAATTTGATGAAATCCTGTCTTATAACAAAGAGTGAATGAAGTTTCCTCCCTTTAACTCTTAGATACGCTGTGTTGCCCCTTACCTCCAGACAGAGGTCCTGAGCTTGTGTGGTGATGGGCGAGGTGGGGCTGACGTGGCTCAGCTGCTGGGACACCACGCTGTAGATGCTGTAGGCGCTGTGGAACTCCTCTGAGGACAGGAGCTGGAGGAGCTGCTCCGTGTCCTGCAGGCTCTGGGGGTCTGACAGGCAGCGCTCAGCCCACTTCAGGGACTCCACGAACTCAGACACATCTGGGGAAGAAACATGCCTAGTTTAGACCACATTCTCCTCACATGTTAGATTAAAGGAGACATATTGTTATAACCGCTTGGTGTTTTTAGTATTGAAACTAAAACATAGCAGTGTTCCAAAGGCTCTGTGCACAATGATCCCATGTAGTTCAAGTCAGACGGACAGTTTGGTCGGTCATTTCCGCTCTAGTATTTTGCAGAACTGGACTAAAAATCTCTAAATCCTCATTCAACGGGGAGCTGCAAGTGGTTGTCAACATGTGTCTCAATGCAAATGCTAACTTTCATTAAAAAGTGATATTCTAACATAACAACATTTTAACAACAGATTATATTTAGGTACAACTTATAAACCACAAGACACCAGGGAGGTCCTCGATCACTTGTTTTATGAGGGTAATACTACTACAAAGAATAAATCACATTGTTGTTTTTTTTTATTGGATCCATCCTCTGCTGTTCTTTCAGTGCACTGTTATGTGTTTTCACTTTGGGCTCTGGAAATCTTTTGTATTAGATTCCTTTGTGTCACTTCTTGGACCGCCCTGCCTCTGTGGGACCCCTCTGCTGCTTCATTCAACCCCCACAAACCTCATAACGCCCCTTTGAGTGGTCACAATACTCCAGTGCTGGGAAGTGACTAAGTGAAAGTACTTAAGAGCCCGAGATGCCTTCACATTGTAGAATCTGATGATGCGATAGTTTCAGAAGGAGGGCAGGCACCAATGAAGACAATGAACTTTACTTTGTGTTTTTGTTTCATATGTGACTAGGCCCAGTAAAACTAATCCAACAAATCTGACAGTAAAACCTGACCTCCAGATGTGACGTCAAGTGAACCCAACCTTTTGTCCTTCATTTTTGTTCATAGGTCTGTTATTAATGTTCATATCTTAATTTAGGGACAAAATAGAAAAATAAAAACCCCAGGATCATGTAGAGCATGTTAATACGAACATTTCAAGGTCAGAATGAGGAGACTGACAGCAGCAGTTACAGAGAGAGGGGCAAAGTCAAATAAGTCTTTTTTGGTGATGACACTAAAACATCACCTCCTACTAGGGCTGTGCCAAAAATCGTAAGATCAATTTGGTTGATCTCGATGATAAGATAAGCACATTTTAATGACAGGTCAACAGCCAATCGAGTGTAAAAAATTCCTTGTCCACGTAGAATCCATGGCAAAAGGAGAAATTCAATTTGTCAACTGGACAAATCATTATTATTTGGTTGAATATGTTTCGCAGCTCATCGAAGCTACTTCTTCAGTTCTGGTTATCAATCGTTAGGAAAAGTAGCCTGAGCCACAGTGTCTCTTTGTCTGTTCAAGTGTTCACAAGTTTTGACTTAAATGTGCACTTTCTGCAATTTCACTAAAAGTCCAAACTGCAAAGCCGGACTTTTGCACCACATATGGACTGAACCAGGACTGAATCAGGACTGATCCCTGGACTGAACCAGGACTAAAACAGGACTAAACCACGTCTAAACCAGGACTAAAACAGGACTAAACCAGGTCTAAACCAGGACTAAACCAGAGGTCTCCCAGTCTCAGTCCTGGTCCCAGTCCTAGTTCCGGTCTCAGTCCTGGTCTCAGTCCTGGTCTCAGTCCTGTCTGGTCCCGGTCTCAGTCCTGGTCTCAGTCCTGGTCCTGGTCCCAGTCTGGTTCCGGTCTCAGCCCTGGTCTCAGTCCTGGTCTCAGTCCTGATATTGTCCAGGTCTGGTCCTGGTCTCAGTCCTGATCACCTGACAGTGTGAACGCAGGCGCACCTCCAGGCCTGTCATGACCCTCCGTCCTGTTTTAGTTCCGGTTCAGTCCGTATGCGGCGCAAAAGTCCGGCATCGCAGTTTAAGCCACGGAAACAAGAAAAGTTATCTGATTGTTCATTTTGGTTTTGGAAATAAATAATGAAGAAATTTGTTGTTTTTTTGAATGAATGAACGAATGATACATGGATTCAAAACATCGGCTTCAAAGTCCAGCTGTTTTCGTTTAACTCACTGATACTATTCAGAGTAGATGTATTATTGAAACATTTTGCTCCTTTAGCTACAATATGTGTTTACCCAAGTCATAAAAATTAACTTCTTACTCACCAGCTATATAGTCCGGGACACCCTCTCTGCTGAGCCTCTCCTTGTTTTCAAAAGTGGGGTTATCGATGCCCACTTTCTGGTTCTGGGAGAGCTTCTTGAGCCGGAGTGAGGCGTTGGGGTCGATGTCGTGCTTGCCCCCCCTGCTGGCCGCCTCCTCCTCGCGCCTCCTCCTCAGCTCCTCCTGGTAGTGCTTGACCCTCTCGGTGTGGGCGGGGCACTGGGGAGATTTGACCAGGTTGGGGGCATTTTGGCGGTCGGCTCCCTCCTCCCCCTCCTCGTCGCCGGGACAGTCCACCGCCCGCTCCCTCGCGCCCGGCTTGGCTTCCTGGACAAAGCCGTTCATGTGGCCGGTGATCATCTCTGCCACATTGGAGGAATTTTAGGTTTTTGGTTTTTCATCTAGGATCCTGTAACAAGTGTACAGGGGACATCTTCAACAGCTCCTGATAATACAAACAAAATAAAGAAATGAATTGATTTTTATATTTCTACATCACTTTCACATTCACTTTTTAAAAACCAAATACCTAAAAAAAAAACATGAACCCTTGTATTGATCACAGACTCCTAAAAATGTTCTGTTTAAATCCATTTTGTGTTTTTTCTTGAGTTTCAGACCATCCTAAAACCTTTCTGACTGTGTTTGCTAATGTGTGCATTGGGTCACCATGGTAACTGCTGAACATTCCACCATAGAGACCCATGTAGAACACCATCAGTGTGATGTCACTGCAAAGTATCAATAGGGAAATAAAAGGGATAGTGTTTGTATAAAGTTTATTTCCTTAAAAAATATATTAATAGCAAACACAACCTTACGTTTTTAGATAGAATGAAAACTCAAGAAATTGAACAAGGACTAAATCAGAACTGAACCAGGACTGAGTGTCAGGATGGACCTGGAGGTGCACCCACATAGATCGTCGGGTGAAAGGACCGGCGCAGAGCTCTGCCACGTGATTGCGCTTTGCGGTCACCCCATATTATAGACTCAATGTCGTGACTTATTTCAGCCACTGGGGGGGGGGGGGGGGGGGGCAGTGACTCCCGCAAACTCCGCCTATGCTGCAAACTAGAGAAAATTGCTACTATATCTTTTTTTCTTAAAGGAGGATCATAATGGATAAACAAGAAAAATAAAATCTACTAAAGCTCATGACATTTGAACATTGTTTTCCGTAGCCATGGTTAATCGAGGACACTTCCACCCCCCTCAACACTCTCTCTAATCTAAGTGGTCCCATTCAAATCTCCCTAACCCCCCGCCTTGTACACCTGTCCCATATGTGCCCAACAGCTTAGCCTGCCCTGCCCTCAGGCACCTCTATGGAAATCTACTTTACACAGGAGTCCACCTTTAACCCACTAATAGGGGACCTTCACGATTTATAATTGGATGATTTCATGATTTCTGATAGACCACCTGGGCCAGCAAAGGAAATATCCAAACTGAAAATCTGAAAACGACGAGTGACTTTAACTGTTAACAAACGTGTTTGCGGTTGAATAATGGCACCACTTTTTGCAACTTTTGTAAAAAAAAAAAAATTTTAGTTTTTTTATTTATGGATCTGCGTCGAGGTCTGTGCGCCGCAAAGTAATTCACCGCCACAGCGCTAGGAGCTAGGATTTAAAACTGGCAATCATGTATACAAACTGAAGTGGGAAAGCGGAGTACCGGAAATGTATGTAGAGCGGATGTAGAGACGACCAATCATAGCTCTTATTGTCTGGGTCGGTTCGGTAGTGTCCAATAGGAAGTTTGTTTTCCGTCAAATGTGCGTGTGCTCCATCCATTTTGATCAGCCCAAACTTTGCCAAAGAGTATAGTGAGCCAAAATTGTCGATGCTCTGAGCATCTGTGTTCGTAACAATTGAAAAAGATGCTCTAAGTGCAGTTATTTCTCAAACAAATGGCAAATTACGCATCTCGGTCTGTGTAATTGCGCATCCCTCGCTATTTTTATTTGAAAAGTTTATTTCACTGAAAATGCACAAATCCAAATGTAATAAACACCATGGAAATGCAGAAAGTGATGTGGCTCTGTGCCCTGGATCTGACACCAGCTGTTTCCAGGACTGACACCAGGAAAATCATGGGGCCATTGCACTTTTTTTGTTTTGTTTTGAGGCAATAAGGATATTTTTAGTTAACTTACAGACTTGATATTTTGCACTATTGTAGCTAAGGCCTTCAATTAAGTATTTTTATGTCCAAAAAGTTGTTTATACATGTTTGCTGTGTGTTTTGTATGAAAGAATGTGAATTTTATTTTCTGGTCCTATAGCTTTTGTTACCGCCATATGACACAACTACAGCATGCAGATTGTGAAATAACAGGTTGTACTGAAAAAAAAAGAAGGATGTATAACACTTCTGATCGCAAAATTAAGGAAAAAATCCAGTCGAGGACAAACGTACTAAAATCACCCTTAGGTCTGGAAGGGTTAAACTCTAGGGATTCTAGTTAAAGTTTTCCAATAAACACAACCGATTGACAAATGTATGACCCCTATGAACCTGCCTTGAACTTGTTAACCCCTTCTCTCTGCACATCCACCGTCATCGCAATGGTCAGGGAGGTCAAGTTTGAACCTACTCATGTAAACAACCAACATTTATAGAAAGCAGAATGTATACATAGCCCTGACTAAGCTTCTAACTAGCTTTGGTCCTTCTTATTCTGCTCTCCACAGTCATAGATATCATCATCAGCCATATTAGCCCCGCCCCCTGCTCCTACTTCCCACACCGTATTAGGTTTAAACATTCGGCTATACCTAAGCCCTTTAGACTTGAAGTAGTAGGGCTCACAACCAGCATAGAGCGCTAAAGAGCCATCTGTTCTATGTTGTTAATTAGGCCAGTGAGCTCTCCGGATCAGTGGTCACTAAGCGCTGGTGGTGCTGGACTGGGCAGTGGGCAGGGACTGGGAACAGGACCTAAAAGGGGAAGACGCTCAGTAAAGTAAAGGCACGACATTTTCATTGAGGTTGATCATGTTATAATATCACGATCACATATTTTGAAGATGCACTGTGTAACTTTTCTGGTAGACAGTCGGCCAGTTATTTGTCTCCACTGAGATGTTATTACTTTACCTCTAGTATTCCAAAAGTTTAAATGTTTCAGCCTCCACAAAAACAATCGGGAGACACCACCACCAGGCACAGTAAGAATGCATGTTTTTAAAGGTATTTTTGAGCAATAAAAAGACCTATAACTGAATAAAAGCATCTTATATAAGTTTAATATCATATTGTAGAACATTGGAGGCAAAGCAATAGCTATTTTTTCATGTGTTTGATCAAATGTGCCTTGCCCAAATAGATATATTGTACAAGCAGCTCTTGAGGTAAATATCTGTTATGTTCTGTCTGCATTCAGTTATAAAGCTCTTTATTGTCCCATAAATGCTCTAGTAAAGGGGTCTCCAACTTGAAGCTCTCCACCCCCTTACAAGTAGCTCGCCAAGATTGTCTGAATTATAAATACTGTACTGAATAACTCAAATTTGATTAATTACCATTGTAAGTGTGTTATTTTGAACTTTCTGCTCTAGTAAATGTATAATGGTTTTAGGTTTTAGATGCATCTAACTGTACAATATCTAAGGCTTGCTCTCATACTGTATATTAGGGCTGGGTATCATTAAGATAGTTATATCTTAATACACTGCACAATATATTTCAAATAAATTCGAAACGGTTCAATAAAAAATAATGGCTAAACTGTGGCTGTGACACTAAAAGTCTTTGTAAATCCACTTCTTGTGCAAAGTGAATATGAAACACATACATTTTAATCATCGAATCAGTGAAAATGTCAAATGTGTCGCATAAATGAGTTTCCTTCCACTAAACAAACAACAAAACTGTAGCGCTGTAACAAAATAATTTAGTAAAATATACCAAAAAATAGTCTTGACGATATATCGATACAGCAGCCCATGATATTGATACTGTATCATCACATTAAACGAAACGATATATCGATATTTCAATATTTGAATATTTTTGTACACCCCCTACTGTACATCAACTCAATTTCTTGTGACCACTAAACTGAGTAGCTCTCTGGCATTTTCATTTTGTAAACGTAGCTCACCGGATGCAAAAGGTTGGAGGTCCCTGCTCTAGTAGTTAGAAGTTAGTTCTAACACATCAGTAAACTCTGCTCTGGTCTCTCAAAGTTGTGAAAAATGCTTATAAACTCCTCAGAGTGAATAATTAAGATACTCAGAATGTAAGTAGGTAAGTGAGGAAAAACTTAGTAACACTGCAAATAGTTTAAAATAAGTATTTAGAAGTAGAGAGTCATAAGAATGAAATAAACAAATGAATTATTGTTATATACAGTCTATATTAATAATACTGTAAAGCTTGCAGACACTGTGAAGATGGCGAGTGGTAAAAGTGGTGCAGAGAGCATAATTGAGTTACCTGGCATAAATCCTCTTGTGCAGGGCTGTCCTCTTTTAATGGAATCAAGTCTTCAAATCCTTAATGAGAAGAGTGGAAATGCGCCCTCCCCTCGCTGGTGAATATCTGTGCAAGAAAATGCTTAAATTATAATCAAGTCATCCAGTTATCCTTGATAAAGGCGATGCGTTTATTTTAAAGGGCCCATATTATACTGTTTGTAATACTGTTGTTTCCTCCTCAAAAATAAACCTGGAGTTGTGTTTTGTTTCATTCACACATGTTTTATTTAGGTTGAGTTCTGCTCTCACAGAGAAAACGCTCTGTTCCACTTTGTTAGGTCATGTGGTAATACAGAAAGTGCTCCACTGAGTTTTTACACTCCATACACCTTTGCTTAGAACCATTTGGATAATTTCGGTCTACTGAAATGAAACTTAAAACGCTTTAACTTGAAAATTACAGCTTCCTGACATCACGAGGTGGAACAGAGCATTTCGAGCTTTGGAGATGTAGACAGGCTAATAATAAACAGTTACTCAGACAGTGTGAGTCAAACAAAGCACAACTTCAAGTATGTTTATGATGAGGTAACAGCTCACAAGACTCAATGTGTGAAATTAAATTATGTAATACAGGACCTTTAAACTTATCCTGCTCTATGGAGACAAGAAAATTAAGCCACCAGGCCAAGTTAAAGTTCGAATCTGTGGAAAGTCGAGTAAGACTTTTGAGCTATAAATCTGCAGTGAGGCAAAGATAATTAAGTTTAATGTGATAGTGTGGAACATTCCAGCTAAACATCTCCATAGAGACAAGCAGGTGGCAGATCCCCACCAGAAAACTTACACCTGTGCACCTTGAAGCTTCTTGCTTCCCCACACAAACTGTTTTCTACTTTGCGAGTTAGTGTTATCACAATGTTAAAGATTCAAACTGGATTTTGAAGGAACAGACTCAATACTCGATAAAGACAATAGAATGTGAATTTCAACATTAAATCATAGTACTTTCTTTTATATTCTCATGTGGTCTTATCTGTGTAATCCCTCAGTGGTCCATGGGCGTATACTAGTCTATGTACTCTTATACTTGCTCTGATTCAGCTCAAAATCATTCTAAAGCTATTCAGGAAAGGTTAATTTCCTTCCTGTGACTGTGACTTTTTTAGTATTGATACTTGCTCAAATGAGAATCTTGTTTTGATACTAGTTTAGGGTGACCAGACGTACCTATTTCCCCGGGACAGCCCCAGTTTTGAGCCCTGTGTCCCCTGTCCCAGTGGATTTATCCAAAAGCACTGATTTGTCCCAGTTTATACAAGAAATATCCCTGGTGTTCCTATTTTTAACCAATTTGATACCTGCCAACACTAAAGAGTAGCATAAATTGTCATTTGTTTAGGTAAAATACAGAAAAGCTGCTTAAAAATGACCAAACCACAAAGAAAATGTGACTATACTGACAGATGTTAGTCATAAATGGTGCAAGTGTAGAACAATTTTCCTTAATTACTCATTTGTTTCACAATTTTATTATTACCAGTCACCAGTCTGGTCACCCTATACTAGTTAATACTGATTCATATCTGATTTTCAATACTTTTGACAGCTCCAGTCCCAGTACACCTCTTGATTCCCACAGAAATACAACCTAAAATGAGAAAATATTGTCATACCATATATTTATTATGTCTTGTTTTATGGATAAATAGCTGTCAAATTCATGCATGAAACTAAATTAACTTCAGTTTTACTTTCTTTTTTTTTTTTTAGTTCAATCACATAAATTTGACTTCCAATTTTACCAGAAAAGTTTGAAGAATTTCATTTTAGCATCTCCCTGTGTAATCTATGGGCATTTAAAGTCTGCTACTTCTCAACTTCAACCATCATTTAACTCGTAATTTTTTTTAACACAACAGCAATTACCTCGTTTTTCTGTCTTCAAAAACACATCACGCTAATTTTGCATGGATCAGTTTGCAAATTCATCTCTTAAATTAACTTGATAACAATGGTAAGTGAGTTAGCCTAGCCACGGCTAACCCCAGACCGCTCCTCCGCACGTACTCACCACAAAGCAGCCTGTTGATTGGCTAAAAGTAACAAGTTTATTCCGTTAAAATCCAATCCAAGGTGAAAGAATAAAGTGTAAAAGTGTCCAAAAGTGTGCCGTAGTGAGTGAGCTGGGACCGGGTCCGTGTGTGTGGGACTCCCCGGGCGGACAGGAGGGTTTAGCGGAGGAGCGCAGTCCGGGCAGCCGCTGTTTGGGGCCGTTTCCCCGGTAACACCACAGAGGCACCGCGGGGAGACTGCGCCCCCACCTGGACAAAACGGGAACTTTGACATATTTGGAGCAGGGTTCACTCTTTTTCACTGACACAGTTTCAAAACCTTTCCATGACCTGAAGTGAATGTATACAACTGAGCATACTTTTAGGGCTAAATATGAAATTTAGTATTGTAGTTTTTTTTTAAACATTCAAAATACTGTCAGTGTATTTACTGTAGTCTCTTTTAAGTAAGTTTTTATTTATATAGCACTTTTAACAGACATATGTCACAAAGCACTTTACAGATCATTGTTCATTCACTCCATACCAAGTGGTGGTAAACTACTAGCCACAGCTGCCCTGGGACAGACTGACAGAAGCGTGGCTGCCAATCTGCACCATCAGCCCCTCCGACCACCACCACCCCTCAGGCACACACCACTTTCATACAAGGCAATGTAGGTAAAGTGTTAAGTTATGTTTTTTGTTTTGTTTTGTTTTCTCCCAGTGGTCTCCCATCCAAGAACTGACCAGGCCCGGTCTTGCTTAGCTTCTGAAATCTGACAGGATCTGGCTTTGGCAAACCGGCCTTTTAAACAAAAGGCACATTTGTTCAGAAATAATCATAATAGCCTAATGATAACTTAACAGAACGCTGTAGTTGCTTGAGGTTTTAAAATTCCATGACTTTTCAGAAACTTTTATTGAATTTACAAAATTCCATGACTTTTCCAGGCCTGGAAAATTTTCAGTTTCCATGACTTTTCCAGAATTTCCATGACCATGGAAACCCTGTTGGAGAGAGTGATGGAATTCGGTTCTGTTACGAGATCTAAATCTTTTGGATCCATTTATTTCAAAGAACAGTTCAAAATAGGGTGATCAGAACTAAAAAACTGGGACACCTCCTGCTTGTAATGGTTGGTAATAATAAAATTGTGAAAATTGTGCTTCTAAAGGTGCTTTCCCCTTCACTCTCATCTAAGATTTACCCCCGACACTCAAGGAGTACTTTACAAAGAAATAGGAAGCATTAAAGTTTCCTCTATTTCAACCATGGATCTATAATAAAAACTTTATTATAGTTTTTTTTAAGATATAGATTTTATTATAGTTCTATGATTTCAACACTGACCAAAGCTCTCATTAAATCATTCCAGAGCTCTGGCTGTGTTAATAATGTCCATTTGAAGGTGTGAGCTAATCCACGGACGACCAGTAGATGGCAGCAATACGCCACTGTGCTCCTAGGAGTGTGTGCTCTAAAAGCTCTAAAAACCGTTTTGCTTTATTTATGTTAATGTTAATGACAAGATTTTCAAAATAAAAAACTGTGACTTTCCTGGTTTGGGCTGGTTGGTAATAATGTTGTGAAACAAGTGCATAATTAAGCAGAATTGTTCTGCACTTGGCACTAATGTGAGCCAGTATAATCACATTTCCTTTGTGTTTTGTCTTTTTTTTTTTTTTTTTTTGTCAATTTATGCCTCTTTTTACTGTTGGTAGGGATCAAATTTGTCAAAAAACAGGGACACCTGGCACATTTCTTGTATAAAACTGGGGCAAATGATAAATCTGCTGGGACAAGGGACACAGGGCTCAAAACTGGGACTGTTCCAGGGACATCTGGTCACCCTACTTTTAAAACACTGTCTCTTTTATTATTTATTTATATGACAGAAACCAATTAGAGAATTCATTTAACTACAAACTAATTAGACAGAGAATGACCAAGGCTCAGATTTGTTTAAAATGGTTTCATCTGAGAGTGAGAGTGTGTTTACCCTTTGGAATGTCATGTCAGTTTTTTTTTTTTTTTTTTTTTTTTGTGCACATAGCTTGTCACCTTCTCTGTTTCTGGGCTGATTCTTGTGTTGGTACACCAGGGTATGCATGCCAGGCGGCTCGGTGGTGATGCCAGGTGGTAATGTATGTGACGTAAATGTGTACACGACGTGAGCAAATCTGACTAGAGTTTTGCGTCTTGGGCAGTGTAAACAGAAAAGCTACCGCAGAGCGTATTCAACTTTTCTGCTCTGGAGGGTGGTTTCAGATTTTTGTGTTTTTAAGCCCCAAAAACACCATCACCGTCTAAATAAAAGACACTTCCGATAAAATATTTTGATGTTTTTACCCGCAAGCATTCTCGCGTAAACAGGCCCTGGAGAAGAACTCAGCCTAAATATGCAGGGTTTCTGTGTTACATGAGTGACATTACAACCCCAGGCCTGCAGCTCTTCGAGTTGTTTTGTGTGTGTTTTGAATACCTTTCCTGTCCCCATGAATTCCTGCTGTGAGAGCCCTGATCCGTGATTGGTGGAGTAGTTCAACACCTGGCCAATCCTGCCTCACCTCCAGACTCCTCCCCTTATTTAAGGAGATCGCAGCACTTGTTTTGGGCTGCTGGTCTTGGTGTGTTTGTGTTCGAGTGTGTGTAGTTCTGTAGTTTAGTTCTGTTTTGTGCCTTCTTTTATTTGGTCACTCGATTCTGTTTGTAGGCTTATGTGGTTTACTTTGGGGCACTTGTGTTTAAGTTTTGTGTGTGTCTTAGTTAACCACTCGTTTTTGTGTAAGCCTGCATGACCCGTTGTCTGTTAACTCTGTTGTTTTGTTTCTTAGTTTAGGTTATTTTCTGTACATTTTAGTCTGTTTTGTTAATTTACCCTTTACAACCCTGTTAATTAAACATTACTTCATTTATTCCATTTAACATCTTGGTTTTTTTGTACTTCCCTCACCCCAAGCGAGCTCGGTCGTAACAGTGAAACACAGATAAAAATACTTACCACAACATAACAACAAAGACATGTGCAAGAAGAGCCCACACGTTGCTTAGTTTATATAGGTTTTATTAAAAAAAGGAAACCCAACAAGAACTTTTTTTTTACATAATGATCAAGGATTTTTATTCTCGTAGCCTCTTTCGTCAGTTTCATCTCATTACAGAAAATGTTATAGTACAGCGTAGTTCAATGTCTCCTCATTGCTTAATAATAATTTCCATAGGAGTGCTGGTCACATATATCTGTACAATATGGTTCCATTTTTTTCTGTACATTTTTTGTGAAGTTGGTTAAAAAGGCTGTCAGCACTTAAAGAAGCTGCTTCTTTTATCATATTTCATTTTCTCATAAATATTTGATCAAACAAAAAGTTATTCTCCCCAGGCTCGCTCGCCCGCCCCGCTGTAGTGAGGCGAGGGAGGGCCCGGTGTAAGGAAGCTTTGGGCAGGTTTCCCACTCCCCAGACACCCCCTTCCTCCTCCTCCTTCTCCGCCTAACCTAACCAAACCTGACCCCGCCCACCGCGCACTCTGGCTCTGCCCCCTGCCCAGGCATTTGGCACTGCGCACATAAACAAGACTCACAAGATAAACAACAAGCAAAGCTCTTTGTGAAGCCGTTATGATGCATACTAATGAGAAAAACGGAAACGCCACCCTCGGACAGGAAGTCGGGGCGCCTCGGACAGAAAGTGGCCGCCGGGGGTCTTGAATATCCTGGCATTTCGCTCAAGGTTGGGTTTGTATACCTCACTAGACAAATATGTGACTGTTGTTGTGAAATTGATTTTGAAAAAAACAAAACATAAAAATTGTAATTAGTAACATTTCAGTGTAATACCTCATTCGTCCAGTAGGGGTCTATGAAAATAATGTTTCTAGTATTACATTAAGGGTTAAGGAAAGTTATGGTTTTCAAAAGGATGTAACAAAAACTGTGAAATCATAATATCACAATATAGTATTATGTCATTTAAACAAAGGAAACTACAAAGACCACGATCCTTTGCTTTTGTCTGTGTAGTCAAAAAGAAGAATTTACAAGATTAAATGAGATGAACTGCCCTGCCCCGTTAACAGTGTTGACCATAGACTGTGTATGAAAATGTAAATATGGACATAACTAACCTACTAACCACTGTGGCCTAAATAGGAAGTGAGCATGGGCGCGCTTCTGGCTCCATTGACTCTGACTCCAATTCACTAAGGCTACGTTCAGACTGCAGGGCTTAATACTCAATTTGGATTTTTTTGCAAGGTCGTTCACATTTCCAGTTAAATGCGACTTGTGTGTGATCTCCAGTGTGAACTTTAAACACCCCCAAAGTGTCTCGCAGGCGCATTGGAGGACATGGAGTGCATTCAGTGTTTATGGAAGTCGCCTAAACATGAGCACCTGGAGATTTTAAAGTTGTTGGCGTACCATAGCCAGAACATGTACAGCTTATTTGGTTTAAGGAGATTGAGAAGGAGAAGGACGAAGTTTTTGGTCATGGCATTTTGTGGGGCAGTGGCAGCAACGTCCGTAGAAAGGAACGTGTGGGTGGGTCGGAGTCGCAGCCAAGAGTTTTGGGATTTTGATGTGCTTCGCTGCTTCACTGACACGGAGTTCAGACACAATTTTTGTCTGACAAGAAGAACGTTTGTGTACATTTGTGACGTGTAGGTGGGATGAATGTGACCTGGCCGTTCAGACTGAAGTCGCATGTCAAAAGATCGGATATGCATCAGTTTTTAGGAGCATATATCCAAGTGGCCTGGGTCACATTTGAAAAAATCGGATCTGTGTCGTTCAGACTGTCGTAAAAAGATCAGATACAGGTCGCATAGGGGTGAAAAAATCTGATTTGGGTCACTTCAGGCTGCAGTCTGAACGTAGACTTTGTATTAAAAACATCACCCCTCTCTCTGTAACCGCTGCTGTCATGCTCATGATCCCAGGTGTTTTTATTTCACTGTTTAGCCTCGATGAGCTTCATTTGACTGGAGCCGAACGCTAAGGGCGATATCACACTCTCTCAGTCCACTTCTTTACACAGTCTATGGTCTAAATCAACACACACATCCCTAAACCACGCCCACTCTGAGCGAAACGCCTTGTACCGAGCCCCCGGTGGCCACGCCCCTCCTTCCTCTTAGCTGAGCACCATGGGAAATCTGAAAGTCTTCCTCAAATGTTTTCTTCATTTGTCAAAAAACAGATTAATTTTTTTTCCACTAATGATGAAAAAATAATAATTCCTTTTTTTTTTTTTGTCCCGGCAGGCACCTACAGCTGTCTATTAAAATGCTACTGCTATAGATAAGGTCTAGCAACACACAAAGCAATTGCAATGAAAGGAACAAAGTCGCCTTAATATAATAATGAGAATAATAAGAATAATGATAATAATAAGAAGAATAATCAGAATAATATATTACAGAATAAATCTCTTTTTATAATTTGATTTTTTTCATTAAAAGTTATATTTTCTTAGTTTGAAATACTATAATCTTTTTAAATTAATTTTTTATATGTATCTAGGTGTGATCAAGATGTTGACTTATACCTCAACGTTATCCAAATCAATAAAAACTAGCTGTGCCGTTGCATATTACAGAATAGTCAATGATATGTGGACATGCACCGTGAACCACCGCCCCCATTCACACCCGCCACGCCCCCGCTCGCGTCCCACACTGACGACATCATAGCCGGCCGATCACCATGACGTCCACCACCTCGCCCTTGTGCAGCTCCACGTATTGCTCTGTTTTGGGAGGTAGCATCAGGAGCCCGTTAGCGCTGCGCATGCTCATCAGTCGGCAGCTCACCTGGTTACCTGCGCCGGGCAGCCAACAGGAAAGAGAGAAGGAGTGGTCAGAGAAAGTAGTAGCTCGTGATATTATGTAGTAAGAAGTAGGTGTTACTGTTTAGCTCCATATTATATACAATTACTAGCTGTTAACTTTGTCTGACCAGTGAAGAACTGGTTAAACAAAGTAGTAACTAGTAATATTATGCAGTACAAAGTGGGCATTACGTTTGAGCTCCATACTACCAGTGTTGGAAGGTGATGAAGTACAAAAGTAAAAGTACAAAACTGAAGTACAATTTTAAGTAGGGATGTAATAATAACCAAAATATCATGATATCGTATCGTCAAAAGTCTCACAATAATATCGTGGGCTGTCACAATATATCGAATTACAAGTTCCTTTGCTTAAATGCACGGTTTTGTAGTAACAACAGTTTATAAACATTCGGAACTACATTATCCCATGATTCATTTCAGTGTAGACAGCATGAAGAAATTGTTTTTTTTACTTGAATTCTTGGGATTATGATGGAAATAATTCACACCAAAATCTTCTCAAGGTATTTTAAAAGCAGAAAAGTGTTCCATCTACAATTATATCAGCCTCTTCAAAATATCGCAATAAATATCGTACCGTGAGTATTTTTTTCCAGTGAATACTTTTACTTTTACATCACTTTCTACTCCACTACATTTTAGATCTGGACTGAAAAGTTAAAAGGACTTTTCTTTATAGTCTGAGACCTGCTGAAATGACAGAAACATATTTTTAGCACAATTAATTTGTGTTACCTGAACTCAACTTTGAGCAAAATAAAAACACAATTACACAAAAAACAGCTAGAAAAATTAAGAAATCAATTGATTTACTTTAAATTATTCATCAAAATCAATACAATACAATCAATTTGATGCTTTAATTGTTAAAAACATTGTTGCAAAATACTTTTACTTTTTGCTCTTAAAGTACATTTTTAAACAGGTACTTCAAGAGTCCAATGAGGTTCATTTGGTCTTCCGGTAATTCATGTTTTTTGAAACTGTTGGGTATGAAAACAAACAAAGAACCTAACAAAATAAGGTACTCCAATAGTTTTATTAAGTAGATTTTTTCATGCGATACTTTTACTTTTACTCGAGTAATCTTTTGCCTCTGTATCTGTACTTTTACTTAAGTAACAGCACTGAGTACTTCATCCTGCACTGGTAGTAGTAGTAATATTTTATTGTACGGAGCTCAACAAAAGGCTCTGTGCACAATAGCATCTGGCTAGTCACTGTTAGCATCACTACTTCCTGTCCAATTTTATTTTCAAGGGTTTTTTGCTGAGCTAAATTGAATACATATTTTAAGCTCGGGCAATGAAAAGGGAGCAGTGGGAGGATGTCACAGTTAAAAAGTACACAAATAAAATACTTCAGCGAAGGACACTTATGTATTTTGAAAGAGCTATTTGTGTCTCAATGCTAACGCTAATGCTAATGCTGAGACATAATAAATATTAAAACAATGCCACAAACTGAAGTATCCTACATATAAAAATAATTGGATAGTCTTTCATTTAATTAATTTGGATTTTAATTGGTTGTTATTTTATGTTTTACAATTTTAATAAATGTGACAGTGAAGCTTTGAGACATGGTGAGCTAGTTAGCGTACTACAGTGAACAGAGCCTATTCTGTCCACTTTAAAGCCAGCTGAGGTTCCATAAATAAATTTTCCCAAGCACAGACTTCTTGAAAATTTCAAATATTAAAAGTTCAAAGAGCATATGACAGGTTAGACTACTACTTTCACTAAAACTTAGTAAACACAATAATATTTATAAGATTTTATAAAAAATCTACAGTTTTGACAATTTTGGTGCAGTTTATAGTTGTACTTCCTGGTTGAATATGGGGCGCAGAAAAATGTGTTCCTTGTGTGTAAATTGTCCGTGCATTTTGGAAGGAATTTTTGGTGACATAGAGGGAGTCCTTTTTAAAATTCAGCACTATTCTACTTCCTGTATTGTTCAACACAAACTGCCACTAGACTGTTGCAAAACTATAATAAATATTGGCCAAAGATAACCTACTATCTCATCAAATCAAGTCAGATTTAGAAAAACATGAAAGTCGGTCATATGCACTTAAAAGACACAACTATGTAGTAACTAATGTCCACAGTGTGATTTCAGTCCAAAAACACAAACAGTTTAAAAACTTCAGAATAAAAAACATATAGATTCAAATGATACATCTTGTGGTCATTAATTAACACATAGCGATTTAGGCCTGAGCAAATTTTCAAACTTTTAATAAAATGTTTCTTTCTGAAAGTCTATGGGAAAAATAAAGTAAATGTTACTTCTGGAACCAAGAGGTGGGAGGTCACTGTTGAGTTCAACAGAAACAAATCTGCATCAGTATTGGAATACAGGGATGTTATGGCTCCTACTGATACTTTGCAGTGACTATATGCTGGGGGTGTTCTTCATGTATCTCTATGATGCAATGTTCAGCAGTTACCATGGTGACACAATGCACATATTAGCAAACGCAGCCTGGTAAGTGCATAGATTATCTGAAAACTCACCAAAAAAACAAGCAAACTGGATTTAAACAACACATTTTCAGGAGCTGTGATCAATACGAGTGTTCATGGTTCTGTTTAGGTGTTTGAGTTTCAGCAAAAAAGTTGCAGCTCACTTGTGACTGTAATATTTGAGAGGGACTTGTTTTACAGCACAAAAAAATCAGCTGTTGTAATTCCAGCTAAGTCAGTTGTTTCTGGTCAGGTTGTGTTAAAATAAACCTTAGATTAAAGTTAAACTTGATTAACAGAGCTTCACAGAGAGCAGTGCCTACAGTTAGCATCACACCCCAGGGAATGTTGACGACATCAGCTGCAAAGTATGAAATGATCAGCTTGTGTCATGCTGAGATCTAACCAAGAAGTGTGAACTGTTACAAGTAATCTTTACCTACCTTACAGAACATAAAACAAAATATAAACAACAGAAACAAACAAACAAACAAACAACAACACAACAAACAAAAACTACAATACCAGAATATCATGACAGGACTGTACACATGGATCTATAATAAAACTGGATAAGGCATTTCCCTCTGTCCCGGCTCCAGACCGACTAGTGGCCGCTCCAGGTACTGCAGCTCCCAGGAGCTTGGGCCCAGAACGAATTCTCACATAGAAACACAACAAACCTTTTTCACAATGGCCAGAAGTGCCACGATGTAGGGTAAGCGTAACTCCCAATGAATGCTTTTCTATGGCAAAATATCTGTGGAAATGTCTTGCGTATTTTCCACCAGCTTCATAAATCTGCCCCATCACCAAATCTTCATCCAAAAAGGTCGACAAAGTACATATTCTGTCCGTGAAGAGTTTATCCACAACTATCAAGGTAAGAAAAACGAAAACTTAAAGGCGAACAACAACTAGCATTAGTGAACTACTCCTGAGCAAAACTACATATTTTTTGATATTTTGCGATTGAAAAGCATTAATCGGGAGTTACGTTTACCCTACATCGCAGCACTTCCAGCCGTTGTGAAAAACGTCTATACATTTTTTAAAAATTCAATCTGCCTATGTTCAGCTGACAGGGCATTGTCAACTTTCACACAAATTGGATTTTGTAGGGATTCTTTTCTATTTTCACAACATAAACTTATTAAAATATTTAAATCCTCAAAGCGCCTAAACGTTAGACTTAACCTAAGCCTGGTCTGAGCCTGTTTAAGCTTTGGTCTAGCAGCTCTCGCTCTGATTAGTCAAAACTGATCATGCTGTTACTGATATTACAAAGGTGGAAGGTGCTAATGCGTATTGAGGAAATAAACATGGAAGAGAACATTTTTTTTGGGCCCATGCGCCCAATGAGCACAGGTCACTGCAAACAACAAGACGCCATCTTCCAGATTTTATTATAGTTCCATGACTGTACACGGGATTCACGGTCTCGTTTTTATGACATTGCAGTCGACCCCGTGTTACCTGTGCTCTGTGCCCACGGCAGAGGCTCCTGGTGGTGCCATGTCAGAATGCAGCGGTGATACTCAGGGCGCGGGTCCAGCTTCACATCACACGACAACTGAGAGACACACAGCAGCCAGATAAGATAAAAGATAAAAGCGACACTATTGACAAGTACTAGACTTTGACTGGAGACGTGCAATGGGCAAAACGTTAGACTACTCGTATAAGAATGTTCCACCTGAAATTATGGCATCATTAAAATCTAAAACGTGAAAACAACTTAGTAACACTTGCCTTTACTTATTTTAAAGGTCCAGGATATTCACGTAAAATTGACTAATGTGAGGTTTTAGCCATGTTATAAAGTTGTTACCTCATCAAAAACATACTTGGAGTTGTCAGATGAAGTAAAGAGGTAAAGCGCTTCACTGGGTCGCAAAAAAGTTACAAAAAAAAAAAAATAGCAGTACAGGTGCTCTACCAGGGTTAAACTAGCAATCTTAACACAAAGTTACTCTTACTGAAAAATGTAAAAATTGGCAAGGTACAATAAACAATAAAGGACTTTTAACATATCCTCCTGGGCCCCGAAGAAAAAAAAGTGTATGTCAATATATATTTTTTGTTATTTTTTTAATCTACTTGGAGGTAAATGAATATGAGCATTTAGATTTTGTTCATTTTTTTTTATTTATAATTTTGTAACATGTCCTATGTGATGGACACCAAGGACATTTTTGTGTTAAATCCATGTGAAGTTCACAACCGAACAATAACAACTTTTTTGATGACCAGCATCTCTGACAAGCTTCTAGAGTTGTCTCAAAAAGTTTTTAGACTCCCTTTTAATTTCTTATTTAATTTTTTTTTTATCATGGACATGATAGTTCCCTATAATCCCACAGCCCTATTTAGGCAGAGGAACCTCATCCTCTCATTAAGAGTCTATCTCAAAACACTTAAAAGATCGACAGGTTAACTCAATGTCCACTATAAAGGACACAAATGAATGGGCCGGGTCTCAGGAGGATATTCAGTCAGACTGCCTCGGATTTGTACCTTGCCCATTTTTACATTTTTTCAGTAAGGGTTTTTGTTAAGAATACTTGGAGTTGTGTTTTGTTTTATTCACACATTTTAGTAATAATTTATTATTAGTCTGTCTACATATCCAAAACACAAAATGTCTTTGTGATATCATGAAGAAGTAGTTTTTAAGTTAAGCTTTTACCTTTAGTTAAGTAGAGATGGGAAATACCAGGACTGAAATGATGCAAATGATTCTAGTGAAGATGTGTGGAGTTTAAAAACACAGTGGAGCACTTCCTGTATTACTGCATGACATCACAAGTTGAAGCGTTTTCTGCTCGAGAGAAGAACTCCGAAAAATATGCAGGGTTTGTGCTTTAAACATGTCCAAATGAAGCAAAACACAACTCCAGGTCTATTTGTGATCACGAAACAACATTATAATAGATCATAAACAACTTAATATGGGACAAGTCTTTACTATTGGCAAAAACAAATGTCCCAGTCCTTCCACTAGATGGCAGTATGGACTCGCCTTGGGTTTTTCCCCCCTCCTAACTGTCAATCATGTTTGGAGAGTCGCCATATTGGCCCGCTCTCATTTTGGCTGGTGAGCAGTGGAGCTCTCTGTGCATATGATATAGTTGTGTTTGGTCCAGTGTATGAATATTCAGAGAGCGGGCAGGTCTGCAGGTCAGAGTGGACAGTGACCAACTCCTCTGCCAAAACTCAGAAATACAGATCCAGCGAATTGTGAAAAAGTATTGAATAAGTACTTTGTTTTGATTGTTATGGGCACACACACACAGACAATGCACTCAACTTTTTTTAAATTCACAAAACTAAGACTGTGATAAAGACTACATACACTACTGGTCAAAAGTTTTAGAACACCCTAATTTTTCCAGTTATTTATTGCAATTAAAGTCGTGCAAGTCCAATGAAGAGCTTGAAATAGTACAAAGGTAAGAATTGAACAGCCAGAGGTTTTAAAAAAAAAGATAAAATAACAAAACACAAGTCCAAACTCTGCCAAAACTACCTCAGGAAAAAAGAACAAGATGGTAAAGCTTGAAAACATGGAGTGTCCAGCAGAACAGTCTCCAGACTTAAACCCCATCGAGCTGGTTTGGGATGAACTAGACAGAAGAGTGAAAGTTAAGAAACCTACAAGTGCCACACATTTATGGGAACTTCTGCAACAGACTTGGGAAGAACTTTCTGAAGAATATTTGATTTTTATTGTAAAAAGAACGAGCCACGAGTGTGTTCAGCTGTTATATCTGCCAAAGGTGGACACTTTCATGAATCAAAAGTTTAGAATACGTTTTGGTCAACAGTAAACAGTAAAAAACTGGAAAAACTATGTCGTTCTAAAACTTTTGACTGGTGGTGTATGTAACAGAGCTCTACCACTAAGCCTCAAGATAGTACTGGGCCATTTATTTATTTATAAGGGAAAATGAGCTCTGTTTTTCAAGTTTTTAAATAAAAATCAGGACTTGAGTTATGGTTTGATTTGCGAGTGGTTTTTCACTATCAACCAGAAAATCTAAATCTTATTTAAACCTTATTTAATCCTATATTTCCCAAAATTGACTCTTGTGAGCGTTAACCCATGTTGTTACCTCATCAAAAATATACCTGAAGTTGTGTTTTGTTTCATTCACACAAGTTTGAGTAATCCTTTATGATTAATCTGTCTACATCTCCAATGCTCACAATGCTCTGTTCCACCTTGTGATGTCATGAAGTGGTAGTTTTCAAGTTAACAGCCCTCTTTTACATTTAGTTCAGTAGAGATTGGCAATTCCAGGGCTGAAATTATCCAAATGATTCTAGTAAAAGTGTATGCAGTTAAAAAAAACAGTAACTAGCAGTAGAGCACTTCCTGCATCATATCATCACAAGTGTTTTCTATTTGAGCTTAAATATGCAGGGTTTGTGTGTTAAACATGTGTAAATAAAACAAAACACAATCCCAGGTATGTTTGTGATGAGGAAACAACATTAAAACAGATCAGAAAATAGTAGAGATGTAACAATAAACAACCAAAATACCGTGATATCGTAGCGTCAAAAGTCTCACAATAATATCGTGGACCATCACAATATATCGAACTATAAGTTTCTTTGCTTAAATGAATTGTTTTGGTGCAGCAATGGCTAAAAAAACAGAGAGAACTACATATACCATGATCCTTTGCTCTGTTTCAGTACAGATTAGGGCTGGGCGATATGGATCAAAAAATATATTCTCGATATATTTTGCTATATCTCGATATACGATATATATCTCGATATCTGTACAGGAAAAAATAATCCCCTAAAACGGAAAACTGCGAAAAAACAAATATGCCAAATTCCACAAGGTCCTTTTTTTAAAAATTAAAGTGTAAGAGGTCGGCAGTTCATATAGGAACATTTAAGATTACAAAAAAACCTAATTACATAAATAATAATTTAACTGTCAAATAAAAGAAATAAAACATATTTCCTTTGTTTCATTCATAAATAAACCAACTCAACTCAAGCTCATCTTTGCATTAACTCTGTTATCCAGACCATAATCATAACCATGAACTCTTTTAACAGAAGAAGCTCAGGATGTTCCTTATTTTAACAGATCCATGTTCCTATCCAGCAGTAAGGAGCTATGAGGTTTCCCACAATCCACTGCAGATCAAACCCAACGTTTCCAAACACTTTTGTACAAGTGACACTGCAACAGATTATTAATTAAAATCTTCTGCATAAATAGAATTTACATTACTAAACTTTACAAGATATATAGCATAACGACTCAAGAGCCACATCAGCCCGTTTGAGATTATAGTGTTAATTATTTTATTTTATGTTATTATTATTTATTATTTTTTTTGCAGCTTTGCGCAGACTTGTTTATGTTTTACAGAAACGAAACTTAAAAAGCGCATGGCTAATTTGCATAAACAGCACACTCCACGTGCCTCTCTAGCGGTTCAACTTCTTTTGGACTAAAGGACACGACTCGGTGGAATATGAGGATGTGCTGCTGATGGTTTTGTCTGTAAATGGTGGAAAAGTTTCGTGGCGCTAGAAGCTTTTCACTGGCAGCAACTTTCGGCGTTCACGGCGATAGTGAGGAGTGAATGAGACACGAGCGAACAAAATCAGGGAGGCGGGAGCACGCGGGCGGCGACAGAGAAGACAAACAAGCAAAGCGGCGAAATCAAAATTGAATATAAGCATTATATCGATATATACGATATGTCAGAATTCATACTGAGTTTTTAAAAAAATATCGATATATTAAAAATATCGAGATATCGCCCACCCCTAGTACAGACTACATCAAGAACTATCATTAATCACTTAGTTCTTTGGATTGTGACAGAACCATGGTCTTGTCAAGGAATTTTAAAAGGAATTGTACCGTGAGATGTGTACCTTGAAAATATAATACTGAGAGATTTGGATATCGTTACGTCCCTAGAAAATAGCGTAATATGGGCCCTTTAAACTTTCTTGTCACTTGTGAGTTAGAAATTGAGTTCAGTCTTTCCTTCACCGTGTGTGTGTGAGTGTGTCATACCCTTGCTTTGATTATAGTAGGTCTGGGGTCCAAAATCCCCTGCATCTTTCTCAAGGCAGGAATTACAAAAAGATTACAGGTGACCACAGCCGACACGGGGTTTCCTGGGACAGTCGTCAGGGGCAGAGAGAGGAGAGAGGGAAAAGATGGAGAGAAGAGGGGAGAAGAGAGAAGGAGGGAGGGGGGAGAGAGAAGAGGACATCATATCAGTACTGTCTCCTCGGCAGCAGCAGTGTAAATGGGACTCTAGCTCTCTACTTCACACACTACCTGGGAGAGCGAAGATGAGTTTACGAGCACCGTCTATGTCCAGGGTGGCAAAGGTTGTGGGGAGGCTGCAGAGGAAGAGAGAAAAGATATTAAAGGTTGCAAAAATAAGTAAGTAAGCAAGCAACATATAAACTTTTTTAAAAGTTGCGTAATGAATTTGGAAGGAATTGTCTGCCTAAAACCATAGACCGTATATATAAATGGACATAGCAATCGGAAGTGAGCATGGGTGCATTTTGATGCCATTAACTCTGGCTCCAATTCAGTTTCTATTAAAAAACTGTCGTCCCTCTCGCTGTAACTGCTGTCTCATAATTTTGATCTTAAAATATTCGTATTTAAGCTTGGAATCTAATGACCAAAAGGACTAGATCCCGGATACAAGCAGCCGAAATGAGTTTCCTCCGCAGAGTGGCTGGGCGCTCCCTTAAGAGTTAGGATGAGGAGCTCAATCACATGGGAGGAGGTTTTCCCCAGGGCCTCCTTCGGGTGAGACATGCCCAGAAGAAGACCCAGGACACGATGGAGGGACTATGTCTCTGGGCTGGCCTGGGACCGCCTTGGGGTCCCCCTGGAGGAGCTGGAGGAAGTTTCTGGGGTGAAGGTGAAGTGCCCCCGCGAACCAGCCCTGGATAAGTGGAAGAAAATTGATGGATGGAAGCCTGGTCTCCTCTGCACAATTTTTTCATTTTATAAGGTTGCTGAATGTCACACTACATAATGTCAGGATTGAAATTGAACATGAGCACATGATCAGTCACTATGACAAAAGTTTGTTCTTTACTGTAAGTGCTGGCCTCGTGAGCTTCATTTGACTGAAGCCAAACGCTCTGGGTGACGTCACTCTCCCTTAGTGAATTATTACACAGTCTATGCCTTAAACCCATGAATAACATCTCCATGGAGCCAAGCAGCTGACTCTAAACCAGAAAAGTTACATAGTTTACCTTTAAAACATATACTACATAGTACCATTTTTATTTACTTTATTATTTTTTACTAAAGAATATTACAACATATTGTGACTCTTACCCTGGTTTCATAAAAACTCGCCCAAAATGGATCTGAGCGTGGAGGTCGATGTCCATCACCTGTTTTAGGTAGTCCTGAAATCACAAACCATACCACTGCAAAACAGTTTGAAAAGAATAAATAATTTGTAGTTTTGTATTACATTCAACTAAACAAAATAATAATGTCTATTTTGTATTTTGCCACATGTATAGTATATAGCAGTACACTCTTGTAATTCTCCTTCCTACCACACGGCGTCAGTACATCACAGTGCTCTGTTGTACCTTCTCTCCCATGGACACTCCTCCTGAGGTGATGATGACGTCTGCCCGGCTGATGCCTTCGTTCAGAGCGTTCAGGAGGTCATCGGGACTACACGAAGCAAAAACACAAAACAATATCACATTTAGACCAGCAGTTCTTCAATTTCTCGCACCAATTATCACTCGAGTTATCAGAAGTTCTCAGAAATGACTCAAAGGACGACCGGGACAAGTTGAAAAGTCAAAAATAAGAAAACATTTTAACAGCAAAGGAGCGTTTTACTATAGTTTGTGAAACACTGACTTAGCAATAGTCAATAGCAGTGATGCACTCAATTTTGTTAATTAAGAGTAAAGATACCAGAGCAAAAAAAATACTACTAATACTACTATATAAAAGTATCACATAAAAAAGTCTACTTAAGTAAAAGTACCTGTTTAAAAACAAAGATTCTGGGATATAATGAGGCTTCAAATGTAATGATTTTGATAAAAGATTTGAGCTGAATTTAGTTTAACAGACACAAATGAGTCGGGAAAAAAAAGCTTTAGTTGTTTTTCTCTGTATATTTATGTTTGCTCAAAATTAAAGCATGTAAAAAATAACCCCCTCTGCCTTTTTAGCAAGTCACAATAACAAAAAATACTTCTACTTACAATAAAAAAATATAGTGGAGTAGAAAGTACAGATACCTGCTTTTACATGTAGTGAAGTAAAAGTAAAAGTAAAAAATATCCACTTTAAAATGTACATAAGTAAAGTACAAATAGCTAAAAGTACAGTACTTTACTATGTTTACTTTGTTATGTTCCACCACTGGTCAATAAAGCAGGTATGGAAATCTAGGGAGGATGTAACAGAACATTCCCAGGTCAATTTTACAGCTCTTCCATTGCTTTAGAGACCAATTAAATTATGTATTTTTTGTAACTCATTATGTTAGTCACCATAACGACCATACAATATAAATAAGTGTGAACCGATGTAATGGTTTTGACGTACTTGTCCCCCACGATGCCCAGGTTGATGGTGGGGTATCCGTGCTCCTGGATGGTGGCCAGCAGAGTGGAGCGGTTACTGTCCCGGATCTTCCCTGGATGGAGGTCATCTTCTGGGTTTAGCAGCTGCAGGACACAACACAAGTCCAGGAATTTTAAGAAGCTGATAGGTCTTGAATTCATAATCTGGATTAATTTTTTATTTACATTTTTGGCAGAATTGCTTACATGATCCTGAATATGAATCTATCCACTCGAAAAATAATTGCAATGCTCATCAGAAAAATGATAATTTAAGATTTCATTTAATAATTTTGCTTAAAAAACGGGAATACATCTGAAAGTTAAGTAAATACTGTACTATAAGTTTGAAATACACACATTATCAGACAATACATTTATATATGTAACCAAACTAGATCACATCCATGCACTAAAAAATAAAAATACAACTTAAAAGTCCTATATTACACACAATGGATTCTTGTGAGCTTTAAGCCATGTTAGAATGTTATTACCTCATCAAAAACTTATCTGGAGTTGTGTTTTGTTTCATTTCATTCACCTTATAATTAGCAATTATTCAATATCTCTAAAGCTCAAAATGGTCTGTTCCAACATGTTTTTTTCCACCAAAACAAAACAAAACTCCAGGTCTGTTTGTGATGAGGAAATAACATTATAACAGATCAGAAAATAGCGTAAAATGGGTTTTTAATGAACTGAATGAATGAAACTTATTCCTGCACCCAAGCGTCAAGACAACACAACCTAACGGGAAATATAAAGTCATATCTTATTTCATTAGTTCAATCAAAAACAAAATACAAAATAAAGTTAGATGAAATCATAGTGTATGTTTCTTTTTGTGTGTTTCCATACCGTATCTGTACCAGTCCTGCTGACCCACCTCGTTGCCTGTGGACATGACAGCCACCACAGGGAACTTCTGGACCTCCACTTCTGTGACGCCCACCGTGGCCAGGAGCCCGATCTCCGAGGGGCCCATGTGGGTGCCCTTGGCCAGCACACACTCCCCGCGTTTTATGTCGTGACCTATAGGCCTGGACAAAGACAGGAGAAATATTCAGGGTTTACAATAACTTTAATAATATTGTGTGTTTAAAATTGCTTCTTGACTAAGTAAATTAATTAGACACTGACCTGATATCTTGTCCAGGACGAGCCTGTACTAGGATTCGTACCTCTAATTCTTCTGTACCCTGGAAAACATAACATTCTCTGTTATGGTAACGTGGTTATTAAAATACACTCTTGTGAGCTTTAGCCATATAGGGTCTAATCTTGCCCCCCAATCTTAGCACTAGCACTAATATTAAGGAGGGGGTGTGTCCAGGCGGGGCTGTACTCCGCTGCTGGAGGCTAGAGTAGGACGGTATGAGTACATATATGGTGACGGCATCTGAACCAATCTATGACCACTGTGGCATTTAAAAGCGCTGCCAGTGTGGGTAATGTCTGTAATCTCTGTCTCATTACCAGGCAGAAAAGCAGCGTGTGGGGAAAAGTTAAATAATTGTACAAAAAAACAGCTCCGGAGCCTCACGATGCAAGTACACACCAGCAGAGGCGCCAGGAATGTAGAATTTTGTATGGGTCATGACAGAACTGACTGGGTTTGTGTTCCGAACACTCTGTGTGCACCCCTCTTATGCACACGCACCGCTGTAAGCCCGTGCATGCGCACACATCAACCTTTGATAGTTTTCTCTGTTCGATTTCCTCCCATTATGCAGCAGACCAATGTCTATCTCATGCGCTTCCCATCCCACAGCAGCTCACATTCTATTCTATTTGATTTTCAACTAAAAAAGTGATTGAAACTATTGGCTTTAATTTTATGACTTGTTTAACAGCACAAATCATCTCACCTGTTGTAGTTCTAACTGAACTATCTCCTTCTGGTCTAATTGTACTAAAATAAAGCTCAGATTAAAGTCTAACAGGCCTCAGGCAGAACAGTGCCTACAGTTAGCCTCACACTCCTAGTGATTGTTGATAACATCAGCTGTAAAGTATCAATAGACTTTCTCAAATTGTTTATAATAACAAAATCAGATCTATTTTTTCCTCTTACATCTTCCGACTCCCTTAACAGCTCTGTGTCCTCCACTTGCACTACGGCGTCGGCTCCACAGGGGATGGGTGCACCTGTCGTCACCCTCATCACCTGCCCTGGCATCACCGTGTGGGTTGGCTGTACAGCACATATAAAATTATTTTTTATTTTATTTTTTTATGCAGGATTATAACAGCACAAATGACTGCTGCAGTTAATAATAGTTTGCATACCTGTTCTCCAGCTTGTGATTCTCCAATGATAAAGCGGTCGCCTGGTCCATCGGCCGCTGAAGACGAAGATTCATATTAAAAAAACTACAAAAAATATACTAAATACTTATTGTGATGAAGGTACAACTGTGTGTAGTAGTTTTGGAGATTCTCTGACCTGAAAAACTCACTATCAAGGCTGATTCATAAATATCTATGGGCTACTGGACACCCCTGTCTAGTACCTTTACTTTTCAAACAATTACCATTTCTTTCTACCAGTGCAGATACAACCCTCCTTCAACCATCTCCTCCAAAAGCAAAACTATCAGCCTCCTCAGCCTCTCCAGCTCCTCCTCTTTAATACCACTTCCCCGGGTTTATTTCCCAAAGTTAATATATTGAACCTCACTTTTTTTCTTTCTTCCAGTTAAATTTATAATAAAAACAAGCACTGCATAAGGTAAAGCTGAGTAAAAATAAAATGATCAGAAAAACTCACTATTTAGGCAGTTCTCTAGCTGATTCATAAACATCTATGGACTACTGGACACCCCTGTCTAGTACCTTTACTTTTACTTAATTTTACTTTTACCATTTCATTTTACCAGTGCAGATACAACCTTCCTCCAACCATCTCCACCAAAAGCAAAACTATCAGCCCCCTCAGCCTCTCCATCTCCTCCACTTTAATACCACTTGCTCGGTTTATTTCCCAAAGTTAATATATTAAACCTAAATTTTTTTCTCTTTTCTAGTTGAATTACTAGTATAATGAGAAGTATGGCATAAGGTGAAGTTGAGTAAAAATAAAATAATCATAAAAAATAGATAATAAAATAATAATAATGATAATGATAATAATAATAATCATATGTACTTTTGGTCTTGGGTACGTACCTCTCACAGCATAGCCGTCCTTGACCGAGGCGGGGAAAGGGGGCAGGTTGTCTTTGGCATAAACGTCCTGAGCGAGCACCCGACCCATCCCATCTGAGGAGGGGGCAGATGTCAAAGGTTACGCTTAAAGGCAGGGTGCAGTATTTGTTCTAGTATTAAAGGGAAAGGGTTTAGTCACCTAATTGCATCTCGTGACAGGGGTCATCTGTGACACAAACGACACTATAAGAGGTCATAGGCTTGTGAAGAATGAAGGATGGGATGCGTTATGTTTTGGCCAATCAAATGTAGTTCAAATGTATGGATTGTACAATTTCAATAATACTGCACTAGACCTTCTATATTGAGGGATGAGAAAGCTTGCCAGTGACATATGTTAACATAAGCAGGTTGCGTTCATGTAACATTCTAAAATTTTGAGAAGTGCCACTCTTTCTTCCTCTTGCTGTTTAGTTACCCAAATGTCACTTACATCCTTTCGATTTGGAAATTTTAATACAATCTGTAATAAGGCTTCATTTTGTGTAAACTTTGAAATGTTTTCTGCACATTATTCATTCAGTATCGTCAAAGAATAATACTTTTAAAACAATCAAATATGCAGTTGTAGGGGGAAAAATCAATCTGACATTAGTGTACAGTAGGCACGGAACAGGATCTCAAGATAATTGCTGTAAGATTATGCAACTGTTTAAAATTAGAAAAGATAAGCACCGATGAGTAGATTGAAAAACAAACAAACAAACAAACAATATCTTGTTAAATTAAAATGACTTAAATTGAGAACATTTTACTTTATTTGAGTAGATTCAACTTGACAAGTAAAATTATCTACCAATGCAATAAGAGTGTTTTTCTTAATTAACATTAGATTTTGTTTCTTATTTTAAGTACAAAAAGTCTTGTTCCACTGGCATATAATTTTACTTTTCAAGTGAAATTATTTGAGTAAAATCATCATAAAACTTTATTAATTCAAGTCATCTTAACTTGGCTAGATTTAGTTTTTTGCAGAGTAAGCTCATGAGAAGCTGTAGTTCCAAAAAGTTGTATGACAAAAATATGAAAAATTTGACATTAAACAATTGGGAGGCCAAAATTGTGAACCAATGTATTCATTAAAAATTGTGTCACTGTGGGAATCTTGCTGTTTATCGGTGATGATATTCAATACAAATATTCCATGCTGATATCTCGACCAATCCCTAATCCCTAGTGTACACAGAGAGTCAGTGTACTTTAAACCAGTGATGAATGAAATACTCAATTTGGTTACTTAAGTAAAAGTACAGATACAGAGACAAAAAAGTTACTCAAGTGTCACATGAAAAAATCGACTTAAGTAGCAGTTTTTGTAATTTTAGAGTAAAATGTAATAGTATTGCACACAGATCTGGATAAAGTGTGGTTAATTTGTTAAAATGTTAATTGCATTGATTAAAAATTACACAGATTTTGGTCAACAGTGTCAATACGGATACATTTTTCAAATAACCCAAGTACTTTTTACTTTTCAGTTCAGTTAAAAAATGTAGTGGAGTATGAAGTACAGATATCTGCTCTCAAATACACTGAAGTAAAATTGACTCGCTGTAAAAAGTACAAGTAGTAAATTACGGATACTTTACAACTTGTACTTTATCTTCCACCACTGCTTTGACCAACTACTATTAAAGCTGGTATATTAAAATACTAGTACTTTTTTTTATAATTAGATCTACTATATTGTAACATTTCTTTGGTATGACAGTTCATTAATAGCAAAAATATGTTCTTTCTCTAAATCAGCATCAGGCACCATACTTTTATCTATTTTTACTCTTTAAGACTTTGCATCTTAATATCTGAAAATAGCAGTGCAAACGAGCTCTGTCTCCGCACACATTGTACCGCTGTCATCCTCACTCAGTCTAATCACGTTTAATTGACCTCTCATATAAAACCATACATACGAGTGCCCACATACAGTAATCACAGCACAGCGACTATATATAGACACGCAGGGAGCAGCTTTAAGGTATTTTCGAAGCAGGATTTTTCTCAACCTCCCACTCGTAACTCTTCTCCCACGCACGCAGCTCGTGTCTTTGCACCATACGATGAATTCATTACGTCTAAAAATAATCTATAGAAAAGTTGTGCTTCATTGTAAAAAAAAACATGTCACTTTTAAAGCAGTTTTGTTGGAGTTATACTATAAATACTGAAGCTTGTCTGATGATTTAAGCATTTATTTAACACTTCTGTACCAGATGTAGTTGAGCAAAATGTGTCTTGCTCCAGTACAGATTAAGGGGTGTGCAAAAATATTGAAATATCAGTATATCGTATCGTTTAAATGTGATGATACAGTATCGATATCATGGGCTGCTGTATCGATGTATCGCCAAGAGTATTTTTTGGTTTATTTTACTAAATTATTTTGTTACAGCGCTACAGTTTTGTTGTTTGTTTAGTGGAAGGAAATTTGTCTATGCAACACATTTGATATTTTCACTATTTTGAGGATTAAAATGGACGTGTTTCATATTCACTTTGCCCATGGTTAGTGGTTTATCAAAGATTTTTAGCGTCACAACCGTGATTTAGCCTATATTTTTTATTAAACCGCACCAAATCGATTTGAAACATATCATACTGAATTAAAAGTGCACTGTATCGAGATACGTATCATATCGTGGCCTATGTATCGAAGTATATATGGTATCGCATCGGCAACTTCTTAATGATACCCAGCCCTAGAACAGAGAGGTTTTGGAGTCAAAATACATCCGCTGTGTGCTGTATGTATCTAATTATGAAGCATTTTGTTGTCTTTTAATCAGGAAGTGCACATTAGAATTTCTTGTTATTGTTAGTTTTAGCCTGATGACAAAACTTTGGTCTCTGGAAGTTGTGAAAAGTGCTCATAAACTCTTTAAGGTGAATAATTAGGATGCTCTGAAGGCATAAAGGTAAGTGAGGAATAACTTTGGACCACTGCAAACTCTTGAAAATAAAAGTTAATTTTTATAGTAAAGTCAAATGTGCCTTTAATCATAGTGGAATATTGATAATCTTCAAGAATTTTTACAGGTGCACCATGTAACTTTTCTGGTGGAGGGTCTGCCACCTGCTTGTCTCCATGGAGATCTTATTGTTTTGTCTGGAATGTCCCGGTGTGGCATTAAACATATCCATCTTGCATTTACTGAATAACATATTTTTTTTATTAATCTAAGGGTCTGCTTGCACGAGAAGGCTTGCGGGTAAAAATGACAAAATATTTTATCGGAAGTGCCTTTCGTTTAGGCGGTGACAGCGTTTTTGGGGCTTAAAAACGCAAAAATCTGAAACCACCCTCCAGAGTGGAAAAGTTAAATACGCTCCGCCGTAGCGTTTCTGTCTACACTGCCCAAGATGCATTTGTGGATGGAGTAGCTGCTGAAAATGCATGCCGTGAAAACTTCTGTATGTCCAAAGATGCCCTTGTTGCTTTAAGTACAAACATACCCAATCGAATTCCACACACTTTTGTGTCACAGTATGCACACAAATTTCCTCCTGAAAACACTCGTCTAAACGCAAAATAAAAAGTGAAGACATGACGCCACTTTTGCATCTTCTGTTCATACGTCATCATATAAACGTAGCCTAAAATCTTGCCTTCTTACTGTGAATGAGCTCGCCTCTTCACAGATCTGACAGCCTAACTTGGCCCTGTGGTGTCACCTGCGGTCTCCGTCGAGCTAAATAAATGTAATGCCATACTGTGAAACATTCCAGGCAACATGTCCAAGGAGAGAAGCAGGTGACAAAACCTCCATAAGAAAAGTTACTACAGTGCACAAATTAATTTAGTCTATACTGATTTCAAAAGACTGTGTGAAAAGAAATGGATAAATCCCAAATGTTAACTGGATCATCGTAAAACATACTACTACTCTATAAAAACAAAATTTTTCCAGACCATTTTTTTCCCATTCAAAAGTTATCATATTTCAGTTTTGTTGGTTTCCTTTTTGAATGTTTGTGTTTCCCTTTTACCTAGAAAACGTTCCACCGTAAATACATACACATTTATTTAAAAACTACTTCCCATGTAGTGCTGACACAAGCCTTCCGAACACAAGTGTCCTACCGTGAAAGTTAAACTGTGTGCATGACTAACACAGAACACAGTGGTGGTCTACGCAAAAGCTGCTGAGTCTGGGAAGTGTCTAACCCAGAGACACTTAGAGACACTTTAAACGTGCCTTCAGAGGTTAGCCAACAAGACAGCAACATCAGCTAATGGAGCACAGTGGTCAAGCATAGTGTATAAACATTATTATAGTCAAATGCTGTTGTCCTTTTGGCAATTCATGGGCTCTTTCATGTAATAAGATATGTATAAGATAAGGTTATTTAAATATTTACTCAAAGTGTTATATTGCTTTGCTTTGTTGGCATTAAACAGATCTGATTTTATCTGATTTATATCTGAGACATTTTTATTGCTCAAAAAATACTTGTGTCACCTGCTTATCTCTTAGGATACAGATAAATTTAATGCCATGCTGTGGAACATTAGCCAGACCTAGTGCCTCCGCTCAATTTCATTTCTCTCCAGCGACTAGATCAGGAATCGGAATACATTAGACAGTTCGCAAAAAAACGGTCTGGAAGTGTGAGTTCGGGCACCAGTCAAACAGCGAAGAGCCATACATTCTGTGTTGGCAACGATTCCCGAGATTGAGGATTTAAAGCCGGAACAAAGAGAATGTTTGGTGAATTTTATCAAGGGGAAAGACGTTATTGAGATTTGGGAAAAGCTTAATATACCATTGAGCCCTGTTAGCGACGCTTTACATACGTCACGATCAAATAGTAGCAATTGGTTAAATAAAAAAAAGCACACGCCTACTGTCGAGCGAATGAGCCCTAATGCTGTGAGGTCAGACGGTTTCCACAAAGTGAAACCCGCTGATGAATCAGGATAGTGGAACATACCAGTAATAACATCTAAGACCCCTGTGTAAAATGCAGAGTTGGGTTGAGTAGCTAAAATGGTAGTCAAGTAAAAGTAACATAACTTCAGAATAATATTACTCAAGTAGAAGTATAGAGTAGCGGTCCAAGAAATGAAAAAGTAAGTTAGTAAGAGTAGGTCGAGTAAGATTAAAGAAGTATTTAGAAAAACTACTACTAAGCTTAAAGAGTATCTGTCAGTCTGTCAATCAGCATGTCATTTATAATTTGAAGTTAATGTAATTTGACAAAACTTTAAATAATGCACAAAATCTGATATTTTCAAAGGATGGACACAAAAATTTGAAAAACTAAATCATAACTGAAGGAGCGGTGCAAGAAACACAAATGTTCAAATCATTTCATTTCAGTTTTTGTCACTTGGAGGCTATATTTTCTTGTCAAAGCCTGATCCCGTCAGATCTCAGAAGCTCAGCAGCGACGGGCCTGGTTAGTACTTGGATGGGGACCACTGGGAAAACACAGTGGGGCTCAGTAGCAAAAAAAACGTTGTTGTGTCCTTAGGGAAAAAACTTCACCTGCATTGCCTATAAGGGTGTGCAAAAAATATCAAAAATATCAATATATCGTATCGTTTAATTTGACGAAACAGTATTAATATTGTGGACTGCTGTAGCAATATATCTACAAGAATATTTTTTGGCATATTCTGTCAAATAATTTTGTTACGGCACCACAGTTTTGTTGCTTGTTTAGTGGACCAAAACTTGTTTATATGACACATTTGACATTTTCAGTTTCAATGATTAAAATGTTTGTGTTTCATATGAACTTTGCACAAGAAGTGGTTTAACAAAGATTTTTAGTATCACAGCCATTGGTTAGCCTTTACTTTTTTATTGAACCGTATCGAATAGATTTGAAATATATCGTATCAAATCGAAAGTGCACTGTATTGAGATATGTATCGTATCGTGGCCAATGTATCATATCGGCAAGCTCAAATTGCCTAGTATAAAAGTGATTGTTTAAGTGTTGGTCGTTGGCTGATGGCGCAGATTGGCAGGTCTGTGGATGCAGTAATGTCAGTAACAACAGTACTCAATAGGGATGTAACAATAAGTTTCTTTGCTTAAATGCATTTGTTTATAGTAGCAACAGATAATAAACATCGAGAACTACATATCCCATGATTCATTTCAGTGCAGACAACATGAAGAAATATGTTTTTTACTTAAATTCTTGAGATTATGACAGTAATAACTAGGACAATAACCGAAATACTGTGATATCGTATCGTCAAGGTTCTCACAATAATATCGTGGACCATCACAATATATCGAATTACAAGTCTCTCTGCTTAAATTAAGCGTTATGGAGCAGCAATAGCTAAATAAAACAGAGGGAACTACATAGACCATGATCCTTTGCTCCATTTCAGTGCAGACTACAAGAAGAAATAACAGTTCTAAGCACTTTTAAGTTCTTTGGATTAAATCTTGTCAAGGCCTTTTAAGAGGAAAAAGTTCAATATTAACAGTTTTTTTCGCAGCATCTACAAAATATAGCAATAAATATCGGAATGTGAGATGTGTGTCATGAAAATATCGTACAGAGAGATTTAGATATCGTTACATCCCTAATCGTGAGCCTCCCCACCATATCATATCATGAGCTTTCCCACGATATCGCAATAAATATCGTACCATGAGCTTCATACCGTGACGATATCATATCATGAGACTTGGATATCGTTACACCCCTAGTTCTCAATTTCTTTAAAAATCATAAATGTAACTCACTACTAAAATGTACTGATCTGAATGATTGTATTTAGCACCAGTTTGCCTCCTTCAGTGAAAACTTTCGGACAACCCTGCTTTAACTCCTCACTGGAACAAATGCGGTTTAGCCATGATACAAATGCTTTAAAAGATGATGTCCCTCTTTGTTCCACAGTTGTATTGTTTAGTCCTATCAGAGCCCCCCCTGCAGGCTGCGTGCGGCGCTGCGTCTCACCTCTGTAGTTGATGATCTCGGTGCCCAGGACGGCGGTCATCTCCAGCACAGTGATGAAGGCCTTGTCCATGGAGGTCAGGGGGAACGGGGACATGCGGTGTCTCCGGGCCACTTTGGTGATGTCCACCGCACTGTGACCTGACAAGAAACAAGCAAAAAAACAAACAAACTGGTGGTCATATGTAGACTAGGGATACACCAATGCCTTTTTTTTTTTGAGTAATGAGAACCGATATAAGACATTATTTCTGGTTTGATTATAGTGAGTCAGCACACACCCATTTACCTAAAAATGACAAAAAAAAACCAACAGTAAATACTGCAATTAAAACACATAAAAAGTGAAAATCCGTGTATCATTCGTTCATTTGTTTTTCAATATAAAACCAAAAATAAGAAAATGAAAAAACAACCGTTTTCTTCATTATTTGTCTCCAAAACCAAAATGAAAAAAAACAGATAATGATTTGTCATTTCAGTTTTCGATTTTGTGTTTAAATGAAAAATTACAAAAACGGATAACGTGACTTCCGTGACTGCGATGTTGGACTTTTGCACTGCATACGGACTGAACCAGGACTGATCCAGGTTCGGGACCAGACTGGAACCAGACCGAGACTGAGACCAGGACTGAGACTAAAGACCAGAGCGGGACCAGAGCAGGACTGAGACCGGGACCGAGACCGGGACTGAGACCGGGACCAGATCGGGACCGAGCCCAGGACCTGATTGGGACTGAGACCGGGACCAGACCGGGACTGAGACCGGGACCAGGCCATGACTGAGACTGAGACCAGAGCGGGACCAGACTGGGACCAGAGCGGGACTGAAACCGGGACCAGATCAGGACCGAGACCGGGACCAGAGCGGGACTGAGACCGAGACAAGACCAGGACCAGACCAAAACCAGATTGGGAATGAGACCAAGACCAGCCTGTGATCAGGCTGGGACCAGGCTGGTCTCAGGCTCGGACCCTGTGGAGGCTCGGAGTCAAAGCTTGGAGTCCGCTCTGGTCCCGCTCTAGTTCCACTCTGTTCCCGGACCTGGAGCAGTCCTGGTTCAGTCCGAATGCGGTGCAAAAGTCCGGCATCACGGAAGTCACGTAAACGGGAAACGACCGTTATCCGTTTTTTCCATTCTTCGTTTAACCACAAAATCAAAAACTGAAAAATTGAATCGTTATCTGTTTTTTCATTTTGGTTTTGGAGACAAATAATGAAGAAAACAGTTGTTTTTTCATTTTCTTATTTTTGGTTTTATATATTTTTTAAAATTAACGAATGATGCACGGATTAGTGAATTTAGCGTTTAGCTCAACTTTAAAAACTATAAAAATGAGGATGTGACATTGATGAGAGTTATATGATACGTCTCAGCACTTTTGGCAGTCTAATTTCTTTATCTGAGCGTTTTCAAAGTTAAAGGGAAGACGTGAGGGGGTGGAGAAGGGGGGGCTCAGAGTGGTCCCAGGACACTGCCGTCTTCTGTTCAGGCCCTGGGGCACTGGCTCCATCTCAGCTCAGTCTTCAGGGACGAAACGCTGCTTTAAAATCTCCCTTCAGACTGAAACGTACAGAAAAAGCTCCAAGGATCTACTGGAGATCTGAGAACAGGCCTGTGGTAAGAAGGTAACTGACAGAAAAAAAACATAGGAAGTGGAAGAAAAATGAAATAAGTAAAATGATGCTACGACATAAAAAACAGATGAACGTGGAAACAAATGAAGGCGCAACAATCCAGGAAATATGTAAATAAAGCATTTTTGAGTGCTCAGAGAAGTTGACTTAAGTATTTCTGATTAGTTTCAATATATATTTCTATCTGAGTTCAATTAAAAGAAGAAGATTTGTGCTGTTAAACAAAACTCACACATAAAATTCAAACACCAAAACAGGACCATGTACGCTTGTTTTAATCTCACAACTCCTGAATAATTAGTTGCTTAAATCAATTTTTTGTGTTTTCAGAAGGTCGTAAAACTTTTTTGTCTTTTTTGTGCGTGTGTGCATTGTGTCACCATGGTAACACCTAAAAATTCCTCCACACACATATATGCAGAACACCCGCATGCGATGTCAATGCAGAGTATAGCAAGTACCGTGTTTTCCTGACTATAAGTCACACTTTTTTCATGGTTTGGGTGGTTTGGTGGCATCTTATATATTAAAATTTTCAGACTGAAGCCGCGAGAGGCTCTAGGTTTGTGTGTCAGTGTCTGCTGCTCCTGTTCCTCCTGTACCACTGTCACTTCACTCTACTGCGCATGTCTCCTGCAGAAAGAGCCTCTGTCCTGTCTGTATCATGTCAGTCGATCGCACCATTACTTCTGTACCACTGAACATTTTAAATTTAAACAAACTTATAAAGACGACTGAGAAGACCGAACACAAATGCCAGGAGAATGCGCCATGAAACTTTCCTGAAAGTCACTGGATGAATCGACAAAGCCTGGACTTCAGTGACACCGAAACCATCCTGTCGGGATTCAGAAAGGCCGGAATAATTCTAACTGGAACTGATGCTGAGTCTGACGACAGCTACACAGAAGAGGAAGCGGCGCTCTGTTTACCTCCAGAGGTCGTGGAGTTGCTCAGAAGTGACACAGAGGATGAAGAATTGAATGGATTTAGTGATTTGGAGTGAGATGGAGAGTTTGGTAAACTTGTTCTGTTGTTTATGTTATAGTTATCTGAAGATCTTTTGTATGTGACGTTAACAGTCTGTTGTTCTTTATTCTATTGTTTTTACTAGAACTTGCCTTTTAAGTGAAATGTGATTTTATAAAACAAATTTCCCCCAAAAAGTGCGACTTCTATATGTTTTTTTCTTCTTCATTATGTATTTTTTGGCTGGTGCAACTTGTACTCCGGAGTGTCTTATAGTGTGTAAAATACGCTAAGTCAGTTTTGCTCAAAGATAGATAATTGGATTTTTTTTTTAAAGTACAGTTTTACAATATTCAGTAGACCCACATAGTTTGAGTTGGCCAACACAATTTCAACACTAAACTGTGGTGAACTGAATTCACTGAGGTGTATCTAATCTCCTCCCTGTGTTTGTGCGCCTCTCCTGTCCCCTCTGTGTCTCCGAGCAGAGGGATACATCCATGGCTAGCTTTGATTCGTCGTGACCTACTTTCTCTGTTCTAAACATGTACCAAAGAAGAAGGCTGCAGTATTTCCAAGCCATGGCACACACTAACTACCACCTCTGGCAAAACAACACATACATGTAAATAAGTACACAAACAGCAGTATTTAGGCCCGCGGAGAAACACATGTACGGAACACGTGTGAGGACAACTGGATTAAGATATTAATAGAACGCAATAAGCCACATGCGACTCATAACACTGTACCCGTGAGCTGAAATTATTATTAAAGGTCCTTGTGAGTTTTAAATCATGTTATAATGTTGTTACCTCATCAAAAACAAACCTAATCCCAGTTTATTAGTTTGAAAATGCCAGGGCTGAAATGATCCAAATGATTCTAATGAAGGTGTACGGAGTTTAAAAACACAGTGGAGCACTTCCTGTATTACCACATGACATCACAAGGTGGAACATAGTGTATAATGTTGTTTCCTCGTCATAAACAAACCTGGAGTTGTGTTTTGTTTTATTCACACGTGTTTAAATGCACAAACCCTGCATATTTAGGCTGAGTTCTTCTCTCAAACAGAAAAAAAACTCTGTTCCACCTTGTGATGTAATGTGGATATACAGGAAATGGACCTCTTCATTTTAAACTCCTTCACCTTCACTACTAGAATCACTGGGATGATTTCCACTCTGGAATTGTCTGTCTCCACTGAACAAAACCTAAAAGGAGCTGTTAACTTGAAAACTACCGCATGAGTAAAAGGTTTGTTTACTCTTTAATTAATTTTTTATGTGTTTATTTATTTAATTCATAAAGTATAAAAAGACATCAAAGACATATTTAGTCCTGGTTTGGTCCTGGTTTAGTCCTGGTTCAGTTCTGGTTCATTTCTGGTTCAGCCCTGGTTTAGACCTGGTTTAGACCTGGTTCAGACCTGGTTTAGTTCTGGTTTAGTTCTGGTTTAGTCCTGGTTCAATCCTGGTTTAGACTGGGTTTAGACCTGTTTTTTTTTCCTGCTTTAGTCCTGGTTTAGACCTAGTTTAGCCCTGGTTTAGTCCTGGTTTCAACCTATTTCAGCTCTGGTTTAGTTCGGGTTCAGTCCTGGTTTAGCCCTGTTTTAGTCCTGTTTTGGTCCTGTATTAGACCTGATTTAGTCCTGGTTTAGTCCTGGTTCAGTCCTGGTTTAGATCAGTTTTTTTCCTGCTTTAGTCCTGGTTTAGACCTCGTTTAGCCCTGGTTTAGTCCTGGTTCAGTCCTGGTTTAGACCTGTTTTTTTCCTGCTTTAGTCCTGGTTTAGACCTAGTTTAGCCCTGGTTTAGTCCTGGTTTCGACCTGGTTTTGTCCAGATTCATTCCTGTTTTAGTCCTGGTTCAGTCCTGGTTTAGACCTGTTTTTTTCCTGCTTTAGTCCTGGTTTAGACCTAGTTTAGCCCTGGTTTAGTCCTCGTTTTGACCTGGTTTTGTCCAGGTTCAGTCCTGGTTTAGTCCTGTTTTAGGCCTGGTTTAGACCTGATATGTCCTGGTTTAGTCCTGGTTCAGTCCTGGTTTATTACTGTTTTAGTCCTGGTTTAGGCCTGGTTTAGACCTGATATGTCCTGGTTTAGTCCTGGTTCAGTCCATATACAGCGCAAAAGTTTGGCATCTTCGCACACTGATGTTATTTGAAGATCAACGACTGTTATTTCGTTGAGTTTCTTAAAGTGCTGCAATAGTCGTGTAACATTTTACATTTTAAACACAGTAATATTATAATGTAACAAATAACTTTGAAATGACAGAAACAAGTCATAAATAACACATTACAGTTTTGAAGTCACTTGTCCAACAGTGATTATAACACAACTTAAACCTCACAAGTGTCAATTTTGCGTAATATAGAAAAGCACCTTTAAGTGTCACGTAGTATTTATAGTAGTATTTATACTCACTTGCTCTGAGTATATTCTCTTTGCTGCTGCACCTGGACTGCACCTGTAAGCAGAGGGAGAGGTGGGAGAGAGAACATGGGCCAGAGGGGGCAGTGGTCACTCGTATTAAAACATGCTTCAAATCAAACACGTGATACAGAACAGACAGTGCACAAGCAGAGGCCAGGCTGTGTTTTTGTCCAGCTGCACACACCGCGACATCTCCAACATCAACCCAAAACGAACGCTCACCTGACCGCCCCATGGTGCTTAAAAACATCGCAATAGTTTCATAAAAGGACTAAAAATTAATTCTCTGTAAGCCTAGATTGATATATGGGATTTTGGGGTTTGTAATCAGCAGTGGTGTACAAAAGTAAACGTACAATTTGTAGGTATCTGTACTTTACTTACGTGTGTTTTCCAGTGGGTACTTTTTACTTTTACTCACTACATTTGAGAGTGTGTATCTGTACTTTCTACTCCACTACATTTTAGATCTGGACTGAAAAGTAATAAGTAATTTTAAGGTTTGAGACTTATTTTTAGCCTTTTTAATCTGAGTTAATGTCCCAACTTTGAGTAAAACAAACACACAAAAAACAAAAAACAGCTAGAAAATTAAGAAAATGTTTGAATTACTTAAAATCAGCGAATTTCTTGATCAAAATCACTACATTTTATCCTTTAATTGTTCCAAAAAACTGCAAAGTACTTTAACTTTTGACTCTTAAAGTACATTTTTAAACAGATACTTCAGTAGTTTTACTTTTAATTGAGTTTTTTTTGTTTTGTTCATGTGATACTTTTACTTTTACTTGAGTAACCCTTTTCCCTTGTATCTGCACTTTTACTTAAGTAACAAAATTGAGTACTTCATCCACCGCTGGTAATCAGAGGTGGGTAGTACTTACATTTACTAGAGTAATTTTTTTCATACATTTTTAATTCTCTGAGAAAGAATTTTACTTTTACTTACTAAAAGTTTTGTTTACTTTTCCCCAGTGGTGGAAGAGACATTTCTGTATTTTTACTTTTATATAATTATGCCGTATTTGACACAAGTCTCTTACTATTTTCGCTACTTATTTTATTTTTTACGTAATGTTTATATTGTGATGTGTGAGCTACTGTGTCCAAATCATGTCTAAAAGTTCATCGAAATATGTTTCAAAGCAGCACAGGGCAATCAGGTGAGAGCATTAAAATACACTGATACATACAAGAAGTACTTAAAGATCAGGACAAAGGCAGCCACATAGAAGTCAGAACAGATGTATAGTCAGAATGTAGTGTAGGAATCTGGAGTGAGAGGCAATGGCCCGCCCTAAACTGGACTAAAACTGGACTAGAACTGGACTAAAACTGCATTAAAACTGTAGTATACTGGACTACCTGGACTAATAGGGCTGGACTGAGTTTCCCAAAATGCCTTTTAGCATTATTTTTTACAATTCATATCTTTATTTGTGACATTTTGAGAACTTTTCATCATTTATAAGTTGTAATATTGTTTTGAATTGTTGAGCGCTATGGCAACGGTGTTAATTTTTCATTGCTCTAAACCCCACGGACAGGGAACTACTTTAAATAGTACTCTAAATACTACAGGCTAAATGTCTATTCTTGGTGGAATACACATTAAATACACATTAAAATGGGAAAATGGACCATTGGCACTAAAATAAATAAATAAGTAAATAAATAAATGAATAATAATATTAATAATAATAATAATAATAATAATAATAATAATAATAAAGTAAAGTAAAGTTAAAGTAAAGTAAAATAAAACCAAGTAAACTAAATAAAGTAAAGTTAAAATAAAACAAAACCAAAGTAAAGTAAAGTAAAGTAAAGTAAAAGTAAAGTAAAGTAAGTAAAGGTAAAGTAAAGTAAAACCAAGAAAAGTAAAGTAAAGTAAACTAAGTAAAGTAAGGTTAAAGTAAGGTTAAAGTAAAGTTAAAGTAAACCCAAGTAAAACCAAGCAAAGCAAAGCAAAGTAAAATAAACCAAGTAAAGTAAAGTAAAGTAAAGTAAACCAAAGTAAAATAACCAATATGTAATTGATGTTTTTGATTAATTGGGAATACTCTTGCCCCAAAATTTCAATAGCCTATATTTTTAGAGTAAAATAATATTCAAATATTTAACTGAAACTAAAATACAAAAAAAAGCTAAAAAAGTAATAACTGATTTATAATATAATCATAGTAAAACATTAACATTTTGTGGATATTTAAATCTTATCGTTTACATTTTTGGGAAACTCAGTCTTATAACCAGTCGTCTGAATACGATATATTTTTAACCCAGCTAAGAGTTTCGTGGGAGGGCACCACACAGCCGAGGTGGAGGTGGGTGATGGCGGTGACGCGGTGGAGAGTTTAGCATGACGTGGTTCCAAAAGCTAACCAAGAAACAAACGTAAAAAAAAAAAATAAAAAATTAAACAGCAAAAGACTATAGACAAAAAACTCCACTAAACTACATCGTCTACACACATGACCACACCAGACGCTACTGAAGCAAAGCATGTCATTTTTATCCCCAAAAATCCAGACACACAAATGCACAAAAAGACATCGGACGGAGTGTCGGAAATATCGCACAGAGAAAAAAAGAGAGCAAGACAAAAAAGTGAACGACAAGACCAGGGCGGAGGAAAAGAGGAAAAACACTGTAAAAAAAGAACACCCAAAAGAGTTAACATGGCTTGAATTCAGAATCTGGACTTGAAGAACACGTATTATGTGAATTTGACTTGTTTTTTGCTTTTAACCATGTTATAATGCGACATATTTTGCATCATTTGCGCTTATAGAGGTGACTGCTCTGTGCTGGTTAGGAAAAGTGCTTTTGGACACCTCTCTTTTGCTTATCGAGCAGAATAACATGGAACACAGAGCAGCTCATGTACGAGAACTTTCAACACTGGCAGGATTTTCTAAAGCTTTAAAACAGTGGTTGTTCAATGGTCAAATATGTCAAAATGTTTAACTAAATTACATTGTTTTCTGGTTTCCTTACATTGTTTCATTCTCATTGTTGTTTGTTTCGCACGATCATAAACGATAAACTTTTTTGTCTTTGTTAACATTATTATTAGTTTGTACGACCATAAACGAAAACAAAAAATCCTTACATTCTTTCATTCTCGTTGTTTGTTTCGCACGATCATAAACGATAAACTTTTTCGCCTTCGTTAACATTATTATTAATTTGTACGACCATAAAAAAGGAAAAAGAATCCTTACATTCTTTCATTCTCATTGTTGTTTGTTTCGCACGATCATAAACGATAAACTTTTTCCGCCTTCATTAACATTATTATTAATTTGTACGACCATAAAAAAGGGAAAAAAATCCTTACATTCTTTCATTCTCATTGTTGTTTGTTTCACACGATCATAAACGATAAACTTTTTCACCTTCGTTAACATTATTATTAATTTGTATGACCGTAAACAGGGGAAAAAAAAATAAAAAATAAGAACTAGGAAGAAAGTGATTGTATTTGTGGTAGAAATTTTAGTTTGTAAAATAATCGGCGCAATGACTTTAAACAGTCCAACACCGTAGACACATTTTAAACAGAGTATAGACTGTTGTGTTTTGGGAAATATGGAGTTTGATGAATTGTGCATTGAGTTTAGTTTGTTTTAATTTATATTTTGTCTCTTATATGTACAGTGAGTGAAATTGTGCATGGGTTTGGTACCTTTGTTTCAGCTCGAACCCTTCCTGTCATGACCCATGTAGTCATGGTTTATATTTTGCTCCTTTTCCCCTTCTCTTCTTTCAGCGACCTCAAAAACTGACTGTCTTTTGCAGTGAATTGGTCGTGGATTCTCGGCCGCCATCGCAAACAACTTTGTGCGAATTGCGAGGAAGCTACACTTTGAAAAAGCCTCTAAAAACCGCTGCATAAACCACGTAATCCCCACGCGTTTGATTGACAACCTAACAGCCAATAGATAATGAGGGAGCCTCGTTTTCTATTGGCTGATGTTTATCTGGCCTCACTACGCCCACAGTTGATAGATTTTCATTCTTTTTTTTCTGGTCATCATAATTACAAGGCTGCTGCATCTCTGTAATGGTGCTTTAAACTTTCACTGACAATTTGAAACAAAAAAGAAATCCTCCATACAACCTTTAACTCTTGGTTTAACTCTTGACTTTGAACTTGAAATGAACTGTTTGAAATTAATTAGTTTGTACAGTGAGTTTACTGGTTTTATATATTTTTGTGTGATTGTTGTTGTACTTTCTCTGTCCTGTAGATGACTTCTTATCAACCTACCGAGGGACTGAAGATGGAAATGAGCCACGCTGCTATAATCTTTATATATTTACATTTTAAACGTTCATTAACATGTGCTGACCCTTTCCAAATAAATAAATAAGAATAAGAAATTTTCTGATATACTTATAATTGTGTTTCCTCATCACAGACAAACCCGGAGTTGTGTTTTTGTTTCATTCTCACATGTTTAACTCACAAACTTTGCATATTTAGGCTGAGTTCTTCTCTCAAAGAGAAAACACTCTGTTCCACTGACTGTGTTTTTAAACTCCACGCACTTTTACTAGAATAATTTGAACAATTTTAGCCCTGGAATTGCCAATCTCTACTGAACTTAAGGTAAAAGGAGCTGTTAACTTGAAAACATGTCGTATATTCGAGGCCTGATGATTAGATAAATCTCATCAAAACGACTCAAAATTCTGAATTCAAGTCATTTTAACTCTTGTGGATATAATTTTTCGCAGTGAAGTTTTGGAAAAGAGAAAAGGAGGGACAGGAGAGGACATAGGACATAGAGTGAGGAGGTGGGGACAGGGGCGTTTGTTTTGCGCGCTCCTTGAGGTGGGTGAGGGGAGAGGTGGGCGGGGATAGTTACTCGAGAGCTGAAGGTCCTCCTGCGATCATCTTTTAGGCCCTCCAACCTACACTGGAGCTAGTGGAGATAGATAGATAAAGCATTGGGATCACATCAGTGCTTCTGTCAGCACACAGACACACACACGGACAGGACGGAGGACACAGCCACTACAGAGGCAACTACGGCAACACCACAAGGACAAAAGAAGGACAAAAAGACAAGAAGGCTTTGGGCGAGCTGGGGAAGTCGCCTACAACTACGGCATGTACCTGTAAATCACGGGATGGGATTATTATTTGAACCAGTGAAGCAGTGTGGTGAGAGGGCGAGAGCTTAACCCGCTGCACCACACTGATATTTGAAGAAGAGCTGAAACTAAAATTGAACTTTAAATAAACCTGATTAATCCGTGTGTCATTTGTTTATTCATTTTTCAAAGTAAAACCAAAAATAAGAAAACGAAAAAAACAACGATTTTCTTCATTATTTGTCTCAAAAACCAAAATGAAAAAACAGATAATGATTTATTTTTTTCAGTTTCTGATTTTGTGTTTAAAATGAATAATGGAAAAAAAGGATAACGGACATTTTCCGTTTCCGTGACTTAACCTTGCAATGCAGGACATTTGCACCGCATATGGACTGAACCAGGACTAAAACAGGACTAAACCAGGACTAAAACGTTTTCAGTCCCGGTCTGGTCCCACTCTCAGTCCCGGTCTCGGTCCCGGTCTGGTCCCGGTCTCAATCACGGTTTGGTCCTGGTCTGATCCCGGTTTCAGCCCCGGTTTGGTCCCAGCCTCAGTCCCGGTCTGGTCCCAGTCTCAGTCCTGGTCTGGTCCAAGTCTCAGTTCTGGTCTGGTGCTGATCTGGTCCCGGTCTCAGTCCTGGTCTGAACCTGGCCTCAGTCCCGGTCTGGTCATGATCTCAGCCCCGGTCTCAGCCCCGGTCTCAATCACGGTCTGGTCCTGGTCTGGTCCTGGTCTGGTCCCAGTCTGGTCCCAGTCTCCGTCCTGGTCTGAGTCCTGGTCTGAGTCCTGGTCTGGTCCTGGTCTCAGTCCTGATCTGAGTCCCGGTCCTGGTCCCGGACTCAGTCCCGCTCTGGTTCCGGTCTGGCCCTGGACCTGGTTTAGTCCTGGCTCAGTCCGGCATCTCAGTTTAAGTCACGAAAACGGGAAATGAAAGTTATAATTTTTTTTTTTCCATTTTTCATTTAAACACAAAATCACAAACTGAAAAAAACAAATCTTTATCCGTTTTTTCATTTTGGTTTTAACAACAAATAATGAAGAAAATACTACTTTTTTCGTTTTCTTATTTTTGGTTTTATATTGAAAAACAAATGAATGAATGATACACAGATTCTGATTCCATTTTGCTTTTTCCCATTTAAACGATCTAAGTTGGTTCAACACATTTTTGTCCAGATCAGTGAAAATGAATTGAATTAAAACATATTTCCGAGTAGGTCCAACTAGAATTATTTACTATAATCTGACTTAACATTTTTGACACTCTGACTTTATTGAATCTGTGCTCTGTCTTCATGGAAAATTCAGCCTCAATTCTATCTTTAGTTAGTTTTACAAATTTGCAATAAAATTAAACATTCAGACAGATTAGGGAGTGGACAGTGAGTTGTGGATGTTAAAGACTTTACAAATTAGGTCAAAACTTCACTTCTGAGTTTACAAAAGTGGGTCTTTTTGGTAGCCTGATTCATCAGCCAGTTTCACTTCGTGGAAACTGTCTGACCTCGCAGCGTAAGAATTTGTTCGCTCGACGGTAGGCGGGTACTTTTTTCATTTAACCAATCGCTGCTATTTGGTCGTGACGTATGTAATGCGCCACTAATGGAGCTAACTGGTATATTAAGCTCTTCCGAAATCCTGTAGGAAGAAGGGCAATAACGTTGCTCCCCTTGATAAATTTCACCAAACATTCTCTTTGTTCCGACTTTAAATTCTCGATCTTGGGAATCGCTGACAACACAGAATGCATGTCTCTTTGCTGATTGGCTGGGGCCCGGACTCGCACTTCCGAGGTTTTTGCGAACCGTTTTGTGTATTCCGATTCCTGACCCAGTCACTGGAGAGAAATGAAACTGAGCAGAGGCACAAGGTGGCGCCAGCCTGTCTATCTTTTTGTTTGAAAGTGTAACAAACATTATAATATTATAATAACACAACAGACTGAAATCATCTTGACATAAAAACATTTGGGAGTGTTTGCATGACATTTAAATGAACTGTTTAGTTAGATTTTTGATTTAATAAAAGTTAGCATTAGCTTTGAATATATATAGGATCAGATTGGACAGTTTTAATCTAATAAAATTTGACTAGAGAAGTTTGTGACGGCTACAAAACTGGGTCAGAGTATCTCCAAAACTCGCACTCTAACAATCCTGAGTATTTATCGAATGTGGTCCAAGGAAGGACGCCCTTTTCTAGGTCAAACAAACGACTGTTGCTTAACTCAAACCAACCCAAGGATCCTCTAGTCAAGTATTCGCGGCATTTGTAAAGTCTTTAGAAAGTTTGTAAAGTCTTTAACAAGTTTTCAATGACATCCAACTCAGAAAAAAAACCATAAAGATAGAATTGGGGCTGAAATGGCCATGATAACTGATAACTGAGCCTATTCATTTCATTTTCAAGAACAATTCTCTCCAAGAAAGTTTGTCATGACTAAGTTGCATTTGTGTGCTGCAGAACTACACAAGTGAAAGTTTTTTTTGGCCAGTTTTCACGTAGGGGGCGCTATAAGCAACACCGGCCTCATCAATCTGTATATCATTCGTTCATTCGTTTTTCAAAATAAAACCAAAATTAAGAAAACGAAAAAACAACTATTTTCTTTATTATTTGTCTCCAAAACCAAAATGAAAAAACAAATAACGATTAGTTTTTTCAATTTTCGATTTTGTGCTTAATGAAGAATGATTTCCCTTTTCCGTGACTTTTACCCTGCAAACAAACTGAACCAGGTCTAAACCAGGACTAAACCAGGACTGAACCAGTACTGAGTGTCGGGACGGGCCTGGAGGTGCGCCCATGTAGACTGTCAGGTGATCAGGCCTGAGACTGGGACCAAACTGGGACTAGACTGGGACTGAGACCAGGACTGAGCCGAGGACCAGACCAAAACTGAGACAGGGACCAGACCAGGACCAGACCGTAACTGAGACCATGACTGAGACCGGGACTAGACCGTGATTGAGACCGGGACTGAGACCGGGACTGAGACCAGGACTAGACCGCGATTGAGACCGGGACTGAGACGGGACTGAGACCAGGACTAGACCGCGATTGAGACCGGGACTGAGCCTGGGAACAGACTGGGGCTGAGACCAGGACTGAGACCAGGACTGAAACCAGGACCAGACCGTGATTGAGACAGGGACTGAGACCAGGACCAGACCGGGACCAGACTGGAACTGAGACCGAGACCAGACTGGGACTGAGAAGTTTAGATGTAGTTTAGTCCTGGTTCAGTCCTGTTTAGTCCTGTTTTAATCCTCTTTTAGTCCTGTTTTAGTCCTGGTTCAGTCCTGGGTTAGTCCTGGTTCAATCCTGGTTTAGACCAGGTTCAGTCGAGGTTTAGACCTGTTTTAGTCTTATTTTAGTCCTGGGTCAGTCCGTATGCGGCACAAAAGTCCGGCATCGCAGTTTAAGTCACGGAAACGGGAAATGAACATTATCTGTTTTTCCATTATTCATTTAAACACAAAATCAAAAACTGAAAAAACTAATCATTATCCGTTTTTTCGTTTTGGTTTTGGAGACAAATAATGAAGAAAATAGCTGTTTTTTGTTTTGTTTTGTTTTCTTATTTTTGGTTTTATTTTGAAAAACAAACGAACGAATGATACACAGATTCTCATCTTTATCAGAATAGTCCTGTAGTATTTTCATGCTGTGCAAAGAACGCTTGATAAAAGAAGCAAAAATAGTAAAGAAAAAAAGATGAAAAGAGCTAAAAACAGCTACAGCAAGACACAAAAGAGAAAAAATATACACAAAAAGCACATACAAACTAACCCAACAACTTCACCAACACAAAATATCATACTGTAACATTACACAAGTCGGAGCTACTTTCCGAGAAGCTAAAGCGTTGTGGGTAACTGACTCAAACTCGAATAAAACAGATCGTACCGTGGAGGGGCGACTTTTGCAGATGTGGAAATGAGAGGGGGAAAGGGGCAGGGCTAAAGCAATGGGCGTGGTCAATGACGGGAGGCGGGGCCAGTCAGACACACTCTTATCTAATCTATACTGCGGATATAATGTCAAAATGGAGACAAAAGAGGCAAATGAAAGACAGAAAATGCACTGAAATGTATGTAGGAATGAAAATGATTATAGTGTGTAATAAATTGAATATTTATTAAGCTAGAAGGATTTGGTACAAGCTTATAAAATGTCGAGGAGAAAATTCAGTTTGTTGACTGGACAAAAGTTAGTTTGGTTGAAGACGTTTCGCAGCTCATCCAAGCTGCTTCTTCAGTTCTGGTCTGAATGCTGGTGGATATTTCCTTATATCTGTCTGCAGGGAAGAGCTAACTACAATGAAATTACTCTGAAACTAACACATCTACTTGTTTACACTTTCTGTTTGTTAGTTTGGCCTGTTGACTTGTACTGGATGTAGGGTCTAATTAGCATAACAATTCAGGGCCATAATGGTGCTCCCTCACCTCTGGACCTGACCTGGCTACACCTGTTGTTCTCTTATTTGTTTTGATTTAGGTTTGATGATGGAGTTGTAAATAAGAGATAGATGGTGTCCGAGGCCTCCATTTCTGTTTAGAGAAGGATTCTCTTTCTTGACAAAAATTGCTTTTTTAACTCCCCTCTCAAACCAATTCTTTTCTCTGGCTAAAATCTGTACCTGTCTTCAAATGAGTGGCCCGTGGCTTTTAAGTGGAGATGTACGGCAGACTGAGGTCCTATGTTGGTACATCCTCTTGTGAAGTAGCTGTTTAGTTTCTCTAGTGTAGACTGCTCACTGCAGTCTTCACTAAACTGAGTGGAGTAGACCACATTGTTTTGTTTGCGGCTTGGTGTTTT